AAAAGGAGGGGGGATAAGGAGCAGGAGAGGGATGAGAGAAGAGAAATAGAGGTGGGCGAGGGGAACTGGAGAGGTATGAGAGGGTAGAAATGGAGGTGGGAGAGGAATGAGAGGGGAGAAATGGAGGGGGAGGGGAAATTGGGGGAATTAAAGGAGGGGGGAGGGATAGGGAGATTGAAGGAATAAGGGAGGGGAAGAGGAGGAGGGGTTGTCCTCCTCTTTAATGAAATAGTTCAAGGTAAAAAAATACTGAGAGAATTCCTGTCCTAGACTTATTGAAAATTCTTGCTTTTCCCAACTTTGCCTAGATTTCTACCAAACCAAACTAAGGAATAGATTTGGTTTGATTTGAACTACAAATGTATACAACATAAAGTTAATTTCATTCAGTGCAAAATGTTAATATAACGTGTTTAAAGTAAAATACAGTGATAACCAGAAAACTCTGGAATAGTAAGACGACTTTTAGAGTCAAGTTTTAACTTAAAAAGTTCAATGACGACAAAACACAGCAATTATGCAGTGAAAAAAAGACCCATTTCACAAATAAGTGATTTAATAAGTGTATAATAAACCTATTTTGCTTCGTAACACCATCATATACACTTAAATATTGCTATAATGTCGTCTTCCTATTCCATTGTTATCTGGTTATCACCGTATGAATAAATGATAAGCATTCATCAGAAAGGCAATATGTTTTATTGAACGTGAACGTCCATGGCAAAAATCGTTTGAAACGGAAAATCAGTTAAACGCATATTGTAAGCATTACTCAATATTACTCACTACTGGGTAAAGATTACTCAATATTACTCGCTACTGGCTAAAGATTACTCAATATTACTTGCCACTGGCTAAAGATTACTCATTTTATTCACTACTGGCTAAAAATTACTCAATATTGCTCACTACCGAGTAAAGATAACTCGATATTAACTCGCCACAGGGTAAAGACTAATTTATATTACTCGTTACTGGGTGAAGATTACTCAATATTACTCACTAATGGGTAAAGATTACTCAGTATTACTCACTACTGAGTAGAGATTACTTTATAATACTTGCTATACTGGGTAAAGATTGCTCAGTATTACTCACTACTGTTTAAAGAAAACTCAACATTACTTGCTACTGAGTAAAGATTACTACATATTATACCAATACTGAGGAAATATTACTAAATATTACTCCCTACTGGGTAAAGATTACTCAATGTTACGCACTGCTGTTACTCACAACTGAAAACTGAAAGATGAAGAGAATACTGAGAAAGCTAGGTAGAAGTTTATCCAGCTGAGAGAACATATCAATAGATAGATAGAAGGATTGGTAGATAGATAGTTAGATAGACTAGCATGTAATAAATACTGCAATCCCCATATTTTGTTAACCTGAACCACACTTGACTAACCAGAGTGAGCAGCATTCGGTTTCTTCTATTTGAAATCAAACGAGTTTTGGTCTTTAATTCAATAATCATATACTTTACGGATTTGTTAATTTTATACATTTTTATTCAAAATGCATATGCCAACAAAAAAGTATTTAAGAAAAAAGGCTAACAAATTATGTTTAATGGGTCAAATTGTGATCGAAAATCACAGCTTTCTGGAATATTGACAGAACCGTGAAATCCACGTGGAACATACCTAGATATATTACGTTGTACATCGTCTGCAAATCCTGTATATATCTGCGCTAATCTTGAAAATACGAATATTAAACTTAATCTGTAACATAGCTATCTAAATACTAATTAGTTAGAATAGACTCCACTTTGATTGCGGTGATAGAAGTAATTTAGTCCCTGTTAAAAACATACGAGCTGAGATCGCGCCTAGAGATTTGGCATTGATAAAATAAGAGCTTGTTTGATAGCTACGCTTGTGTCCCTATGTGACATTCAGAGCCGATAAGATCATGCCCATTGGTTTGGTATTGATCGTTTAAGAGCTTGTTTGATAGCTACGCTTGTGTCCCTGTGTAACATTTACAGCAGATGAGATCATGCCCATTGGTTTGGCATTGATCGTTTAAGAGCTTGTTTGATAGCTACGCTTGTGTCCCTGTATGACATACACAGCAGCTGATCATGTCCATTGGTTTGGCATTGATCGTTTAAGAGCTTGTTTGATAGCTACGCTTGTGTCCCTGTGTGACCTTCAGAGCCAATATTCCACGTTGAAACATAGAAATAGACTAGCAGTAAAACAGTAATTTCTAGATAAAAAGATGGTTAGATAGATGGATAGAGATAAAAAGCAGAAAAACATCCAGACAGATAGATAGCCAAATAAACAATACCAAATAGATACATGGTATTTATCAAGGTACTAATGCAAGGAAAGTTATTTAAGAGGTGTACGCATTTTTTGTACTGCAGTGCACTGTCTTTGGGCGGAAAGGTAAACACAAGACGGATGTCAAAACCTGGACATGGAATCAATTTTTACAAAAAAAAATCTATGAACTATTCTAGTCATAAGAAAATATTATATGAATTTTCAAAATTATCAAAATTAAATGCTTTTATCTTCCTCGGATACTAGACGAACACTGATGCATCTATTCTTGTTTACAAATTCCGCCCAGAGAGAACTGGTTTCAACATGTACGCAGAGTATGCGCGACAGCAATTAACTTTCCTTTCATTAGTACCTTGGTATTTATTTTGTTGTTGAGTAAAAACTAAAAGAACACTAGATAACCTTTATTTTATGACTAATGCAACCGCTTTATTTGTAAAGCAATATTTTAATATTAAATAAAACAATCCTATACAAAATTAACTTAAAGGAACTGTAAGCATAATTTCAAGTGACCCTCCATGCAAAGATGAAAATGTCTTATCTACAACCACATTATAGATTCAGCCTGCGATGCAAAGCCTCGGGCTTTAATTTAACGGTTCTAACTTTTATGTACTTAACATGAAGATTTAAAAACTATAATACACTTGGTTTTCGCTTATAGTCTTTAGGAAGAAATTAGCATAATTAGAATCGATTTTTACGTGAGAGCTTGACATTTTTATATGTCGTCTTAGAAATTAGAATTAATTTGTGACATTCAGTCGTCAACCTACATATACATTTATGATTCTTGAAACAATAATAACAAAATCATCCTTGTACGTCCTGGTATTCCGAAATGTGGTCTGACTATTTTGTGTTGTCAATATTGCCGGAGATATTCAGAATTTTGTTCGGATTTCACTAGTTTATTAAAATTTAAAAAAATTGTCGAAATCTGAATGAACTTCTTAATAACTCTTAGTAACTCTAGGATTTTACTTCTAAACTTAGGTTTACGTATAATAAATGCCATAAATTACTTCAATGATCAAAGGCGACCTTCATTTTGTCATGACTAATGTCATGTTTCATGGGACATCCTGTATATCTCCTGTAAAGGCGGAGCAAGGGCGTGTACAGGGGTTGCAAGGGGGCCAGTGCCCCCCCCTAGACCTGTAAGGGGGGCGTAGTTCCTCCCTAGAACTCAGAGCTATCACACTGTAAAAATTTGAAACTGAAGAGTGAAGAACATAAAAAAAATTAATTTGCTGTTTTTTCTGCTAATTTTGTTTAAAGGAGAGATAAGTGCTTGTAAGGTAATTGGCATGTAATAATTGGACTGTATGTGACATGTGTACCTTTAAAGTATCCAAGAAGCCAAATGTTTTGAATTTACAGTGCAAATATCCCCCCCCCCCTGTCTGTCTGTCTACGCACTTGTGACAGAGTGCACGCTAGCGTACAGTGTTAATTCAACTCAAAAATACCGAATATTTAACGTCCAAAATGTTAATTCAACCCGAAAATACAGAATATTTAACGTCCAAAGTACTAATTCAACTCAAAAATACCGAATATTTAACCTCCAAAGTGCTAATTAAACTCAAAAACACCGAATATTTAACGTCCAAAGTGCTAATTCAACTCAAAAATACCGAATATTTAACGTCCAAAGTGCTAATTCAACTCAAAAACACCGAATATTTAACGTCCAAAGTGCTAATTCAACTCAAAAATACCGAATATTTAACGTCCAAAGTGCTAATTCAACTCAAAAATACCGAATATTTAACGTCCAAAGTGCTAATTCAACACAAAAATACCGAATATTTAAAATCCAAAGTGCTAATTCAACTCAAAAATACCTAATATTTAACGTCCAAAATCGTTTTTCCAAAATTCAAAAGTAAAAATCTATTTTCTTGGAATCCTAGAAGACAAAAGTAAATATTTAGTAAATATAAAACAAAATATTTATGTAGATTTAATAATTCCGACATCGTGGATGTCAACAATTTTAAAAGGTACTGTTGTGAATAGGACACGCCACTTTGCAAATGGAAGGTCACTTGAAATTATGCCTCTTCAGCCCCTTTCCGTGTAAGGTCTTGATTAAAGAAAAAATACATTTTAATGCAATGAACATTTGGCGTTAATCTTTAATTAACTACATTCACATTTTTTTAAAGAAAACTTCTGAAACCTTTAAACGTTCAGAACACTTTATTCTCCCTAGAAAGCTGGATATATCATTGGGTGTACTGTCTTGCCTTTCAAAGTCTGTGTGTTCTATACACTTTACCGCCAGCTCTAGCTGCTTAAAAGTTGGCCCGGTACTTGAAATAAACTGCAAGTTTGCACTGGGACTGGAGTGATATTTTGTCCTTTTAACTGTCCCGGAAGAACATCATTTACCTCAAGATTAGAGAAACCATTAAGGGTAATTTATCTTAGAATTGTAGAATAATAATAGTATAAGATAAACCTTAGATTAGTAGAACAGTAGAGTAGACACAAAATAAACCTGAGAGTAGCAGAGTAACAGAGCAGACACAGAATAAACCTAGGATTAGAAAATAGTAAAATAAAACTAAAATAAATCTTAGAATCGTAGAATAGTAGAGTAGACACAAAATAAATCTTGGATTAGTAGAATGAATATTAGAGTAGACACAAAATAAATCTTAGACTAGTAGAATGAATAGTAGAGTAGACGCAAAATAAATATTAGATTAGTAGATTAGTGGGGTAAAACCATAATAGATCTTAGATTTGTAAAATAGATAGAGCAAACACAAGATAAATATTATATTAGTAGAATAGTAGAGTAAGCACAAAATGAAACTTAGATTAGTAGAAATGTAAAGTAGGCACAAAATAAACCTTAGATTAGTAGGATAGTAGAGTAGACACAAAATAAACCTTAGATTTATAGAATAGTAGTGTTGACACAAATTAAACCTTATATTTTTGAAAAAAAAGTAGGGTAGGCCTAAAGAAATCTTAGATTAGTATAAGATTAGAGCAAACACAAAATAAACCTTAGATTAGTAGGATAGTAGAAAAGACCCAAAATAAACCTAAGATTAGTAGAATAGTAGAGTAGACACAAAATAAACCTTAGATTAGTAGAAAAGTAGATTAGACACAAAATAAACCTTAGTTTAGTAAAATAGTAAAGTAAACACTAAATAAACCTTAGATTAATAGAATAGTAGAGTAGAAACAAATTAAATCTTATATTTTTGAAAAAAGTATAGTAGACCCAAATAAAACTTAGATTAGTAGAATAATAGAGTAAACCAAAATAAACCTTAGATTAGCAGGATAGTAGAGAAGACACAAAATAAACCTTAGATTAGTAAAATAGTAGAGTGGACTCAGAATCAGACTTAGATTAGTAAAATAGTAAAGTAGACACAAAATAAACCTTAGGTCAGTAGAACAGTAAAACCAAATTAAATCTCAGATTTGTAGAATAGCAGAGCAAACACAAAAAAGACTCTAAGATTAGCCGAATAGAAGAGTAGAAACAAAATAAACCTGAGATTGGTAAAATAGTAGAGTAAAACCAAAATAAATCTTAGATTTGTAAAATAGTAGAGCAAACACAAAATAAACCTTAGAATGGTAAAATAGTAGAGTAAAGCCCAAATAAATCTTAGATTTGCAAAATAGTAGAGCAAACACAAAATAAACCTGAGATTGGTAAAATAGTAGAGTAAAATCAAAATAAATCTTAGATTTGTAAAATGGTATAGAGCAAACACAAAATAAACAAAAGATTAGTGGGCTAGTAGAGTTGACACAAAATAAACCTTAGAATAGTAGAATAGTATAGTAGACACAAAATAAACCTGAGATTAGTAGAATAGTATAGTAGACACAAAATAAACCTTAGATTAGTAGAATAGTAGAGTAAACACAAAATAAACCTGAGATTAGTGGAAAAGTGGAGTAGACAAAAAATAAACCTTAAATTAGTAGAAAAATGGACTAGAATAAATTTTGCTAAACTTCTGAAAAAAGGAGGAGGGTTTAGAGATAGAAGGGAGTCGAAAAGGACCAAGTGAATTGAATGAAGATGATGGGGTAAAAGTATTTTTTTTCACGGGAATTTCTAACAATTACTTATGAGTATTATTATGATCTGTATCTAATAAAAATACAAGCAACAAGCCTCGTTTACGGTGAACAGAAAAAAAACACAATGCACTTTAGGGTGGGTCGATTCCAAGCTCAGGGCTATAGTAATTTACCTGTACCTAAATATTATAAGAACTCTTCAAATCCAAAATTTAAAGGAAATACTAGATAAACAAATCACTTTAGGACCGAAAAAATCTTCAAAATATATCGATATGATATTATAATATAAAAGATATATCTCAAGTCGCTGTCCACATATTTATGTTATTAGGTTAATTATTATATGATTCATAGCCCAAAAAATGTTTTATGCAAAATGCTCAATACAAAAACTAGTTGTTGTCTCTAATTAGCGAATCCAGCTGTGAAATCAATTGTGGACTGTGGACAAATTTTTTAATACCACTTTTGATATATTTTTGTCTTTTTTTCGGTTTTTGTCACTTTGTCAAATTATTTGGATTTTATCATGGTACATACTTCATGATTAATTTTATTAAAGACGTGATATGCTTTACAGTATTGTACTATTATCTATATTTTTACGCGGAGCTATAAAGTTTCATCAGTTGTCGGATTTTCTTTTAAAAAAAATCAAATGTTTTAGCAAATTTGTTTCAATACAAATACAGGTTGTAAAGTACAATACAAGTTGCATAAAGTGTATATACAGGTGTAAAGTACAAATATAAGTTGTATAATACAAGTACAGGTTGCAAAGTACAAATACAGGTTGTATTGTACAAATACAAGTTGTGAAGTATAAATACAAGTTGTAAAGTATAAATACAGGTTGTAATTTGTAAAGTATAAATTCAGGTTGTAAAGCACAAATACTAGTTGTTTAGTATAAATACAGGCTGTAATTTGTAAAGTATAAATACAGGTTGTAAATTTTAAAGTATAAATTCAGGTTGTAAAGTACAAATACTAGTTGTTTAGTAGAAATGCAGGTTGTAATTTGTAAAGTATAAATTCAGGTTGTAAAGTACAAATACTAGTTGTTTAGTTTAAATACAGGCTGTAATTTGTAAAGTATACATACAGGTTGTAATTTGTAAAGTATAAATTCAGGTTGTAAAGTACAAATACTAGTTGTTTAGTAAAGTGTAGAGTCAAGCTGTAATTTGTAAAGTATAAATTCAGGTTGTAAAGTACAAATACTAGTTGTTTAGTATAAATACAGGCTGTAATTTGTAAAGTATAAATTCAGGTTGTAAAGCACAAATACAAGTTGTTTAGTATAAATACAGACTGTAATTTGTAAAGTATAAATACAGGTTGTAATTTGTAAAGTATAAATTCAGGTTGTAAAGCACAAATACAAGTTGTTTAGTATAAATACAGACTGTAATTTGTAAAGTATAAATACAGGTTGTAATTTGTAAAGTATAAATTCAGGTTGTAAATTACAAATACTAGTTGTTTAGTATAAATAAAGGTTGTAATTTGTAAAGTATAAATTCAGGTTGTAAAGTACAAATACTAGTTGTTTAGTATAAATACAGGCTATAATTTGTAAAGTATAAATACAGGTTGAAAAGTACAAATACTAGCTGTAAAGTGTAGAGTCAAGTTGTAATTTGTAAAGTATAAATACAGGTTGTAAAGTTCAAATTATTTTTCAAAACAGTTTGAATCATGTTCCTTTGAATAAGTTTACAGAAACAAGTTAGCGCAACACTAATGAATATAGTCCTTCTGACACTCAGGAGGACTTGGGGAGGGGGGATGAAGAGTCCCCCAGGGATGATATTTTTTAATTAGAGTTGACCCCCCCCCCCCCCAATTATAAAACAAGTTGAGTTTTATTCTCTGTTTTTCTTAGCACGCGTTTGCGCCAACATTTCTGTTTTTTCAAGTGACAAATGAGTAAAACTCCTCTACATAGGAAAATTATAGATTTGAAGAAAATATGCATTTCAAGCAACTTACTGAGAAGAAAAAGTTTACAGGCAGACGAAATTTTTCTTCTTTTGTGACCATTAAGTTGCCATTTGAGGTTGATTTTGTCTTGAATTTGATATTTCTTAAATTTCTTCATTTTTTTATCTTTCCTTTCTCCTTTCATACTTTTTCGCTTATCTTTTTTATTTCTCTTCCCTGTTTGGTCAAATTTAGATTTCTTTTCCCACAAATAATCAATGTTCATGATTTTAGGGATTTTTCCAAAAGAAAATCTAACATTTGATTTTAAGAAATTGTGTCTTTGTCACAAACTCAAATTTGTAAATTCCTTTGTCTTTGCAACCTGATATTTTTTACCTTTGATATTTCTAAGTTTGATTATTTGATCTAACAGAATTATTAATAGTTTAAAATATGTAAGTTTTATGACTTTTGAATGCAAAGATATAGGGATGAGAAAATGGGAGTTTGTGCAATTAGGACTCAAATCCTTTTGATTAAAAAATAAAAATAAAATTTTATATTACTATTTATACAGAATATTTTGCAGTAACTTATTTAATGGAATATTTTACCAGTTTCATTTTTACGAATATTTCATTAGCATTTCTACACCTCTATTAAAAACATAGATGTTAATTTTCTCATTAATTAATTAATTGTAAATTTTTTATCTCTGAAAACTCATAATAACATAAATATTTCCTTCTATTTAATTGAATCCAATCAATTAATAATTAGCTAACCTTTCTGGGGATAATTATTATTATAATTCACTCGTAAGCTGTAATTCATAACAGAAATACTATAAAACCCTCTTTTAAATCTTAATGCCCGATTTATATCCCTTCATCCTTTCACCAGATTTCTGCCTTGAACATTTCCTTCCCTTTCTCTGCTGCATAAATAAAACATTAACATTGACTTTAAACAATTCGTGAAAGTTTATGATTGTCATTATATAATGTTAACATTAACATTAACATTAATGTAATGATGTTGTGATTTTGTTGATCTTTTACGATCAGCGGTTCATTGGATTTTAAGATCGTTGCGATCATAGTTATCTAAGGGTATTATACCCCTGCTGTATATACATAAATGACGGTTAATTTTGTTGTTTACTTGAAAATTCGGGAACAAGCCAAGCTGAGTTTATTTATAACCCAAGCCACGCCGTCCGTTATCTCGGAGGGGGTTGTGCTGGGGATGTCGGCCCGATAGGCCGGGAAAGCTAGGGTTAAAATCCAAGCAGGGTTCCCGGAGAAAAGCAGTTCACCACGAACCCTTTGGGTGTGAGGTGAAGGAATATCCTGATCATTCTTCTACTGTTGACTGCTATTTATTTTGCATATAAATCGTATAGTATTTTCTTTCTCAATGTTTGTATAAAGTAAAATAAATTGTAAAACCATCTCTCGGAATATTTGACGTATGAGTTGTTGCATTGAATTTTTTTATCATATTCTAGATTAACATTAACATTGACTCTGAAAAATTCATTGAAGTTAATCGTTATCAGTGTATAATGTTAACATCAACATTAACATTGACTTTAAACCTTTCATGAAAGTTCATGATTGTCATTATATAATGTTAACATTAACATTTACATTAACATTAAAATTAACATTAACATTGACTTTAAACCTTTCATGAAAGTTTATGATTGTCAGTATATAATGTTAACATTAACATTAACATTAACATTAACATTGACTTTAAACCTTTCATGAAAGTTTATGATTGTCATTATATAATGTTAACATTAACATTAACATTAACATTAACATTAACATTGACTTTAAACCATTTATTAAAGGTTATGATTGTCAGTATACAATGTTAACATTAACATTAACATTAACATTAACATTAACATTAACATTAACATTAACATTAACATTAGCATTAACATTAACATTGAATTTAAACAATACGTAACATTAACATTAACATTAACATTAACATTAACATTAACATTAACATTAACATTAACATTAACATTAACATTAACATTAACATTAACATTAACATTAATATTAACATTAACATTAACATTGACTTTAAACAATTCGTGAAAGTTTATGATTGTCAATTTATAATTTTAACATTAACATTAACATTAACAATAACATTAACATTAATATTGACTCTAAAAAATTCATTCATTCAACATTTATATGTCAATATCAATTAACATTACAGTTGTATGTAAATATTAACATTAATTAAATTAATAAATAACATCAATGGTCTCATAAAGAGCCTCTAATGTACTTTTATATAGAATTTCTCTAAGCATTCATTTTTTGCCTCAGTCAACAGTGAATGTATTGTAAATTGGTAATGGTAAATAGGCATGCATGATATCATACAAGCCGATTTACAATATACCATATCAATTGCATTATGATGCAATTCCTTAAATGAAAAGGCACTTACAATTTCATGGAGAGTCCTTTTCTTTTTTTAGTCTGCAATTGTGTTTGGTATTTAACAATAATGGTTTCCTTGAACTTAATTTAATGAATTTGGTCTGCCTACCGCCGGTTCAAATCCCTCCTTAATCTTTAAGTTGTAATGTAATGTAGGTTCAAAGTAGGGTTTGCAGCGAAAAGAAAAAATCGTTTCGCGAAAATTTCACAAAAAAAATTTCGCGAAAATTTTTGCACTTCGTACGCTTGTGAAAAATGCAAACATTTTTGCGAAAAATCCTTCAAAAAAGACAAATTACAGCTTCAACACCTAAGGGTTTTGCGAAATATTTCGCTTCGTATTTTTCGCTTCATACATTTTCGTGAAAAAGTGAAAAAAAATTTCGCATTTTTTCGCGAAACGTTTCGTTCGCTGCAAACCCTACAAAGTCGAACAATGTGTTAATTAGTTTTTGTTATTTTGTATCTCTCTTCAGAGAATGAAAACGGTTTTTTTGCTGCCTGAGTCAACATTGTATAAAATGCAAAGGCTCAAACGTGTTGAAACTATAAATCAAACTAAATGATTAACTTTCTTTAAGACTTTCTTCTTCAACTTAAAAAGATGNTTGCATATTTGTATAGATTATTAGTTGTATTGAGAGGAATCAGTTTCAGGTTTCCTTTCAATAAGACCCAGACAACAAGTTTTTTCGATGGGTAGACTTGTGAATATAATGAGCAAGTTTTCTTTATAGATGTTTATTTTCAACCTTCTCATTTAAACTAAACACTCGTCAAAAGCACATAACTGAAATATACAAAATAGTTAAGATATATAACTTGATAAATATGCATACACTTATGCATACAATCTAAAGATTATTTAAGGATTACAACTATTACCTTTTTATATTGATAAATTCATCTTGGAAACTGTCTCCACACCTGTGAAAGGTGCGGAGTTTAAATGGAAACTACCTGCTTTGTATTGTAAGATAGACAAACAGTAATGTCGTCTTTTATAAATATATCAAAGCTAAACATTAGTTTAGGATTTTAAAACGGCTTATTCGACAATTCTTATAATAGATATATTATATAGAAATGCGCAATTGTTTTTTATTTATGTTGAGTAAAGTTAATTTCAGTTGCATATACTCTGCGTTCATATTGAAACCAGTTCTCTCTGGGCGGTATTTGTAAACAAGAATAGATGCATCAGTGTTCGTTTAGTATCCGAGGAGGTTAAAAGCTTTTAATCTTGATTATTTTGATAATTCACATACTAGATGCATAATAGTTTCCTATGACCAGAATATTTCATTGATTTTTCATGTGAAAGATGGATCCCATTTTTCAAAATTATAAACATTGATATCTAATTCATACTTGATCAGGCAAAGCATTTAAAGGTATCGTTGTGAATCTTTGTTTGGTGGGTAACTTGAAATTACACTTACAATCTCTTTAAAAAATGTTTGCAAAATATTCTTCAGAGTTTAAGTATTTTTTTTCTCTAAAACTTGATTTTACTTATAGAACTTGCAAGATTATACTGTTTAATGCAGGTTTTAAAAATAAAGCTCTCAATCAAGAATATTTTGATAATGGAAGCAAAGAATTATGGATATGAAGAGGATGTTGAGTTTATTTCAAAACAAACTTTTTAACTTGACATAAATCTGCATTATTCATGTTCACTAATATTAGTTTTTTTTTTAAATCTCCGTAATTAAATTTAGAAATGAACAAACTCGATGCCTTCCAAAAATGCATTATTAAAGCTCACTTGCAAATGGCATAACAAAATTTTAAAGAGTAAAGTATTTTAATTTCTTGGATTTTTTAGCTAAACTGGATTTTAATATAATTTGTTAGATATAAAGTTTTAAAGTGCCGTTGCCGAAATTTAATTATATTTTAAATATTTTTTTTTTATTTAAATTGCAAGCATACAGGGTGTTTTTTATAAACGTTTATTCTTTTTAGTGACAGATATATGAAATTCACCAAAAAGATTAAAAATTATGCAGTTCTTTTTTAAAACTACACTTTTGTGAAACAATTTCAAAATAATGGCTAATCCTACAAAAAAAACGTAAGAAAACCAAATATCCAAGGTCAAGAGGAATTTCCGGAAATGTTAGTTTAGATTTACCTTGAAAAAGTAAAACCTAGAATTTTTAAACCACACTTAGAACATTCCCGTAAACCACGGGAACGTTCCGAGTAGCAAATAAAAACTTGAGGTAAATCGGTCGATGGGTTTATGAGTTATGATCCGGAAATTCCTCCTGAACTTGGTATCTTGGTTTGCTGGAGAGAAGACTGAGTTCTGACGTGGATTATCCATTTCTTAGAAATAGTTTCGCAAAAGTTTAGTTTTGAAGAAGTGCTGCAAGTGATGCACAATATTCTATTTTTTGGTGGATTTTTATCTATCTCTTAAGGAAATAAAAACTAACACTTAACATTTTTTTTCGAGCAAACATCAAGTATAATATCTTACCTTAAGTACTTTTCGAAGTAACCTAATCAAATTCGAAAAACTAAGGACCAAGCTTTATCTTTTTTTATGCTTACCTTAAAATTTGAATTTCAATTAGATATATGTAGATATAAAAAAATCAAAATAGACCAAGAAGAACCTGTTATAGATATGATGGAATCCCAGAACTTTGATGTAATGTTTAAAATTATCATATTTTTGTCAATAATACGTCTATATTCTATACATATACGTATAATGCATAAATATATTCTTTAGTTAGTTTCTTTAACTTAACTATAATAGTACCTCGAGACGCTAAAAGCTACTTAAACAATGTACATATATAACTATATCTGTAGAGTGTCCCAAAACTTTGAATATGGTTTGATCTTCTATTTTAACAAAAATGAAAAATTAACATTATTTGGTCACCCTTTTTAGTTGAATATTGTTTTTGAACAAATATTTGTACACCCCCTCTAGTTGAATACTGTTCTAGAACTAATATATGTACACCCCTCTAGTTGAATACTGTTCTAGAACTAATATTTGTACACCCCTCTTGTTGAATACTGTTCTAGAACTAATATATGTACACCCCTCTAGTTGAATACTGTTCTAGAACTAATATTTGTACACCCCTCTAGTTGAATACTGTTCTAGAATTAATATATGTACACCCCTCTAGTTGAATACTGTTCTAGAACTAATATATGTACACCCCTATAGTTGAATACTGTTCTAGAAGTAATATATGTACACCCCCTCTAGTTGAATACTGTTCTAGAACTAATGCACTATCTGTCTGATGAACATTAACCCTCTCAATCTATTCTTCCTTCTCAAAGGTAAAGAAAACAAAGAAAAAAAAGGCAATTAGAGGTCGGAAATAATGAATAGAGAAAGTTAGTTGAACAAGGTACGAATAGTTAAACTTCTTTATATTGTGCACTCAACCAAAAAAGCTATTCCATTTAACGGGAAAATTCCAGTTAGATATATCTCACACTCTGTTCGACGTAGATAAACATAGCTATATTGTTGATATTTCGCAATACAAGTTTGTTGAAAGAGGCAACATTCATTATAAAAAAAACGGTTAGCTATTTCTATTCCCAAAGTTTGCAATATATCTTTTGATACAATGGCGTTTCTGTGAAACATAGAATTTCACGCACAAGAGATGTACTTCGAGCAAAGGAACCCGGCTTTCAGCTGAATACTGGTCTAAAGTAGATTGCATTTAATAAAGAATGGCCCTGATAAGAGAAATTTATATTTTTTTGTTAATGTTCATAAACAGAATCGTCAAAAATGTGTTAAAATGAGTTAAGTTATCTCCAGAAGAAATTGCAACAATTTACATATCTTTAAGTATTTTCTTCGGCTAGATAACATTTATCAGCCGCTTTACTTAAAGTCATTTCAAGAGTGGCATTCACAATCACTTCACAAATGGAAGACCACTTAAACTTTCGCTTACAGTTCCTTTATATGTGAATATTAGTGTGCTTTTATAACCTTATTCAGCTATATATATTCTTACATAGAGTTGTTGATTTTTATTTTTGTGACACTGAAAGCCACTTTCAATATAACTTTCTAGCAAAATATTTATTATTATATTTGTGCCAATATCATCCTCTCCAACTGTCCATCCTCCTTTTTACCCCCACGACAANCAAATTGATGCCCACCTCTATCCATTGGAAAACTGGACACAGTCTCCTCTATTCAAATTCCAAATTGATGCCCACCTCTATCCATTGGAAAACTGGACACAGTCTCCTCTATTCAAATTCCAAATTGATGCCCACCTCTATCCATTGAAAAACTGGACACAGTCTCCTCTATTAAAATTCCAAATTGATGCCCACCTCTATCCATTGGAAAACTGGACACAGTCTCATCTATTCAAATTCCAAATTGATGTCCACCTCTATCCATTGGAAAACCGGACAGTCTCCTCTCTATTGAAATTAGGTTTCCAAGCAAAGTAAATGTCCAAATTCAATCCAAGCACGTTAAGCATTTTCTAAATTTTATTATTTACAAACCGTGCAAAAAGTTTTTGATTTTTCAAATTCCAATTTTTTGTTTAGGCAACCCAATACGTTTAATCTATATACTTCTGTATCAAAATCTGTCAAGTTGAAACAATCAAGTGGAAAAAATCTCTTTGATTAAATAAAATAAAAAATGTTTACATTTACAACACAATACACTATTTTGTGGATTTACAATACAAAAATTTGGGGGATGAATACGCAATCCTTAATTTTTAATTTTGATGTACAAACATTTAAAGCTCAAATGACAGAGCATTTTCAAAAGTTCCCAAATGAGCCACCTAAGATTATTTGCATTTCTCACCTTTATTTTCCACTTCTTCACAATTCATTTAGAGCTGGGAACTTTTATGTTGGATATTCATAATCCCGTTCGCATGATTCCAATATCCACATTGGACACTTTTAATTTTCAAGATCAATACTTAATCTCTTTATTTCAGTTACTCCTTAAGGGGAAAAACACACTGCGGATATCGAAAAAAGCTTAAATTAATCTTCAGATTAACAAAAGTTCGAAATCAAGCATTAATCTTGATATTAACAATACAAGAGTTCCAACCGCTGATTTAATTTTTAATTCATGTTTTAGTAAGATTGGAGAAACTAATAACAGACTACGGCATGATGACCTTCTACGATGGACTGGAGGTATAATTTACATAATATTTTTAGTTTTTTCTTTCGTATTAACATTGTCCGTCCATAGAGGGACGATACTTTGGCACCTATAAATGTTTCTTATCTGATAGACAGATATAATTAGAATGGGAGACATTTAACGGCAAACCAATCCTCCCCCAAAGTACGTCATTGAGACAAACATTATTTTGAAGGGGCTTAGTACGTACATATATACGGAATGAAAGTCGTCATTGTTAAGTTCTTGCAAGGGTAGGCCCAGGATGATAGTTCTCCCCCTGTGTGCTCAGTTAGCTGTACTGTACACTTACAACTGTAAAATAAGTAAATGATTAGCGTACATGATCATCACTCTATCCAGTAAAACCTCGTTGGTTTGTACTTTGCAGTACATTGTAGTACCCTGTACCCTGAAGCACTCTGTATACCCTGTTTCCATCACTTTCCATAAAAAGATTTGGGAATTACAAATTGTTGTTTTTGCCATTCCTCCCTTCAATGAATCATCAGCTGTTTAGTTTTAAACCATCAACGGAACCTCTTTTATACTGTTATACACAAATGAAAATAATGCAAAACTAGAGTAAAGTGCAACCCAGAAAAGCTTCTATATAAGTTCTAAATATTTTTGTTCAAAATAAAAATTCTGTTTGGTTTGGCAACTTTTTTCTGCAGAATCTTTCCTACTCTCTGAAAAGTTTCACATCGATATGTTTAAAGCAATATCTGTTAATACTTATTTTAACTCAAACTCTTAACTAAATGAATATAGAAAAAATATGCTGGTTTAAGAAAGTTTTAGATAGATATTTGTAATCATCCAGAACAAAAAGTTTTATCAAAATTAAACTTTTTTAGGTTTATTGGACGTCTTCAAAAAAATGCAAAAAAAAATCATTTCTGACACCCCTAGGCTTAGTACGTCAATATAATTCACCAAAACCATACTGCAGTCCTTCAATTATCATACAGGGAAATTTTCATCTTTCTAAACATCCAAACGAAAGATTTGACAGGTTCTTTACCTTACCTTACCTTGTGTTCTTGTATATGATAAACGTGGATTAATTTAGTATATTTTGTGATTGTGATAAGTAACATTTTTAAAATTATAACACATAATAAAGAACAAATTCTTGAGAAACAGGGGTTGCCCACGAAGGATGAGAATTCAGAGACGACTTGATCCCGAATCTATACAATACATGTCTGTTTACTGATATTTATGATTCCTGCAACCGTATATATATACTTATTTTTTTTCTTTGCCAAATCATTATGGGAGCCATTAAAAACTCTGTTCAAGGCAAAAAAAACTTCATTCAACCTTGGCCAGAATCAACATATCTCAAAAGTTTTAGGTCGTCTTTACCATTTTCATTCTTTATGGGAAACCCAGTAAATTTCTAAAAAAGATGTTAGGCACTCAATAGTTTTCCTTAACCAATATCATAGAAGAGAATGATTTTACAAAAAGTACAAATTAGAACAAAATCATACAAAAATATTAAATATTTAAAATAGTAGAAAAAATATTAGGAAAACAGCATTCAGTCTAATTTTCAATGAAGAACATTTATTTATTTAGCTTTTTGTATACAACAGTTCACTTTTACCAACCTACAGGGGAAAAAATTATCATTTATAAAGTTATAGAGTGATAAATGGAAATAATGATAGATATGTAAATAGATGAATAGATAGATAGATATGTAAATAGATGGATAGATAGATGGATTTGTGAATAGATGGATAGATAGATGGATATGTGAATAGATGGATAGATAGATAGATATGTAAATAAATGGATAGATAGATGGATATGTGAAAGGATGGAAAGATAGAATGATATAATTAAGATAGATAGATAGATAGATGAATAGATAGATAGATAGATAGATAGATAGATAGATAGATAGATAGATAGATAGATAGATCAATAGAAAGATAGATAGATAAATAGAGAGATAGATGTATAGATATATAGATAGATAGATAAATATATAGATATATAGATAGATATATAGATAGATAGATAGATAGATATATAGATAGATAGATAGATAAATAGATAGATATATAGATAAATAGATTTTCTTCCTCTGGGGTTGGTTTACATCTCTGTAATACTACCTTGTGTCAGATTTATCATTTACTTGTAACAATAATCTTGTAATTTATTTGATTTAATAACAATATAACAAGATATCTAGAGATGGGCACATTTAGAGAAAATTATCAACTTGAGTCGACCAATATTCAAGTGATCATAAATTTAAAACCGATTCACAAGGGTACCCGATTCACAAGAGTACCCGATTCACAAGGGTACCCGATTCACAAGGGTACCCGATTCACAAGATTACCCAATTTACAAGGGTACCCAATTCACAAGAGTACCCGATTCACAAGGGTACCCGATTCACATGAGTACCCGATTCACAAGGGTACCCAATTCACAAGGGTATCCGATTCACAAGGGTATCCGATTCATAAGGGTACCAGATTCACAAGGGTACCCGATTCACAAGGGTATCCGATTCACAAGGGTACCCGATTCACAAGGGTACCAGATTCACAAGAGTCCCCGATTCACAAGAGAACCCGATTTACAAGAGAACCCGATTCACAAGGGTACCAGATTCACAAGGGTACCCGATTCACAAGAGAACCCGATTCACAAGGGTACCAGATTCACAAGGGTACCAGATTCACAAGAGAACCCGATTCACAAGGGTACCAGATTCACAAGGGTACCAGATTCACAAGAGTCCCCGATTCACAAGGGTACCCGATTCACAAGGGTACCCGATTCACAAGGGTACCCGATTCACAAGAGAACCCGATTCACATGGGTACCCAATTCACAAGGGTACCCGATTCACAAGGGTACCCGATTTACAAGAGAACCCGATTCACTAGAGAACCCGATTCACAAGGGTACCAGATTCACATGGGTACCCGATTTACAAGCGAACCCGATTCACAAGGGTACCCGATTCACAAGAGTCCCCGATTCACAAGAGTACCCGATTCACAAGGGTACCCGATTCACAAGGGTACCCGATTCACAAGAGTACCCGATTCACAAGAGAATCCGATTCAAAGATTATTTCAGTTTATTCAATTTAAATACACACGCACTTTATTGGTCATCATTTAGCACTTTATGATTTTAAAACTTACAGATTTGTCATTTTATAGTTTTATTTGAAACGCATTCGCCCAAAGTAAAATATAAAAGAGAAAAATATAGTTTAGATATGTCCAATTATTAAAAATCACTGTTTGCAGACCTAAAACTGGTCGATGGAAGCCACTAACTCTAGAAAAGGGATGGAGTTTTTGCCACAAATTCTAAACTTCTTATCCCTATATCTTTGTAACCTGATGGTGTAAACCTCTCATATTTTAAGATTAAGCTATTTGATCGCACAGAATTCATAGTTTGAAATTTCAGAGTATATCAGGATTCAAAGATAAAGAGATGAGAAAATCATAGAGTTTGTGGCAGTTTGCATTAGAATTAACTTCTTCAGAGAAAACCTTTTAAACAAACTTAAATTGAATAAATTGTTTGGTGAAACCCTTGAAATTTCAATCTGGATTTTCTATTAAGTTTTTAATAAGGAAAACCTATTCTTAATCACGCATTAAAGGGAATGTAAGGATGATTTAATTCAAGTAACCCTCAATGTAAGGACGGTAACACGATTCATAACTGTACCTCAGAAAGCTTTGTCTGACTAAATATGAATACATAGATATCAATCACTATAATTTAACAAACAGGAACTTACTTTTTTCCAATAAATTTATATATTTTTTTTTATACAGAAATAATTCTTCTTAAAAATTTATATTGCGTGATTTTGAATGAAAATACTTGTAATCTTTTAATATTGTCTTTATTGATGATAAAAAAAGTTAAATTGCAGGGAAAAGATTGTTTAACCTGGTGCTACTTTTTTGTTCCTTATTTTGGAGAACCAAATTACTTTTATGGTAAGTTATTCCTATATATTCATTTTTCTTCTACATTCCTCCATTATTCTTCTACTTTCCTCCATTATTCTTCTACTTTCCTCCATTATTGTTTGCTTTACCCTTCTACTATCCTCTATTATTCTTATATTTTCCTCCATTATTTTTTGCTATTATCCTGCTACTATCCTCCATTATTCTTCTACCATCCTCAATTATTCTTCTACTTTCCTCAATTATTTTTTTCTATTATCCTTCTACTATCCTCCATAATTCTTCTATCATCCTATTCCTACATTATTCTTCTACATTCCTCCATTATTTTTTACTATTTCCCTTTTAATATCCTCCATTATTCGTTTACTATCCTCCGTTATTCTTCTACTATCCTCCATTATTCTTTACTATTACCCCTCTACTATCCTCCATTATTCGTTTACTATCCTCCAATATTCTTCTACTTTCCCCCATTATTCTTTTCTATTACCCCTTTACTATCCTGATCCATTATTTTGTTCTATTACCCTTCTACTATAATACACTCCATTGCCCTCCGACTATATTCCATTGCCCCTTCAATCAACCCCCTCAGATATTATTTATTAACTTTGGCTCTATAGAGGATATCTATGGACCACCCGCTGTTTCTTACTAAATTTGATTCTATACAGATCGAAAACTTTAGTTGTACAATTTCATCTTTAGGTTTTTATCATCTTTTTACATACAAAAAAATTGAAGAAATTGTCATCATTCGAAGCGGATGAATTTTGCTCATACAGTTATAACTAATAAATATCGTTCTTATTTCTAATCAGAAATGGTTTAAATTTGTATTTGTGAATGATTTCACTGACACTATTACAATGGTTTTACTAAAAACATTAAGAACAAAATGATTAGAAATTAAGATGTTGTTAACAATCTGAAATCTACCAACCTGCGGAAAGTGAAATGCAATGATACATTGCAGATTTTCTTGCAATATGACATCAAATAAATCATGCATTTCCAGAGGCCAATTTTTTGTATTAGTTCATTTCAGAATTCTAATTGCAATTGTCACAAAGGTGTTGTAAAGTACAGGCTAGGAAGAAAGTACAAAGGTGTTGTAAAGTACAAGCTAGGAAGAAAGTACAAAAAGTTCGTCGTGTAAATATAAAAAAAGAAAATCTTCACAAATATCTCCACGAGAAATATTTTCATTTTGTTTGGGCTTTTCAAATGTGGACATTTTAGACCCTTCCTATGTATACTTTGCTTACCTATTGATTTGGTTGTTTAATGTATCCCATAAACGTTAAACGGCTTAACCGATCCGGCTCAATTTTTTTGTGGAACCTTAAATGACCCCAGAAAAAGTTTAAGATGGTCAAAATTAAAAAGAAAATTTGTTTTATATATTTTCTTTTAATCCACGAAAAAATCGATAACTCCGTAAACAGGTTTTTGCCTTTAGTCGATAATTAAGAAAGAAAAAATGCTGTAGATAGATCAACTGTAAAAAATTAAAATCAAAGATTGGCGCGAATCACCCTGGAAGCCTGGTGATCATTTAAAATATTGATTCGAAGGTTGATTAATTGATTGATAATTATTCTCAGGAGTCTGCCTGATATGCCTTGTTCTTCTCCTAGTCTGGTGTCATGCAGTAATTGCATTCTGTTTTGCAATATTTCATCTGGTATTCTGGTCTCTCACGTGTTTCCAGTGCCCTCTACCATGCAAACATTATTCAGGTTAATCTCTTTAGCTTTGTGACCTCGTAGCTTCTCTAGGTGACATTTAAAGCCTTTAAGTTGTATGTTTGAGAAAAACACAGTTCCAGCTTAATGTATACTATAATTATATATATAACTATATATATAAACTATAATTGTTGCTGTAACTTTGTGACCTCGTAACTTCTCTAGGTGACATTTAAAGCCTAAGTTGTAAGTTTGAGAAAAAACACAGTTCCAGCTTAATGTATACTATATTGATGGTGCAACTTTGTGACCTCGTAGCTTCTCTAGGTGACATTTAAAGCCTTTAAGTTGTAAGTTTGAGAAAAACACAGTTCCAGCTTAATGTATACTATATTGATGGTGCAACTTTGTGACCTCGTAGCTCCTCTAGGTCACATTTAAAGCCTTTAAGTTGTAAGTTTGAGAAAAAACACAGTTCCAGCTTAATGTATACTATAATTGTTGCTGTAACTTTGTGACTGCGTTGCTCCGCTATTTTTTTTATATTCAACACAAGTGTATGAGAAAAATTGAAGAAAAAAACTGATTATTCTTCTCATAAAGCTCATTATAAAGTGTATCTTGGACAGGGGCGGATACACGATCTAAGTGAGTGGGCAAGATTTGTAAAAGAACAAAAAATCCATATTTGTGAATCGAAAGACGCGACGCAGGTGAAATATTTTTTGACTTAAAAGTCAAAATGAATGACTAAAGACTAAAAAACTAGATTTTGAACTTATCACACATCATAGTTTATTAAGATAGATATTTTTCCTGTTTTGCACTAGGTTTTCTTTCCCTTTCTTATTTTGAAAAAAGGAACAAAACAGTTCAAAAATAGAATAAAAAACATTTTTATGTTCTTCTGAAAAAAATACTAGATAGGAACAATATCATAACATAAGTCTAGTTTCTTACAAATTTCTACATTTTTCGTTCACGTTCACTTGTTGATTTTTAAAACAATTTCAAGAAGTGAATGGGGGGCGGCTCCCCCCCCCCTTATGTTGTCATGGGGTGAGAAGGTCCTGCCCCCCACCTGTATCCGCCCCTGAGCTTGGATTGAAAAATATAAGATATTAATTTTAATTAAATTTACTGAAATTATGACAAAAAATCTCTAGTTGTTTTAAATATATGGTTATTTTGATGATTTTTAGGTTTTGCATAACTTTGTTAACATACAAATTCTCTAAACAGCTGATTTGTCAAACTTTGTCAAAATTATCACATCAAATTTTATGCTATTTGATCTTTAGATTTTGATCAAATTAATAAATTATAATTGACCAGCTAACATTCATTTAGATAAATCAATGATATTTGATCAGCTGATACTAATCAATAATATTTGATCAGCTGATACTAATCAATAATATTTGATCAGCTGATACTAATCAATTATATTTGATCAGCTAATACTAATCAATTAACTTTGATCTGGTGATACTAATAAATTATATTTGATCATCTGATATTAATAAATCATATTTGATTAGCTGATTTTAATAAATTTTTTTGATCAGCTGATACTTATTAATTTTATTTGAACAGCTGATATTAATCAATTATATTTGAACAGCTGATACTAATCAATTATATTTGATCAGCTAATACTGATCAATAATATTTGATTAGCGGATACTAATCAATTATATTTGATTAGCTGATATTTATCAATTATATTCGATCAGCTGATACTAATTAATTATATTTGGTTAACTGAACTAATCAACTATATTTGATCAGCGGATACTAATCAATTATATTTTATCAGCTGATACTAATCAATTTTATTTGATCAGCTGCTATCAATTATGAATATTTGATCAGCTGATCCTAATCAATTTTATTTGATCAGCTGATACTAATCAAGTAAATTTGATCAGCTGGTGCTAATCAAAGCTGATATTAATCAATTTTATTTAATCAGCTATGTGTGATGAATCGTTCCTGTGTCAAGACTGGTTAATGTTCTGGGCCTGGCCTTCGTTTTTTACAGGACTCTTGGTAAATCAACCATTTCAGTTTAGGAATTAAGGGACTGTACACATAATTAGGCTCACTTCAAATTAGGTAAACAGTCTCTTTAATTCAACAATAAATAAGTTCAAACATAAACATTTTATACAATTTTTCCTTGTGTCCATAGTATTCTTTTATAAACGTTTAGTTCTTAAGAAGAAAACAATAACAATTGAAAAATGATATAAATTTTCTTTGATACCGGATTATCTTTTAACAATGATTAGATGCTATGTCTCTTTTAATTTTCTTTTTTAGGTTTTCTATATCAATTTACGGCCATTTGTCCATCATGTAATTTAGCAGATGTTCCAGTTTCTATTTGGTTTTATAAATTGATGAGATATCCTAACTTAATTTCAAGCCTGTGCGCCTGTCTTAAAAGCTTTGTTTGATCAAAATATCAATGTACATGATTATGTATTTTGTTTTGCTTTCTCTATAAAAGTGACTTGCGCATTTCTACTGCAGAAAAACACGTAATTAAACCTGTAAAAACAACAATATCTTCCACATCAGATAATTACTCAGATAAAAGTTTGAAGGGTACCGTTTTGAATTTGGCATTGCAATCTTTTCGTGGAGGGTCATTTGAAATTACGCGTACAGGCCCTTTAATGAACAAATTTACAGTTTTACATTTAAAATTACGCGTACAGTCCCTTTAACGAACAAATTTACAGGTTTACATTTGAAATTACGCGTTCAGTCCCTTTAATGAACAAATTTACAGTTTTACATTTAAAATTACGCGTACAGTCCCTTTAATGAACAAATTTACAGGTTTACATTTGAAATTACGCGTACAGTCCCTTTATTGAACAAATTTACAGTTTTACATTTAAAATTACGCGTACAGTCCCTTTAATGAACAAAATTACTGGTTTACCTTTGAGTCTTAAAAACTTAATGTTTATAAGAGAATAAACAATAATGCCAAATGCCTTTAATTTTTCAAATTTCAAATTCCTTTATTTTGTAAGAAAGACTCAATTCTAGGACGTCATCGAAGTCTCATCCTTTGTGGGAAATCCTATAAATGTTAATTCAAGTTCTTCAAAATACAACTTATTTTGAAGAATATTAAAAATTATAGAATCAACTGTTTTTAGATTTAAAATTTTTCAGGGTGTTTCAGGCTGGTGCAGTTTTAAATATCAGGAAACAAGCCAAAAAAAACGTTTAAATTTCTGAAACAAAAATAGCCATTACACTGTCTATTCTGAATCTTATTTCGGTAACTTTAATTGCATTATTATTATTTGATAAGTTTCATAATGTAAAATTTAATTTTTACGTTTTTAATTATCAATTAAAAGTTTGATATCTTCAATATATTTTATCGGAATTAATTTGGAATCTTTCAAAGATTTCTCAGAATTTGTTTCAATTTAGGAGAAAACTGACTCAATATCAAAATTAGAATAAACATCTTAGAGATTAAGTTTTTGTCTTTGTTTATATATCTTGGGACTTCCGTTTACCTTTTATTGGGATTTTCCACCGATACGATTCTTCACCCCTTCCCCCTCCCCTTTACATGATTTTTGTATCCCTAAAAATTAATTCTTAAAAAAGAAGAGATTTTTTTCTTTCTTCCTTAAATAATTTAAAAAATAACACTTTGTAAGATTTTTCATATTTTTTTGATTTTAAAGGATTTTAAAAAGCGTGTTTCGGCAAAATTTCTAAAATTTCAATTTACTACATGATTTTTTTCAGTAGTCGTGTAACTTGTTTTAAATAAAAACTATAAGGGCTTATCAACGATTTCATAAATTATTGAGAATCTGATTCCTGTTTTTAGTTGAGTTCTGACATGTTGGTTATTTGTCTTGTTGTATGTGCAGAGTCAGTGTACAGGACTATTATCTGGGGAAATCAGAACCAGATTTCTCATCAGCAAAAAGGAAATCTCAGATTGATTACTCGTACAAGAATATCTCACAATTATAATTATTTACAACTATACTTTTACCAATTTTGCACAGCGAGACAAAATTGGTAAAGCCGCTGAGATTTAGCTTAATTGTTCCGTAAGCAACTTTACCGCCCTTGAACTAACATAACCGACCCATGATTCCCCCCGTCAACGGGGTTTTAAGTGAATTTACGTCCCTTGGGAGAGTTGTGTAAAATAAACACTCGCTCTTCGCAGTTTTAGCTAAAAAATCGTGCAATGTTTTCAGTAAGTGCGATTTACAAATAAATTGTATGGGTCTTTTCTTCACAATACTGCTCTGAATTTTATCCACCAAACTCTAAAATAAGCATCTTTGTTTTAATGAAAAGTTTAAATTTAGTTTTTTGACACAAACTTAACTCTAAACTCTATACAAGGAAATATCTTCAAGATTGCATAAATTTATGCAAACTGTTTGAATTGCAATATTGCCAATATATTCCTAGATAAGTATTAAAATGTAAAAAATTACTGAATTCAAATGATGTAATTTATTGAGAATTGTGAAAAATGAAGATGGATACCATACGTATTTACAATTTACTTTTATTTATTACAACTAGAATTAGGAAATTAAAGAAGCTAACCGAGTGTAAATCCCTTTTATTATATTTTATGAATAATATGCATGCAATTATGAAATAAGAGATAGCAAACTATATGATTGGTCATCGCTTTAAGAATTTCTTAATTTGAAAATATGACTACTGACTGATTTATCTCAAAAGTGTTCAGATATGGTAACTCTTGTATTGTGATTCTATGCTCAATCTACAGATTTATTTGATCTTTGTGGATATGTTAGATCAAGGGATTAACCAGATTCTGCGTAAAAGGACTCGGGATTATATGATTATATCCACCTCAAAGTTCCCAGCGAGGACACTATTTAAAAATAGGCCGTTTTAAATTACAAACTCCTCTGCAGCGGCTTCTTTTAAATTCAAAATAAAAGAAGATGACAAGAATTAAACTGTTTCTTGGGTAATGTTACTTAGGTCATACAGCATTTTTGTCCTATCTGTACTTTACGTCCTACGATACTTCGGATACTGCAGTCTGCAACATCAGACTTACGTCAGCTGTAGGTCGGATGTACATTCTATTTTGTTAATCCGACCAACGCAGGAACTGCAGATCTTGTCAGTATGTAGTTGACAGTGCTACCATAAGGATCTGACTGTTCCTGTTGCACATACATATTTGTAGGTCGGATGCACATACTTTTGTAGGTCGGATGCACACTTTTTGTATGTCGGATGCACAACTTTTGTAGGTCGGATGCACAACTTTTGTATATCGGATGCACACATTTTGTAGGTCTGATGCACAGTTTTGTAGGCAGATGAACACTTTTTTTAGGTCGGATGCACACTTTTTGTAGGCCGGATGTTAGGTTTGGTTATGTCTGGGCCAAGCGCTACGGCTAGGGCATGCTAGGGAGGCCAAGCGCTGCGGCCACATTTATTAAATTGACAAAGTGATAGCCAATCTATGAGGTAAGGTTAGGTTAAGACAATTTCTGGGCCGAGCACTGTGCAGTGGTTAGAACATGCAAGGGGGCCACTGCTATAAAAATGATAAAGTGAAACCAGCCAAGGGTTCCCCCATATATACATAGTATATTGTATAAGTTCGCTGCTCCCAGTTGAAGAAATAATGCCTGATAAATGCAATCTGTAAGAATAAAGCCAAACAATCCAGATTCAGTCCAAAAGGTATACACCCAAGTTAACGTGCGCAACCGACATAATATGCAGTAGGTCGGATACATCAACTTTTTTTCAATTGAGTGTGTATCCGAAATACAATTCATCGGACCGACAGCAGCTGGAAGCTGCTGAAAAACCATGTGCGGGTAGGTCCGAAGAATCGTAGGACGGATGTAATGTTGGACGGATCTAATAAAATCGTTTCTGGTTCTAAGTGAAGATTAAATTATCTTTCAACTATGTTGTACAGAGTTCAGAAACGGAAACAGAGTAAAATATTTAGCAAAAATAAAATAAAACTGAGTTATTTTTATCAGTGCTGTGGGCACGAAGCACCTTCCTCGGAATCTGGAATTTGTAGATCAGTCTCCCTACAGCTGAGGTATTATTATTATCATCATTTTTAATCTTATAATTATTCTTATAATTTGTATTATCATGATCACTGTTATCGTTAATAGCCCAAACGAAAAGAGAAAAAAATACCCCCCCCCCTCCTGAAATTTTCTTGCTTTAAAATTTGAAATGTGCTATCGACTCTAAAATTCAAAGAAGTTTAAGATCGATTAGATTGAGTAGATTTTCGAATATTTTAGATCAAGTAGATTGTTGATTACTTTAGATCGAACAGATTGTTGAAAATATTTTAGATTGAGTAGATTGTCAATATTTTATATCAAGTAAATTGTTAAATACTTTAAATGGAGTAGATTGTTAATCTTTTAAATCAAGTAGATTGTTGAATACTTTAGATAGAGGAGATTTTTGAATATTTTAGATTACGTAGATTGTTGAATATTTTTGATTGAGTAGATTGTTGGTTGAATATTTTAGATCGAGTAGATTGTTGAATATTTTAGATAGAGTAGATTGATGAATATTTTAGATCAAGTAGATTGTTGAATATTATAGATCGAGTAAATTGCTGAACATTTTAGATCGAGTGGATTGATGAATATCTTAGATAGAGTAGATTGTTGAATATTTTAGATTAACTAGTTTGTAGTATATCAAAGATCGAGTAGATTGTTGAATATTTTAGATCGAGTAGATTGTTAAATATATAGCATGAGGAGAATACAGGGTTTGAGGAGAAACCAGGAAACATTGAAAAACTCATCTGACAAAAATGGTAAATCTTTGAAATCTTGAGACTATCACCTACGTATTTCCGAAATTTTAAGAAATACTAATTTAAAAGATTTTTCAACGAGTTTTTTTTTAATGCACGAGGTGGGTGCTTTGTATGACAAGTCTGTTTACGAAATGGAAATTTTCAGTGCAGTGCCCTACCTTTCACTTTTATTTGCAAGTAGTAAATGATATTAAGAAAGTTTTTATTCAGGTTTAACTTGTATTTTCTCCCCCCTGTGCTGTACGATCTAAAGAGAACTGGTGGACCTGGACAGGGTTAGGACTCTATCTAGCACTTTAGATTTTGAAAATAATATATTTTCTATCTTAACTATTTATATTTATATATTTATCTCTGTAGTACAAAATTGTAAACATGATTTTTTATTCGACTTGTACTGTTCTATAGTCTTTAGAATCAAACGAATTTAAACTTATGTACTGTACTTTACAAAGCATTTCTAAATTATGAACATTTTGTTTAAAATTATGAATAGAATGTGAGATTTACTTCTCAGATAAATTTATATCTCTATTTAAAGCTGAATAAGTAACTATTTAGTGGATTTTAACTGAGAACTGTTATAATTAAGATAATTTTAGTATTCTTTAAATTTCGATTTTCCCCCCCTTATAAAAACAGAAGAGGTACAGTACAAAAGAGCTAATATTATAGTGTTCATTTGTGTCTATATCTTTTTTTTCATTCTACATTGATAAAATCGACAATTCACAGTACGAACACTTTTCAGAATTATTGCAAAATTATTTCAAAATTATTGCAAAATTATTGCAAAATTTTTGCCAATTTTCTCAATTTTCCTGAAAAGGGTCATGAATGTAAAAAGGTTAAATATTTGCATTCATGGGTTGTTTTACTATAAATAAAGATTTTTCGGAGAAATTATATAAAACATTTTATTCTTGTATGATTCATAAATATTAATGGAATTCCGGAACATATGTTTTAAATTTGACATGGGGGGGCCGGGGGGTCTTGGCTCCCTAGCACCCCCCCCCCCTTGTATACACCTCTGTTGTGTGCTGAACACAATCTTTGTTTAATGAAGAAAAAAAATTGAACTTCTATTTTGCAAATAAAGGATGGTAAAGAAATATTTATTTTTTACAGCTGAAGAGAACCATAATAGTAAGAAATTAAACCAAATGAAATTTGTGAACTTTCTCATTCTTTGTAGCATGCCCTGAATTTATTATTTTAGATTTACTACAACACCTTTTTGTATTTTAAAATTTTTTCACATTTGGACAATTACATTTGATTAAATTACCACATATTGCTGCAACTCTAATTTATAAAGGATTATATTTTAACGTCTTGGGCAGACTTCATGTTCGGACACACAAGACGGTTTACATTTCAAATTCAGGGGAAATTGCGCCATTTACACGTTTCATAACACGCCTGCTGTATAATCAAAACTTTTTAAATTAAAGGGACTGTTTTTTATTTTCAAGGGTCCCTCCATCTCATGATGTGCATCAAATTACCTTTAATCTCATCAATAATAAAGTGTTTAAATATGATTATTTTCTCGATAATTCTTTTAAGCAAAATCCGCAGACACTCTTAAAGAGAAACTGCAATTGAAAATAAACACTTTTTGCATTCGCTGATCAGACAAAGCTTTTAAGGATTCCGTTGTCATTGCCGTTCTATAAATCACTTGAAATACCTTTATTTTAATAAATCACTTGAAATACCGTTCTATAAATCACTTGAAATACCGTTCTATAAATCACTTGAAATACCGTTCTATAAATCACTTGAAATCCCGTTCTATAAATCACTTGAAATACTGTTCTATAAATCACTTGAAATACCGTTATTTTAATAAATCACTTGAAATACCGTTATTTTAATAAATGATTTAAATGTTCAAGAAAACTATTGTCTACAGTTTATGTATTACTCAATTCTAAATAAGAAGACATAGGAAATTTGTCCATATTTGAGGAAATTTATTTAAGATAAACATCAATTATAGGTTTTAATACGTATAAATTGATATATACCAAATATTGTAATTATAGAAAAATAATTTTTGATTATATTTGGGATTGGGACTTTGGCACAATACAAATTTCTGAAGAAAATACTAAAGAAAAATGATTCTCTAAGTTTTCAAGAAAATTACAGCAATATATCAACTAAAGTTTAATAATTTCGAGGGGGGGGGGCGAGTGCCCTATTTTAAGAAATTGCATGTATTTAATAAGCTTGCCACCCTCACCAGATAAATATCCTGTATGTGCCCCTGAATTTAGATTGAGAAAGCCAAAGCTGGAAAAAAATCATTAAAAATCCTGGAAGAAAATGTCACTGAAAAATAATTGTTTTAGTTTTAGGGGTACTTTATTTACAAAAAAATTCTTTTAGCGATATTTCTTGATGGTTAGTTTTGCAAGGTCCAACCTAACATTAAAAACATGCTCTGTGAAAGTATAAAAAATGTCTTAAAAATAACTTTTAAAAGTGTAAAATTCTATATTTTGATGAATAATATATTTTATTCGTCACTCCTCTTTCGTTGCATACACACTCTAAAATGAAAAAAAATATGATTTTTAATAAGAAAAGCATATAAGAATTCTGATTGGAAAATTGATGAACTTGGTTCAATTTGAGCAGAATAAATACTGGTACAACCTCAGAATGATCAGAAATAATCCTGTTTTTAAAGAGGCTGATGCCCGTTTCACAACAGTACCTTTAAACCGAATCCGGGCAAAACTTTTGGAGGTGATATTTTTACTTTTCTATCTGAAAATTGATAAGTTTCCAGTGTTGGTATTCTTACCAGGCGGATTTATGTAGCTGCGGAGACAAAGATGTAAGCTTATAGAATTCAAGTTTACCTGGTTAAACCACCTCTTTTCCATTCACTAAGTCTCAAGTTTTCTGAAAAAACATTAAATATGGTTTATAGAAACATTCAAGACTTGACATACAGGCACAGAACAAAGATTACTAATATATATATATATTCTCTTTGCATACAGGTATTTGTCCGAAGGGGGATAACCTTTGTGAGAGGGGGCTCGGCCACCGGTGCCCCCCCCTGAATTTATATGATACAAGCAGTAACAATGAACTTATTATTTGGACAATAGAAAGTAAAAACTTTGGTACGTGAGATGTTAAATAAAAACTCAAGACATCTGTTCCTCAACTATTAAAAAAGTACTAGAGTTAAAAGGTGCTTCGCGCCCCCTTTCCTTTCACATAATTACAGCTTGTAATTGTTGCTTTCAAATTTGTCATTTTCAATCGCTCCCAAATTTTCGCGGATTTTTCGGTGCATTTTCAAAAATAATTTTTACGTCGACATCAGTTCAACTCTAGCTTTCATCAAAGCAGGACCTAAGTCTTTGCAGAATATAGAGGCGCTTCTAACAGTTACTAGAAGTACAGGGAGACAAAAAAAATGGCAAATCCAAGTTTAACAAATAAGAAACTTAAGGTATGAAGGGAAATTGAAGAGGAAAACAAGATAATCAACAAGAAATGTCTGCATTCATCTGTCAACGCTGTATTACCTAGAGAACAGAGGTTTTTTATCTCTCTGGATCTAGGCTTGCTATAGAAAAGCTCGACTTTCACTCCTTAGATACAGGTCTGGTGAGCCATTTTTTAAACCTACAACCCATTGGAAACATGTTAATATTCATCAACCACGGATCTTCATAATGTGGAGAAGCATCAAGTACACGTATCATTTACAAGTACTGCCTTAGATGTTCTTACACATCAGTTTCAAGAGTCCAACAATTGATAATCTATCCATCGCAAATCCGTTGCAAATAAATCAAAAGTTCTTACATTAGATATTGAGTTCAAGCTTTCAAGATTAACTCTACTCCAAACATTAAAAGTTCCGAACTTTGACAATGAACACTTTTATCTGTAAGCTGATCTTAGGATTGCAGCTCAGTATTTTACTTAGCAAGGGTTTAAGTTAATTAGTTAAAGGCAGAGGCGCAACTAGGGGGGGCAGCCGGGCGCGCGCCTTCCCCCCTGCAGAATGAAAAGAAAGAATGGCGAAAATCAGTATCACAGGAATAAGAAAACCAATAGAGTTATTGTAGAAGTTTTTATTATACTATAGTTAAAAGTTTAAAAAAAATATTTTTATCTTTCTCAATTCTCAAGGCTAAAGGCTATTGTAAACATTTAATGTAAAAAAAGTTCTGAACTGTATTTTATTTGTGTTGAGTTTATAGAGTACAAACTGTCTCTTGGGTTTGCTTTACTTGTTACCAGAGAAAATAGCTTCTCATACCCTGGCTGATCTCAAGAGTAAACTTTCAGAGTTTAGAGTTTTATCAGTCTTTACTTCCAAATCCTTTACTCTTCCTGGACCGAACTTGTACTATACAAGCGCAACCTGGAGATGAGAGGGAGCAAAGCCATTCCAACAAATCTAGACGAAGCTTTGCAGGAAATAAATTCTTCAATATTCCCAAANATTTACGTAATATAGTATAAAACTCATTGAAAAATTGTCTAGACGACATTTGATAAATTCTTCCGATGTATTCGTTATTAAGGGTTTCACTGTACATTTATTAGCGTTTAAATTCTAAGTTTTTTTCTGCAGTTATAGAAATGCGCAAGTAGCTTTGTAAATTAAAAATAATCAGTTCTCAAAATTATAAATATTGACATATAACTTATACTTGCGCGCTTAAACTAGGCTTTAAACCAGGCCTTGCCATTTCTGCATGGATGACCACGTGTAAAGTCTTTTTAAGGAATGGAGTTTTTGGAAAATAAACGTCAGATCTATTCAACAAAAGTAAAAAAATTCAGTTTCAGTTATTAATAAACGGTTAATATCGAATCCTAATTACATAAATATAGTTGCAGATTTTTTGCCTGTAACATTATAACTTGAATGTGTATTTTTAGCAATAAACAATATCTTTCTTATCTTATCCTAAACCCAACACAACGTACAGTTTGGTGTTCGTGAAAGTAAACTTTTTTATTAACAGAAAGTGACAACTTTACATGAAAGAGTTTAAAATAATAATCATAAAAGTAATTCTGATCTCTATTTTTTCCGATTTAGTTGCAACAAATGCTATAAAAGACGTTTCACCGAAACATGAAACCAATATAGTTTTTCAACATATTGATANACAAACATGAGAAGTTTGTTACAATTGGTTGAAAAGTTGTGCATAGAACACTTTTGAAAACGAATGTTTTCAAAATCAAAGTCCTTTCCTTAAAACTGAATTTTAGAGTAATCGATTTATATTAACATTTTATTTCATCAAAAGTTCTATGCAAAAATATGGTAACATATTGTGAGTGGTAAAAAGTCTTTGCCACAAATTTATAATTTCGAACCCCTATATCTTGACAATCTGATGGTTGATATTTCAAACTAAAATTGTTTTATTTAACATATTACATAATTTGAAATGTCTCAACCATTTGTTTCTAAGGTATAGAGGTTAAAAAATTCCTATGTGAAACATTAAACAAGACAATATTAAGGAATCTTTATATAAATTTGGCTTGTTTGGGTGTTTTTCAGTCTGTTGGTTTGTATCCAATAAACGTCAAAACGTCTGAACCGATCGGGCCCAATTTTTTTGTGGGACATCACGTGACCACAGGGAAGGTTTATGAATGATAAAAAAATGTGTTTGAAAGGTTTTTAATTTTGTAAAAAATTTGAAATTCTTGAAAATCCGCGAATTTTTTTTAAAAATCCACAAAATTTTTTCTTCTTTGTTTTAAAATGTAAACAAAAAGAACATGTTGACAATTTAAATAGAAGATGGGCGCGAAGCGCCCTAAAAGCCTAGGGTATAATAAACTTCTATTCAAATAATGTTGTTCTGACAATGTTCTAAAGTAGTGTTGTGTGTATTGTTGAGTCAACAGAGTGAAGAAAAGATTTAATAAAAGCTGATGTTGCAATACATTCAAATATAGTCAAGTAGCGCGCAATGCATTCTCATAAATCAAGATGATGACAAAAAAATGTTTTTTCTTTTTTCTATTATTTGATCAGAAATCAAAACTGTTCTTTATGGTAATGACTATTTATAACACCGTTATTTTGGTTCGCAGTGTTAAGTTTTTAAACGGAAATTTTTTCTTTATCGAGAAGGTTCAAGCCTTTTTAGATTTAATTTTGTCCCGGGCTTTAGCGATGGTTAAATTATAATCTAAAAAGGCGAAATGATAGTGTTATAGGTAATTTTATGTAACGTTTATGTACTTGTCCTATTTCAATGGCTATTTCTAGATCAAATAAGCTTTGAAACAAAGCAGAAGTCAAAATATAAAGTTGATTTCAATTTTATTTTCATTTCTATTGAAAAAAAAAAATATTTTGAAAATATCCTAAATTTTTTGGAGAAAATAAAAAAACATGCTCGATTTACTCCTTATTAAAGTATCAATGACAAAGGAAGCGTCTTTCTAAAAAAGGTTGAATTTTGTCAAATACCTGCTATATCATCATGGCATAAATCCGCAAATTTTTATTTACATAGAAAACCCTTAGTTAAAAACAATAAATTCGGATAAAAACATGAGTATCCTAACTGTTTTCACGCAGATAAAGGTTTAAAGGATACAATTCTTTTTATAAATGGAGAGTCATTAGGTTTAAAAACTTTTCGCTTTTTTGACAACAGAACGTATAATCATATTTGTGTTTAAATTTTTGTTTAATATACTTTCATAATTGTTACAATTTTGTTTCCAAAACACTTTCCCTTCTCAACAATTACATCCTTCGTTATGTATCCGTTTAATTTCTTTTAGTACATTATTATTTCGTACTTTTCATATTTATTAAAACATAACTGGAGACTGGAGAGTCATTTTAAACTACGTATATTGCTAAACAGTCACGATGCCATTTTGTGAACACACCTTACTAAACGGTCTCTCTTTCAATATTTGTTTTGATAAAATATTTATTTCTCAAGATTTTTGAAACGAATTGGAATTGGCTCTTTTTGGCATTATAGATTTATTGATTAAAAAAATGTTTAATTTATATTCTTCTTTATTCACAATTCTTTGACACAAAACATGAAGAAAGCCACAATTAGTGATAAATGGTAAAATTGTTATACATTCTTGTTTAACGAACCAATTCTCGGGAAAGAATTGTACAGGATGTCTCAAAAAACATTGGAATTCAGTGTTTTTGAAATTTTCAAATTGTGCTCTACCATTTTTGTATTGACGGAGATATTGCAAAATTTGTACAAAGTAATTGAGTCTTTTCCACAAATACCAATTTTCAAATACTTATATCTCTACAACCAGATGATTTAAACCTTTGATATTTCAAATTAAGGTTATTTTAAATTAGGTTGTAAAGATATGGGAATTTAAAAATCAGAGTTTGCGACAAATACTCAATTCCTTTTAATTTATTTCATAACTCAAAATTGTCTTAATATCTAATTATCTTCGTCAATTTTTCAGGTACAAAAAAAAGATAGAAAAAAAGATGAAACGCTAGAGACGTACAGCCTCGTTTTTTTTTACTTTTTTGCCATGCAATAATATATCAGAAAGCAAAGACGTCTTTAAAGTCGTCAATTCCCAGGACACCCGGTTAAATTTATTTTAAAGGAATTATTGACGTAATTTCAAGTAAACTTTCATTTATAAATTATGGCCTGTCCCATTCAACTGATGACAGAGATATCCTTATTTCTCTAGCTGAAAGTTGAAACCCTGGGAACTTGAGTGCAGGTTGTCATGGTGTGTAAACTTACACATGTACAATATTTGTACAAGCACATGTGCTTCCCGGATTTCATTTTTTAGCAAGAAAAAGAAGAATATCTTAACTAATTATTACCCTTGGATTAGAAAAATGTTTGAGTAAATCAAACAAACCATTTAAAATTATTCTTTCAATCCCTTAACTTAGTTTACAAAAAGGGTTAACTATATAAAGTACGCTGCTTTTAAAAAATACAAAACAGCATGTTTAATATAACAGAATATTAAAAGTAAAACAACCATTGCTTACCAAAGTTTTTATATCTGTAAGTTTTTATGTCTGATATTTTTATAAAATATTCGTTGCAGAAAGTTCTAATGGCAGTTTTAGAATTTAGAGTGGTCTATCAACAAAATGTGTAGATTCTTTATGTGGTAATTTGTTTCTCTAAAAGAAGAACAGGGTTTCCAAAAGTTAAAAAAACTTTTTTTAAATGAAACCTCATTTATTTAAGAAAGAATTTGTTGGTACTCTTTAAAATTCAAAGAACCTTTAAAGCCACAAAAAAGCAATGTAACCGATTTTGAGATTTATATTTGCCAAAAATAATAAAGTAAATAATTTGGCAAAAAAAAAAAAAAATAAGATTACAGGTATTGAAAATGAAATATAGAAAAAAATTCCGTTAAGTCAATTTTAAAGGCTTTTCAGATGTGAGGGTCACCCTGTAGGCTGTAGATAAAAGAGTTACTAAGTGTTGTTGTGAAACGAATATAAGTAACAAATTGCTCACTACTCAAATATTAGGTATTTTAGATTTATCGAATTGTACAAAAAAATCTGATTATTTTATGTTTTTCCTTGACCAAATATTGATTAATTCACATTGAAAACTAAATCTAATGTGTACATATAAGAAAAATAAATACATAAGCAAAAATTGGCTTGGTTTGTAGGTTATTTAGCTTTCGCAAATAATAGAAATAAGTCCAAAAATCACATTTCAGCTTCTCCCACAGTCAGCTTTAGTGCTAGACTTTTAAAACGTTTGTAAAATTATCTTAAAGCCATGATAAACAGATTCACCATTTTGATCAGCATATATCTTTATGGGTTTTTGAATAAGAAAAATAGGTTTTATGTCATGTTATAAAAAGTCTCGCCGACTTTTTTTGTTAACGGATAATATTTTCAATTTAGTTGAAGATGTTAAATAAATCATGTCAGAGAAATTCAAGTTTTGCTTAGAATTTATTAAGTTTGAACAATTTTTCAAAAAGACACATCACTTTTTATTCAGCTTAAAGTGAACGTTGTAGACATTAGGAAAAATGGAGAAAAAAAAACTAACATATCTGGTTGAAATATTTGCTTCTTATGATAATAATGACAATAATTTTATTAATTGTTTCCATAATCATTGTCATCTTGGTTTTCATCTCCTGGATCCGCCTGGAAAAAAATATGCATTTTTTGTTTAATCAAAGTATAATTAACAATACACATGGATATCACCATCTTTTTTTTCTGACGTTTTTCGGGAACACAAGCTCAATGGGAATATGGTTTTTAAATGAAGAATTACATTGCTACTTTATATTGTAAATGGCAATTAAGAATGCTTATACCTCAAAGTGCAAATAGTCTATGAGAAATGTTGCAGCTAGCAGACTAGCTTTCATCCCAATATCTAAATTAAATTAAATTTAACCACGGCATTTGCGCATCATGCGTCCGTCGTCTTTGTATTTGGTAAACATTTGGTCAAGGAAACTGGAAGGGATTATTCCATTATTTTAAAATACATATCTGTCAATATTGCAGCAAAAGACCGACACAAATCTATGACATCTTCTGTAATAAATAATCATAAACGTTCTTTTTTATATCGTAGATTTCATCAACATTTTCCACTGGCGTTCATTTGACAATGCAAGGTATTTAATAAAAAACTAATCAAATATAAGCTGTTCAAAACTAGTAAAGAAGCAGAATGGAAAATTTTATATATCTAATCGGTAAGATGTGGTCCTTAAAACACTGAGATTTTGCCCCAAACTCAAATTATTTAAACCCTATATATTTCCAACCTGATTGTGCAAACCTTTTATATTTCCAACTTTTATGATTTGATCTTACAGAATGCATATTTTGAAATAATCAAATGTCTACGAAAACGGGTTACCATGATATAAAGATTACACAATTTGATTTATTTTCCTTTCAAAATGTTGGTATGTGTTTTATCTGAATTAGGTGGATAATCATTTTATTGTATTACTAACCTTTGTCTGGTGGATAATCTTTTTTTTGTATTACTTATAACCTATGTCTGGTGAAAAATCTTTTTATTGTATTACTAACTAATGTCTGGTGGATAATCTTTTATTGTATTACTAACCTATGTCTGGTGGAAAATCTACACTGAATCTATCAGCTTTAGGTAAAACGTCCTGAATGTAAAATCTAGCCTATTCATAAACAGTAACTAGGAAGTATAATACGGAATGCACGCTCTCAAGTACAAACCGACAAGAATTTTGTCAATTACTTTTTTTAAAGTCAAAACTAACAACAAGTGCCTTATGGTGCTTGAATGTACGCTATAGCGCTAAAATCAAAGCCCAAGGCTTTGCGACACTTCAAAGTCGACCCTGTCTTAAAAATTGATGAGACTTTATATAGACGACTGAATCTATTTGAATGGAATTTTTTATGCTTTAATATTCAAGGATTGCAAAATTCTTATTATAATGTGTCTAATATAAAGACGACTTTTATTCGGGTGCTATACAAAAAAAGTGAATGAAAACGCGCAATTTTTCGATTTTAACAATCAAGCGAACTAATTTTCCTTGAGTACGCCATTCCAGCTTTTACTGATGCTTCCAACCTGAAACAAATGTTATTTATGCTAGTAGTACCCCCACCCCCCTGCGAATATTACACTAGTTCCTGTTCTATACCATGTACTCACCTCTATATTGAATACAGGAGTATCATCTGCATCTAGTACTTCATATTCAGGAGAGAAGAGGGTTAGCTTCTGTTCTACTTTGCCTACAACGACTCCAATAGGACTCTCAACCACCATACTCTAGAACAAAAAAATTTTAATGTCATATTTTATTTGATCTCAAATCTGATAATAGGACCAAGTAACACCTGAAATATCGTCTAGAGTACCTTCAACTACTTATTGTAAACTGAGAAAAGACAATAAAAAATGTTTTTAACCTGTAATAAACAGGGGCAGATCAGACAGTTATCAAACCTTGTTGGCCTAGATATCTTTATGCAGTCTTTACCCTGAAACAGATTTTATGAAAGGAATCTATTTTATTAAAGTTTCAAGATTGCTTCTTTAAAGCTCTACCTGCCTATCAGAGAGAAACATCTCAAATCCTCTGAAATATTATTTTTTTTAATACAATTGCAGTTTTGTATAGTATCGAATGAATGTGATGTTTCTAGAATTTTCTTTTCGATTAACAATTTTTAATTATTTATCCACTGTATTTATTCTTTGAGACAATAAGTATTTTTGGATAAAAACTATAATTTCTTATTAACTAATTACGTAGTTGAATATTTTACTTAATCAGTAAACAATATGCCTCTCATTGATTTTGGTTAAGCTACCAATTGTGTATAATAATACATAAACTGCAATATTTACGAACATTTTCATGGGTTTTCGTGTGCTGAGGCAGCATGGTTTAATGAGTACCTTTGTACATCGGACACCTGTCTCTTCACATGAAATTTCGTTGACAATCAATCGATCAAAAATATGAATGATAGCCGGTTTTGGTCTATACCTTAGTGAATTGCAGCATTGTCTTCCGCAGAACCCTGACTCCTCTTTAGCATGAAATATCTGGTGACCAAATCTTAAAATATATGATGAATATGTCATTTTCTATCATTTTGTAAAATTTTCACATTTTGTCAATTTGATGAATTTTCACAATTTTCTCACTTATCTTGATTTTGATCAAAACATTTACTAACAATTTTGACTTTATTTTGATTATAATCAAATCTAAACATGATTGAAATATATTTATCAAAACAAGACGGTTACAAAATTTCTATACTGACATTTTAAACTTTTTGGCAACTTTTAATCGATTAATAATATTTTTACCCTTTGCCAACAGACCCAAATTTTTGCATCTTGATAATTTAGTTTATTTTTTAATTTTTAAAATTTTTTTTATTAGTTTTGACATAATAAAATATTTGTTTTTATATATGAGAAAATTTGTTTTAAATTTTCACTCCCTTTTTTGGAAAGTCAGCAATTGGAAGTGCCTTACTAAACTTGTACTGGTCCAGCCTTTTCGTTGTACTTAAACTGGTTTAGTTCTGGCCCATAATCGGCAATATTACATTAATTACAGACCGCCAATATTACATTAATCAAAGACCAGTTATTCAAATTTGATTTTCGCTGTACCCCTGTCCATGGTTGTCCTGTGACTGGGATTTAAATTTATCTAGTTTGGAATTATTTTAATTGGTCTCTTGATCCTCCTGTTGGTTGGTATCTTGATCCTCCTGTTGGCTGGTATCTTGATCCTCCTGTTGGTTGGTATCTTGATCCCCTGTTGGCTGGTCTCTTGATCCTCCTGTTGGTTGGTATCTTTATCCTTCTGTTGGCTGGTCTCTTGATCCTCATGTTGGCTGGTCTCTTGATCCTCCTGTTTGCTGGTCTCTTGATCCTCCTGTTGGATGGTATCTTGATCCTTCTGTTGGCTGGTATCTTGATCCTCCTGTTGGTTGGTCTCTTGATCCTCCTGTTGGCTGGTATCTTGATCCTCCTATTGGTTGGTCTCTTGATCCTCCTGTTGACATTTTAAATCCTTATATGACGTCACTGATACTTAATTAACAATCATCACATTTAACAAATATTGATTGTGCTAACAAGTTTGAAGCTAGAAGAAGCAATTCTAATTAAAAATTTAAGTTGTTGAGTTCGTTTATATTTTGTAAGCTGCAAAATTAACTATTCTTTAAAATAATCATTTACGTTATATGAGGATTTACGTCATATGAGGAGTTAGATTGTCGATTGCTATAAAGGTGGCCTTTTCCTTCATTGGAGCAAATCCAGAGTATCTAAGCAATTATACATCCTTGGTCCCAGTCTAGGACTCGGCACGTTCCGACTTTTTTTTAATCTTTTCGTTCCGTTCTAGAACGAGAGCGTTCAGCTAGATCGTTCCTTTCTTGGTCCTTTTTTCCAATCGTTCCATTCTTGTTCCTTTACGTCCCGTTCTGTTCCGTTCTCAGCCAAAGAACGGTTCCATTCCGTTCTTGGTGTTCTTAGTCGAAGAACGGTTCCATCCCCCATTGGAGGGATGGAGGGGGGGGGGGGTGGTTACTTTAGAGGTATCCAAGACAAAAGTAGAAAAGAGGTAGTTAAAAAAGTAAAAAATGAAGATTTTATAATAAAAAGTTCCTGACGGCCGAAAATATACTTAAAATTTCATGTTCGTTCCGTTCTTTACTAATCGTTCGAATATTTTTAAGAACGCGTTCTATGCGTTCCGTTCTTTTTTTCGGAACTAAGGGATCGTTTTTGATAGTTCGGTTTGTTCCCGAGAACGATGCCCTGCCCTAGGTCCCACCTGTCTGTTATCTCAAATTCGTTTTCTCCCTCGTAGTTATTGCAACAGCAACAGCATTTATTTCCTTGTTCAGAGTACTCACCCAACTGTTGAACAAGAACTCTGCAAAAATATATTTGTGAAATATATAATAACTAGCTGAAGGGTCCGGCGTTTCCCGTGGAAAAATAAAAATAAAAAAATTTTGAGAAAAAAAATAAGTTTTAACACCCCAGGCCACCCAAGAGCGTCCACAAAAAATGTCAGCTCAATCGGTCCAGCCGTTTGGCCGGCTATACGCAACATATATATGAATACCTTGTTTAATTATATAGATATCTGGTGTTCCACGAAGTTGGTGAATAGTTTTAAATATCTCGTGAAGTTTGATGACAAATAGTATTATACAAATTATAATATTAATCTATAAAATGTCATCTAATACAGTATATGGAAGAATACATTTAAATAATTCACCAACTGAAATTTCGAAGGTCTACAACATTAGATAAACACAGATTTAAAGATTACAAAAATTAGAATTTGTAGAGGGTGTTCAGTTTCTTTGTACTTTTTTTCAAAGTTTCATAGATCACAGCTAAATAAATAAACAAAGAAAAACAATACATGGATAACCCACTTAAGATATGACTTTAATGAAGCATGATTTAAAGCGATATATTCAGGAGAGAAGAGGGTTAGTTCCTGTTCTATACCATGTACTCACCTCTATATTGAATACAGGAGTATCATCTGCATCTATATTAATCTATTTTAAATGGACTGTTTGCGTTATTTCAAATAACCCTCCTTGCAAAGAATTCCGATTCACAACAGTACTTTTAAAATCTTTATCTGTTAAATAATGTGGAAGATATTGTTGTTGAGGGTTGAAAGTATTTATTTCTAATAATTTCAACATGTTTTCCTGCAGTAGAAATGCGCAAGTAACGTTTGTAGAAAAACAAGTGAAAATAAAACTTTTCAAAATTATTAACATTCCTATTTAATTCATATTTTATCAGACAACGCTTTTAAGAGTACTGGAAATCAGGCATTGTCATCTTTAACTAGAAATAGAAACCCTATTTACATAGCTCAATAACATCGCTTTTTAATCTAATATTATTTTAAAAAATCACCTGTTCATTGTTAGTTTTGGATATAATCTTAAATACTATATTCCTAGAACCACCGCAACAGCAGCCGCAGCTATTACAATTCAAATAATCAAAATCTATGCATGCTTAAAAAATCATGTGCAGGGTTACCCACACATTCGAGGAGACTTCTGAGACGGCTGTACGGAATGTTTACTGACTGTTTCCTCATATTCATGATTAGCTGCAACTGCGAACTAATTTTTTTCTTTTTAAAATAATTTTAAAATCATATTAAAAGACTTAAGATCTTCAATTTTTTAGGGTTGCACGTCGTCTTTTTAGGGTTTTGCGTCGTCTTTTTAGGGTTTTACGTCGTCTTTTGATATACTTCTCATTTTCATAATTCCAACCTCAGCTTTGCGTGAAAAACTATCGGAATATATATCTTTCAGTAGTTTTATCTTATCCCAACATTTTTAATTATCGTTCTTATGACATACATGACCTAGATTTCAGTCGCAGCCCTCGGTTTAAACTATTCTCATCGAAATTAGTAATAATTGTGTATTATTTCAAGGTTAGGTGCGACTAAGACAGGTTAAAGCTAGCTAAGCGTTGCGGTTAGGACAGACTAGGGGGCCGAGCACCAAGGCCAAGATAGGCTAGAAGGCTGGGTGATACTGGCTCTAAAAATGCCCTAAAATATTGTATACAAAAATGTTAAGAGGGAAGTTAATTGTATAAGAACTGCAATTGAAAATAATTAATTATCAGATAAAAAAAAATACTTTAGTATATCGGACATATAGCACTTTAAACATGGGGACTCTCTTAAAAATGTTGTCTGCAGAGTAAAGACCTTTTAAAATAATCAAAATCTGTTGATTTTTGATTTACCTTTCACAGATAACATTTTTTATTCTTATGTAAAAACGAAAATTGGAAGGAATCAAAACAAAAACAAAAAACACTTAAAAGAAGAAGAAATTTTTTTTCAAAAGTGTTCAGGGACGGAATTTATTGAATTTTAACTGCATGCCGTGAGTTCCTTCCTTAATCTTCACTTATCAAATTTCAACTTCAAATTTGAACCGGATGTAGTTAGTTCAGCGACGTAGTTCAAATTCTATAAATTCGGGCCCAGCCATTCGAGAAAAGGTGTTTAATTATCAGTTAAAAATTACCTGCAGCATTTACATGTGCTCGGACCCTAGAAAATAAGATATGAAAAAATGTGTCATTATTTATTTAGGTATTTTATCATGTCTGTCTTTAATCCTAAATCTTAATATCTACAGGGTAACCCTGAAAGGATGAACCTTAATTCAGTTTATTTTCAACATCTCATCGTTTGTGGCCGTAGGCAACTCTGTAAAATATGTATTTTCTCATGATTGGAATCTGCCATTACTGGAGGTTTAAAGATATATTTTCAAACTTTAACTATGTACTTTTTATTTTATCCGAAATGAACTGTCATCAAAATGCAATTTTTTAGATTTTTTGTTTCAAAATTTAAAATGAAATTGTAAACTTCACAATCACAAATCGAAGTTTTTAGCAAAACTGGTTTTTTTTTAATATTTATGTATCAAGAAATTGAGTCATGGCACAATCATAAACATAAACATTCTCCTACCTATATCTTACAAACTGTTATAGAAAATCAGCCAAAGGCTCGATTTCTTTTCTATTTGTCTTTGTTTGTTTAATACAGAGTAATTAAGTGCGCTTTTTGGTTGTATGACAAAAATTGCTGAATTTAGTTATATCTATTTTTCAACCCAAATATCATTGCAAGCAGAGATGTTAACCTAACCAAAAATACTTTTTATTAAATTATTATAATCAGGTTTGTATATCTTTAGTAGGGTTTGCAGCGAAATTTTCGCATTATTTTTTTCGCGAAATTTTCGAATTTTCTATTTTGCGAAAATCTTCAGTCGCAATTTTTTTTCACCATTTAAGACATTGAAAAAAAATATGCATTTTTGAAATTTCAGAGTTAAGAAATGCAATCATGATCTAATAAGCTTTGAAAGAGTTATTATTCTTTAAAAACAATATTTGTCCCCCCAGTAGTTGCTCCATATATATCTTTTGTAGATGGATGTATTGCATATTAATGAAATTGTGGAATTTGATTTTATAGTTTAACGTTGATAAACGTTGAAACGGCTAAACCGATCGGGCCCACAATTTTTATGGCAACTCACATGCCTTAGGAAAGGTTATGGAGGATCTCGAATTAAAAACATTTGCATAAAATAAATCTCAGATTTCGTAAAAATCCTCAAAATTTGATTGTTACTGTCTCTCAGATGAAGCAAGAACCTGCCAGGAGAAAGTGGAAGTGGAAGTGGAAGTGGAAGTGGAAGTGGAAGTGAAAGTGGAAGTGGAAGTGAAAGGGAAATTGAAAGAGGAAGATGAAGATGAAGGAAAGGGGAAAGGGAAGTGAAAGGCCAAGGGGAAGAGGAAAGCGCCAGGAAGATTATTTTTTTGTGATATTTTATTTTATTTGTTACAAAAATTTTCTAAATAAGATATACTTTTTGATCGATTTATATGATTTTAAATAAAAAGAGGAAGAAATATTTATAATAGGAGAAAAGGTGCTAGGGCCGGGTGAATAATATCAAAAGAAAATAATTTTTATCTTTTCAAAAGTTCAATCTTGTCAGATTTGGGTGTTTATTTTTGTTCTTGTTATTTTTAAGTAAGAAATGATTTCAACGGTTTTTTTTCGGAATAGACTCATGAAAAAAGTATGTTTATAAATATTTTAACTGTATCACCAGCTGAAACAAGTGTAAAATGATAACGTTTATATAACTATATAACACTATAACCAAATACCGCAATTTTTGCAAATGACTTTAAGAAAATGAAATTCTCTTGTCCAAATTGAAATGTGTCCTCTTTATTGAATACAGGAGTATCATCTGCATCTAGTACTTCATATTCAGGAGAGATGCTAGTTCCTGTTCTATACCATGTACTCACCTCTATATTGAATACAGGAGTATCATCTGCATCTAGTACTACATATTCAGGAGAGAAGAGGGTTAGTTTATGTTCTATACCATGTACTCAACTCTATATCGAATACAGGAGTATCATCTGCTTTTAGTACTTCATATTCAGGAGAGATGCTAGTTCCTGTTCTATAACTTGTACTCACCTCTATATTGAATACAGGAGTATCATTTGCATCTAGTATTTAAAATTCAAGAGAGAAGATGGTTAGTTTCTGTTCAATACCATGTACTCACCTCTATATTGAATACAGGAGTATCATCTGCATCTAGTATTTAAAATTCAAGAGCGAAGATGGTTAGTTTCTGTTCTATACCATGTACTCACCTCTATATTGAATACAGGAGTATCATCTGCATCTAGTACTACATATTCAGGAGAGAAGATGGTTAGTTACTAGTTCCTGTTCTATACCATGTACTCACCTCTATATTGAATACAGGAGTATCATCTGCATCTAGTACTTCATATTCAGGAGAGAAGAGGGTTAGCTTCTGTTCTACTTTGCCTACAACGACTCCAATAGGACTCTCAACCACCATACTCTAGAACAAAAAAATTTTAATGTCATATTTTATTTGATCTCAAATCTGATAATAGGACCAAGTAACACCTGAAATATCGTCTAGAGTACCTTCAACTACTTATTGTAAACTGAGAAAAGACAATAAAAAATGTTTTTAACCTGTAATAAACAGGGGCAGATCAGACAGTTATCAAACCTTGTTGGCCTAGATATCTTTATGCAGTCTTTACCCTGAAACAGATTTTATGAAAGGAATCTATTTTATTAAAGTTTCAAGATTGCTTCTTTAAAGCTCTACCTGCCTATCAGAGAGAAACATCTCAAATCCTCTGAAATATTATTTTTTTTAATACAATTGCAGTTTTGTATAGTATCGAATGAATGTGATGTTTCTAGAATTTTCTTTTCGATTAACAATTTTTAATTATTTATCCACTGTATTTATTCTTTGAGACAATAAGTATTTTTGGATAAAAACTATAATTTCTTATTAACTAATTACGTAGTTGAATATTTTACTTAATCAGTAAACAATATGCCTCTCATTGATTTTGGTTAAGCTACCAATTGTGTATAATAATACATAAACTGCAATATTTACGAACATTTTCATGGGTTTTCGTGTGCTGAGGCAGCATGGTTTAATGAGTACCTTTGTACATCGGACACCTGTCTCTTCACATGAAATTTCGTTGACAATCAATCGATCAAAAATATGAATGATAGCCGGTTTTGGTCTATACCTTAGTGAATTGCAGCATTGTCTTCCGCAGAACCCTGACTCCTCTTTAGCATGAAATATCTGGTGACCAAATCTTAAAATATATGATGAATATGTCATTTTCTATCATTTTGTAAAATTTTCACATTTTGTCAATTTGATGAATTTTCACAATTTTCTCACTTATCTTGATTTTGATCAAAACATTTACTAACAATTTTGACTTTATTTTGATTATAATCAAATCTAAACATGATTGAAATATATTTATCAAAACAAGACGGTTACAAAATTTCTATACTGACATTTTAAACTTTTTGGCAACTTTTAATCGATTAATAATATTTTTACCCTTTGCCAACAGACCCAAATTTTTGCATCTTGATAATTTAGTTTATTTTTTAATTTTTAAAATTTTTTTTATTAGTTTTGACATAATAAAATATTTGTTTTTATATATGAGAAAATTTGTTTTAAATTTTCACTCCCTTTTTTGGAAAGTCAGCAATTGGAAGTGCCTTACTAAACTTGTACTGGTCCAGCCTTTTCGTTGTACTTAAACTGGTTTAGTTCTGGCCCATAATCGGCAATATTACATTAATTACAGACCGCCAATATTACATTAATCAAAGACCAGTTATTCAAATTTGATTTTCGCTGTACCCCTGTCCATGGTTGTCCTGTGACTGGGATTTAAATTTATCTAGTTTGGAATTATTTTAATTGGTCTCTTGATCCTCCTGTTGGTTGGTATCTTGATCCTCCTGTTGGCTGGTATCTTGATCCTCCTGTTGGTTGGTATCTTGATCCCCTGTTGGCTGGTCTCTTGATCCTCCTGTTGGTTGGTATCTTTATCCTTCTGTTGGCTGGTCTCTTGATCCTCATGTTGGCTGGTCTCTTGATCCTCCTGTTTGCTGGTCTCTTGATCCTCCTGTTGGATGGTATCTTGATCCTTCTGTTGGCTGGTATCTTGATCCTCCTGTTGGTTGGTCTCTTGATCCTCCTGTTGGCTGGTATCTTGATCCTCCTATTGGTTGGTCTCTTGATCCTCCTGTTGACATTTTAAATCCTTATATGACGTCACTGATACTTAATTAACAATCATCACATTTAACAAATATTGATTGTGCTAACAAGTTTGAAGCTAGAAGAAGCAATTCTAATTAAAAATTTAAGTTGTTGAGTTCGTTTATATTTTGTAAGCTGCAAAATTAACTATTCTTTAAAATAATCATTTACGTTATATGAGGATTTACGTCATATGAGGAGTTAGATTGTCGATTGCTATAAAGGTGGCCTTTTCCTTCATTGGAGCAAATCCAGAGTATCTAAGCAATTATACATCCTTGGTCCCAGTCTAGGACTCGGCACGTTCCGACTTTTTTTTAATCTTTTCGTTCCGTTCTAGAACGAGAGCGTTCAGCTAGATCGTTCCTTTCTTGGTCCTTTTTTCCAATCGTTCCATTCTTGTTCCTTTACGTCCCGTTCTGTTCCGTTCTCAGCCAAAGAACGGTTCCATTCCGTTCTTGGTGTTCTTAGTCGAAGAACGGTTCCATCCCCCATTGGAGGGATGGAGGGGGGGGGGGGTGGTTACTTTAGAGGTATCCAAGACAAAAGTAGAAAAGAGGTAGTTAAAAAAGTAAAAAATGAAGATTTTATAATAAAAAGTTCCTGACGGCCGAAAATATACTTAAAATTTCATGTTCGTTCCGTTCTTTACTAATCGTTCGAATATTTTTAAGAACGCGTTCTATGCGTTCCGTTCTTTTTTTCGGAACTAAGGGATCGTTTTTGATAGTTCGGTTTGTTCCCGAGAACGATGCCCTGCCCTAGGTCCCACCTGTCTGTTATCTCAAATTCGTTTTCTCCCTCGTAGTTATTGCAACAGCAACAGCATTTATTTCCTTGTTCAGAGTACTCACCCAACTGTTGAACAAGAACTCTGCAAAAATATATTTGTGAAATATATAATAACTAGCTGAAGGGTCCGGCGTTTCCCGTGGAAAAATAAAAATAAAAAAATTTTGAGAAAAAAAATAAGTTTTAACACCCCAGGCCACCCAAGAGCGTCCACAAAAAATGTCAGCTCAATCGGTCCAGCCGTTTGGCCGGCTATACGCAACATATATATGAATACCTTGTTTAATTATATAGATATCTGGTGTTCCACGAAGTTGGTGAATAGTTTTAAATATCTCGTGAAGTTTGATGACAAATAGTATTATACAAATTATAATATTAATCTATAAAATGTCATCTAATACAGTATATGGAAGAATACATTTAAATAATTCACCAACTGAAATTTCGAAGGTCTACAACATTAGATAAACACAGATTTAAAGATTACAAAAATTAGAATTTGTAGAGGGTGTTCAGTTTCTTTGTACTTTTTTTCAAAGTTTCATAGATCACAGCTAAATAAATAAACAAAGAAAAACAATACATGGATAACCCACTTAAGATATGACTTTAATGAAGCATGATTTAAAGCGATCTGTTCTGAACACTTTGGAATTCAAGATCAATGCTTGAGCTCCTCTTTATATTTTTCTCAAGATCAATTCAATCTTATGTTTGTTTCCTGGAACTTTTGTAAAATTCAACCAATAGAGTGGCGTTTACAAAATCCCAAACAACCTATAAGAAGCCGAGAAGCCCGCGAAATCAATGAGCGAACTCTCATTGGTGCAATCAGCAGGAATATCCAAAAAGAGAGGATTAAGTAGAAAATCAAAAGTGTAGACAGTGGATACATACTACATAGATTTAATAATCGGGATTAAAGGAATCCAATTTTAGCTCTGAAGGTTGAATTTGTTCTGTTGTCTTTTGTATAGTATGATTTACTTCACGATTTGACAAAAAAGAAACAAGTTTAAAATTGCAGGGAACAAGAATGCGAGATAGAAGTTTGGATGAGTTCTGTACAATTATCTCTAAAATCTCATCATTTGTTGGTAACTCTGTATCAAGATTTCACCTGTCAGTTTTTTCTAGTTCTTCCGTGCCTACATGACCGTCAGGGTTTATATCGTCGTTCGCTTTCGGTTGTTCAACGACCACAGCTAAATTAAAAGCAAATATTGTGACAGAATTTAAAGAATAGAGTGCTTGAAAAAATGTTAACAAGAAACTTATTTTTAGACAATTATTATGTGAAATGTTTTTTTTTGTGTTCACGTTTCAAGTATTTTGCAAATTTTGAATTTGTAGCTCAAATAATAAAAAAGACAATGCATGTGTCTTTCGACCGTCAGGTGAGGTGTACCCTTACTTATCTATGCATTCAAAACAAAAATTAAAAAGCACTTTCAATGACTTTTATTTCTTTAAAGTCTCAAATTTAGTTTAGTGTAATAAGTATGAGTGCTATAGAAAAAATAACTAAGATGGGGGGGGGGGGGCCAACGACACCCCTCTGGAGCCTTTTTCTCAGGAGTACGGCACTTTGTTGAGTCCGACCTTCTGCAGGGTTGGCTCCTGCCGGCTGTCCAGGTAGGTTTCCCTGCTCCATTTTATATCTAATTAGAAACTATTATCATTAATATTATTGTCTAAAGGGACTGTAGTTGAAACCTTAAGTGAATCTCTATTTACAGATTGGCTTGTCCGATTCAGACTGCCACCCTTGAAACCTTAATCTGATTATAAAAGTTAAAAACAAAGTCATTTTCCCTGTTTAATTCTGACAATTTAATTCTTTATTGACATGCGGAGGATAGTTGTGTAATAAAAAATTGAATATAGTAATGCTTAGAATAGAATTCTCTTTTTAGTAGTTAGATTGTGTGAAATTAAAGAGCATCATTATCTATTCAAGTATTGACAAAACAGCAGTTCCAGAGAAAAAATTACATGTTATATAGTTAGGGTTGTTAATCGTTTTTGTAAACAATCGTGAAACGATCGTTTTTTGTTTCGTTTTCAAAAACGATCGTTACGTTTTCGGAAAAAACGATCGTTTTTAAAAACGACCCACTCGTTTTTAACTTTTAAAAAACGAATAGCGATCGTTTTTGAAAACGATCGTTTTTAATAAAACGATTTGCGACCGTTTTTTATACGATTGTTTTAAAAAAAACGAGCGTTTTTGAAATTTTTTTTATTAACAATTATGTTAACGATCGTTAACGATAGTTAACGAAAGGTCGTCGTTAACGATCGTTAACGAAGGGTTTTCGTTAACGACCGTTAACGAAACGACAAACTTTATCAAAACGGTCGTTTTTGAAAAAAAATTACATGCAACTTTATTGAATGTCGTCTTACATGAAGTTTAACAGTTGTGGGGGAGTTAAAACTCCTTGATATTTTTTTAAAAACTACTCAATGATAAGTACAGATGCCCTTCAGGTCGTTTTCCTTTCTTCGTTAACGATAATTAAGAAAGGGGTCGTCGTTAACGATCGTTAACGAAACGACGAATTTTATAAAAACGATCGTTTTTAAAAACAAGTGTTTTGAAAAACGATTGTTTTAAAAATTTTTAATTTTTAAAAAACGAACTTTTAAAAAAAACGATCGTTTTTAAAAACGATCGTTTCGTTTTCGATTTTTCGTCGTCGTTATCATAACGAAACGATCGTTTTTCAGAAAAATGAAAACGTTAACATCCCTATATAAAGTAAGATAGCATAATTTCGCGCGATAATCTGTCTTTAAAACAAAAATGTGCATATCTTATTCATAAGTTGTAAATGTTTGAGGGTACCGTTTGTGAATCGAATATGCCACCAATATTTTATCATTTATTAGATTAACATCTACAAAAATCGATAAAAAAACTTGTGTCCATGAATTGTCGTCTGCTTCTTTCACATTTTTAACGGTCCCACTGTTTATTCTGGTATCATTTTATATCCACTGTTGACTAATATGCTTAAATGCCAACTATGGCAAATAGTTTTAAAGGATAAACATTAAATATTTAAATATTAAATGTAGCATAAGTCATACTCTTTAAGCTTTCTCACAGATATTAGAGAAAAAGAAAAACAAACATTCAAAATAGTTACTATTTTATCTATGTATAGTTTACCCTTTAATTTATATGATAAAAGAGGTGACGAAGAAGCAAAAAACCGACGTCAAACTCTGTTTTAGAAATTATACCAGCGCATTTTCAAAAATATTCCAACCGCTTTTTTTTAGAAATGCCGTCGCCCCTAGTTGCTAAATGTAAAACAAACTGTTTCTGCATTATTAACTCGTAATTAACAGATAATGCTGAGAAGTAGATTTTATATATATAATTTTATCAAACGTTTCCTTTATAGCGTAGCATAGCTTTTGCAATATAAATTTCGTGATAAAGTAGGGCCCTATATTAAAGGTCAGTGAGCCTTAACTTTGGAACCCATTTTTACCTCTCAAATAATATTTTTGAGTATTTCCTAAGAAATGAAGCCGTTTCCGTGATATTGACGGATTTTGAATTTGAAATAAAAATATAAAAAAATGTCGAAATTAAAACCTCTTAAAATATATAAAAAATATCAGTTTCATGTATGAAAAAATACGCTTAATATATAAAAAATATTAGTTACATGTATGAAAAATACGCTTAATGTATAAAAAATATTAGTTAAATGTATGAAAAATATACTTAATATATAAAAAATATCAGTTTCATGTATGAAAAATACGCTTAATATATAACAAATATTAGTTAAATGTATGAAAAATACGCTTAATGTATAAAAAATATTAGTTAAATGTATGAAAAAATATGTTTAATATATAAGAAATATTAGTTAAATGTATGAAAAAATACGCTTAATATATAAAAAATATTAGTTAAATGTATGAAAAATACGCTTAATGTATAAAAAATATTAGTTAAATGTATGAAAAAATATGTTTAATATATAAGAAATATTAGTTAAATGTATGAAAAAATACGCTTAATATATAAAAAATATTAGTTAAATGTATGAAAAATACGCTTAATGTATAAAAAATATTAGTTAAATGTATGAAAAAATATGTTTACTATATAAGAAATATTAGTTAAATGTATGAAAAAATACGCTTAATATAAAAAAATAGTAGTTTGATGTATGAAAAATACGCTTAATATATAAAAAAAATATTTGTTAAATGTATGAAAAATACGCTTAATGTATAAGAAATATTAGTTAAATGTATGAAAAATACGCTTAATATATAAAAAAATATTAGTTAAATGTATGAAAAATACGCTTAATATATAAAAAATATTTATTAAATGTATGAAAAATACGGCTTAATATATAAGAAATATCAGTTGAATGTATGAAAAATACGCTTAATATATAAAAAATATTTGTTGAATGTATGAAAAATACGCTTAATATATAAGAAATATCAGTTGAATGTATGAAAAATACGCTTAATATATAAAAAATATTAGTTAAATGTATGAAAATACGCTTAATATATAAAAAATATTTGTTGAATGTATGAAAAATACGCTTAATACTTAAAAAATATTAGTGAAATGTATGAAAAATACACTTAATATATAAGAAATATCAGTTGAATGTATAAAAAATACGCTTAATATATAAAAAATATTAGTTAAATGTATGAAAAATACGCTTTTGAAAAAAAAACAATAATTATAACGTCCACATTGTTGCTCAGTTAAAGGGTTCCGTTGTGCATCGGACATGTCAAGCTTATATTTGATGTTCCTTGACATTTCATCGACCATAGATGTAGACTGCCGACTTTGCATAAACTAAAGCCCAGAGCAAACCATAAATATAACCATAATAATATATAATAATAATAAGTATGCTATACTAATATAGTATATAGGATTATCGTTTAGTTGAATATATTAAATATATATATAATGTCCAATATGTTACATTCTTTATACTAACCCTCATTCCTTTACTTACTCAGTTTGCATAGTAGAAAAGGCTAGGTAGATAGATAGATAGATAGATACAAAAATAGACAGATAGATGAAAATTAACAATTCTAAAGAAACTTCGACGAAAATATGGAGGATTTTTTTTATAGAAAACAAGTTTAAAAATGTTTTGACCCCCCCCCCCGGCACCCTAGGAAAGAACACAAAGAATAAAAAGCGTGAACACCAATAATTGTGGGGGAGGGAAGGCAGGAAAGGGAGGGGGGAGGTCGGGTTATTACGTTAGCTCTGTATAGTGTATATATATCACCATGGTTTGTCGTCAAAGCATTTTATTAGTTTCAACCCTCGGTATTGTGGGTTTAAAATAAATGGACATAAGAAAAAACATGTTAATTAATCTATGAAACAATTATTTTAAAAACGTTTCTTTAAAAAAAATTTATTTTATTTTGAAATTTTTTTATTTTATGGATACAATTATACCTTAATTACAATTATTACGTCTGCATAATTTAATTCATAGCAACCACAAAAACACGTGATCAAGAGGATACAATGATGTTCGGCATGGATGAGTCTTTAATGTCGACCTCAAACTCATTTAATATAAATTTAAGGTTGTACCTGAGATTTCTGCCTAAAAAAACAACGTCTTTTGGTGTTTTAAAAGAATTACAAAGAAAGTTTTAAAATTAAGGAGATGCATTGTCGGATTTAATTTTTTCCCTATTCAACCAGTGGCAAACGGTGTTAAACTAAATTTTAAATGTTATAGAATTATTTATTTAGGAAAATTCAAACTGCTTTTGAAATTTGAACTTTTTATTTCTAAAACCTTTAATAAACACAATTTGTTATGCGTCTTTCATAAATAGTTTTAGAGGATTAATTTCATCTAACCATATCTAAAACATTAAATAAAAGTTAAGTGATGTGAATCCAATAGCCAAAACGAATCCTAGGATTTATCAAATAATAAGCAAATATCTAAATCTAATGACTAAACATTGCATAATTCTAAATAGTTCAGTGAACCCAATGCAATCATTTTATATCCAATTATCAAATATGATGTTAAATTAATCCTTCGGTTTAAATTTTCATTGATACTTTACAAAAAGGGATACGTTTGATCGAATAAAGTAAAAAAATAGTTTTTTTTCCATGGATTTTAAAACAATTCTAAAATTTATTCTTTTTATCTTTACAGAAACCACATTTTTTATCACAGTTAATTTAAATGATCACATTATAATTTACACATAACAAAAACGCAGCTATTTTTGACAACGTATTAATAAAAAACTTTCATAAATATAAATTAATTGCAACAAATTGTTAACAAATATTACTGCAAACAAAATTTCAATTGAAAAAGATACAGGGTGTCCCAAAAAACATGGGAATTCAGTGACGAATTCGATATCGTCTTTTCAAATAATTCTTTGATTTAGTATAGTGATACCTACTGAGAAAGCTGTAATCTGTAAGAGTTTCGTCTGCTATGTTTACATTTTGTTTGTTTATGTTTTGACTGCATACGGTTGTACTTAGTAAAACAAGAAAATTACAGTATACAAACAGAGTAAACTTGTCCGTATTACATTATAGACACATCTTTACAGTCTTTTACCCTTTTCATTAAATAAACTCTAACAGGCATAATAATATTATGGTTTTTGAAATTAGGTATTACAATGCTAATTCATAACAAAGACGATATCGAATTCGTCACTGAATTCCCATGTTTTTTGGGACACCTTGTATGTTTTTCATGAAATGTTTTTTAGGTCATAAATTGTATTGACTGACGTCATTGTTTCTCAGATAAAAACTTTTCATTTTCGTTTTTTATGAATATGATTGAAAACATAAAAGATTTCAGTTTAATTTAAGTAGGAATCAGAAAACAGTGGAATTCTAATCGTATTATTTGAGACGATAAATAGATTAAATTCCAGTTTTATGATTCACCCTGTAAGCAAAACTCTGAATGTAAGACAGTTTTTACCTTATGTGCGCGAGTTGTAAGTTGGAACAAAAATATTTTGTGAAACATTGGGTTTCTAAATTACCAGCATTAAGAAGACGACATATATGATAGGGTTTTCTTGTTATGTATAGTATGCTGTTTGAAAGTAGAAAATAAGGGAGGTGTACAGCAGATAGTTTGATAATATGTGAAAATGTCAAAGATTTAAATTGAAAATAAGGAAAGGCGTATAAGATTTAAATAGAAAATAAGGAAATGCATATAAGATAAATAGAAAATAAGGAAATGTGTATAAGATAAATAGATATTACGGAATTGTGTAAAAAATAAATAGAAAATAAGGAAATGTGTATAAGAGATAAGTAGAAAGTAAGGAAATGTGTATAAGAGATAAGAAGAAAATAAGGAAATGTATATAAGAGATAAGTAGAAAATAAGGAAATGTGTATAAGAGATAAGTAGAAAATAAGGAAATGTGTATAAGAAATAAGTAGAAAATAAGTAAATGTGTATAAGAGATAAGTAGAAAATAAGGATAGAAGGACATAAAATAACGAACTGCATAAAGGAGAACGGCAGCGTCAGGAACTTAGGGCTGGGCATGTTCCAACTTTTTCTAGCCGTTTCGTTAACGGTTAGTTCCAACCATTGAAAATTAAAATTAGAGGTAGCCCTAGAATCCTAAAGGTAAGAACGGAACATTCGTTTCGTTAATGGCATTTACCTCTTTTTTATATTACCCTTGGTTAACGATTTCAATTTATAAATGATGTTAACAGAAAATTTTCAACAATTGTTAACAGCACTGCACATAAATTCGTTAACGGTTATTAAATTGTTAATGGTGCAGCAGTTAATGGTCTTTTGTAGCATAACGTCGTTAACTGTTTGTCAAATCGTTAATGGCACTAGCAGTTGAACTATATTTATCCTTTTCTAGATATCCAAATCAACTACAGTCATAATCAGAAGAACCCGAAATTAATTTATAATTAAGCAGACCACTGTACAGTCTAATTCTATAAATACGATTAATAAAACGATAATAACAAAATAGCCACAATTCTGCCAATTCTCCCAATTCCAAAATGTGGTCTGCCCTTATTGTGCATTTAAAATTACTAAAGTCATGTAAATAACTCATTAAATCCGGGTCTTCCTTATTATGACTGTATATTTATCCTATTCTAAGGCGTACCCGGATTCTTTCACGACTGGACAAAATACATTTGAAAACATCAAAACACGTAAAAAGTATTTTTTTATTTTAAGTTTGAAGCAATTTTCCGTTCTGTTTTTGCTTTCAACCGTTATTTTTTTTCAAAAACGGCTAATCCGTTTTGTTAATTTCGTTTACGGAACTTTGCCCAGTCTTAATCAGGATGAAGTGAAAAAAAAAGAAGTCATATTGAAAGAACCAATACTTTAAAAAGTTTCTTTTATATCAAAAATAAAGCCCAAAAACGACCTCAGCGACGTTATCAATACTTGACATAAAAAATATCCTGTTTTCCAAACATATGATCTATTCTATATCCATGAGATTGTAGAATAGAACTTATAGCCGCACTGTTAGAATGCTCAACCTGGAAAAAATGATAATTACAAATTTAACAGTGTCATTTTTATTGTTCTTAAATTTTTGTGGATTATAATGTTTATATTGGCGCCTTTTCGGGCGCTTCGAAACTCCTTTCCTTTCAACTATTTTTGCTTTTAACTGTTAATTTTACTTAATTCGGCATTTTTAATCGCTATAAATTGAGCTGTTGCCACAAATGCTGATTTTTTAATCCCAATATCTTTGCATCCCAATGTCGTAGACCTTAGATATTTCAAACTAACTTCTATTAGATTTGATAATCTAAGTTAGAAATATCAAAGGTTTATATCATCAGGTTGCAAAGATATAGGGTTTAGAAAATAAACGTTTGTGAGGAAAACTCCATTCCTTTTCTCACAATGTTCTGTTTGAATTTTCAGACTTTTTGATTTTTAAAAACTATAATTTTGCTTTACCTCAATAAGTAGGGTTTCAATATCCACCTTACTCCAGGGTATAGTTTCTAGTACAGCTAGTTCAACCCCCTCGATATCCAGGCTCATGAAATCTATTCTAAATATAGTTTCTAGTACAGCTAGTTCAACCCCCTCGATATCCAGGCTCAAGAAATCTATTCTAAATATAGTTTCTAGTACAACTAGTTCAATCCCCTCGATATCCAGGCTCAAGAAATCTATTCTAAATTTAATTTCTAGTACAGCTAGTTCAACCTCTTCGATATCCAGACTCAAGAAATCTATTCTAAAAATAGTTTCTAGTACAGGTAGTTCAACCCCCTCGATATCCAGGCTCAAGAAATCTATTCTAAATATAGTTTCTAGTTAAGCTAGCTAGCTCAACCCCTTCAATATCCAGACTCAAGAAATCTATTCTAAATATAGTTTCTAGTACAGCTAGTTCAACCCCCTCGATATCCAGATTCAAGATATCTATTTTAAATATAGAAATCTATTCAAAATATAGCTTCTAGTTTAGATAGCTAGCTCAACCCCTTGATATCCAGACTCAAGAAATCTATTCTGAATATGGTTTCTAGTTTAGCTAGCTAGTTCAACCCCTTGATATCCAGTCTCAATAAATCTATTCTAAATATGGTTTCTAGTTTAGCTAGCTAGTTCAATCATTCCGTATCCAGTCTCTATAAATCTATTTTAAGTATGGTTTCTTGTTTTTCCATAGCTATTGTTTATATTATTTTTTTGCTGTTTTAACTTACTTTGGGTTACCAAGAGCCATGATTATACTGTATAGAGGGAAGCATCTCAGACGATATTTTGCTCGTTTATCAGCGGGTACCCATCCCTGGAGAAGATTTTATTTTATCTATAATATTGTTAACGGTATTTTAACGTTACTAGAAGTTATATTAAACTGGTTTTTAGAGTTGTATGTCCATTGTACCATTAACAACAATTAAAAACCTTTGTTTAATTATGAATGAATAAGATATCATTGGTTTTCTGGCTGAGCATTGATTTTTTTCATTTTAGTATCTGGACCATATTCTAGTACACCTTAGTATCTGGACCATCTCCTAGTATACCTAAGTATCTGGACCATCTCCTAGTATACCTTAGTATCTGGACCATCTCCTAGTATACCTTAGTATCTGGACCATCGCCTAGTATACCTTAGTATCTGAACCATCTCCTAGTATACTTAAGTATCTGGACCATCTCCTAGTATACCTTAGTATCTGGACCATCTCATAGTATACCTTAGTATCTGAACCATCTCCTAGTATACTTAAGTATATGGACCATCTCCTAGTATGCTTATGTATCTGAACCATCTCCAAGTATACCTTATTATCTAGACCATCTCCTAGTATACCTTAGTATCTGGACCATCTCCTAGTATACCTTAGTATTTGAACCACTCCTAGTATACTTTAGTATATGAACCATATCCTAGTTTACCTTAGTATCTGAACCATCTCCTAGTATACTTATGAATCTAAACCATCTCCAAGTATACCTTATTATCTAGACCATATCCTAGTATACCTTAGTATCTGGACCATCTCCTAGTATACCACCCACTACATCAGCTGCATCAAACGTAACTTCTTCGGAATATCTAGAATTGCATTATATCTAGAATTTCAAAATATCTAGAATTGCATAATATCTAGAAATTAAGAATATTTAGAATTTAACGAATTATTCAGAAAATTATTTAAAATGGTGTTTTAGAGATATCATCAAAAATAAATTTTCTTTTGGGGGCATTTTTGGGGGCATTGGGGATATGAAGATGCATGTGAGGCCGAGGGAGGTGGGGNGGCATATTAGTTCAGATTTCCTACCTGTGGACTGATAAACATGAATTTAAAAGTTTAGATTTTCTGTTTCTTGTAATTAAAGTTTTGAAAGCTTCTCTATTTGGCTCAATCAATATCCCGGTCCAGTTAAATTGGGCCTTAACAAATTAAACAAATTAGAATAAATTTAACTTAAATTTCAAATTTGATTTCTTTTCATATTTTTCTTTATTTGCTTACCTCAAGATATAAAGTGTTACTGTTAAACAAAAACAATCAGGTGAAATGAAATTCATATTTATTTTGGAATAAAATAAAATATATTAAAATAAAAACTTTGGCTAGAATTTTTTTTTATAAAATTAATTGTTTGTTCCTTAAATATTCTCCGTCAAAGGCTCCGGCTTCGAGAAAAAATCCACCTGAACAATAAGGGAATTCAGTTTATAATAATTTCTAATCTCTATATCTTTGCAACTTGATGGTGATAACATTTGATATTCCAATTCTATAGATTATTTGAGTTAACAGAATTCATAGTTAGCAATCTCAAATGTCTACGAGATTGGGTCGGAAAGATATAAGAAATAGAAAATCAGAGTTTGTTTTCACAAATTTTTTATTACAGAGCCGATATTGTTTTGTACATTACTTTTAGTGTAGCAGAACGTATAAATACAATAAAAATATTTTTTAAGCCGTGTTTGGAAATTTAATACATGGACATAGATTTCTTAGGTAACAAATGCACAGGTAATGGGTACAGACTTTTCATAGATGGGCCATTTCATAGATAACAAAATAGTAGACAGAACTATTTTCATTTCATATATAGTCATTTCAAAGACAGGACATTTTATAGACAGGAAATTTGATAGACAACACGTTGCATTTTTATAGAACATTTCATAGACTGGACATTTCACATGAGAAAAAAGAATTTGCATAGAATTTGTAACATTTTCAATTTTAAGAAGAATGCTTGTTAAATTTACAAATCAATATAAAAAACAAAATTGCATATTCATATTGTGCTTTTTCAATGAATTTCTAAACTTCAATTTAAAGAAGTGACGCGGGTAGCGGCAATGTATGCTAGTTGAACTGAGAATGTGGTATTGTGGTTAATTTTTTATGATTCATTTAACCCTATTCCCGCTGGGGGGGGGGGTCAAATTGACCCCCCCCTGTAGTTTTTTTACATAACTCAAAAAGTATTGGTCTGAGGCTGTTGAAATTTTCTGACTTTTCCTACATACCCAAAGCCCTCCCTTTAGGCCTAAAACCGGGCTTTAATACTAACTGCCTGAGTCCTCAGGTACACTGCCTGAATGAATGCTTTTTCCTGTAACAAACTAAATCTTTGTTTTGACCCACTTTCACTTGTCAGATTTTGATAAAATTTAGCTTTTTGGAAAGCCTATGACATAAGGAAACGGATTGCACAAGTTTTGCGAAAAAAAAATTGCAAATTTTTTGCAAACAACCTGTCAAAGGAAATTTGCACATTTTTAGTTTTTCTTGATTAAAAATCAGGTTATTTAAAATTTTGCAAACATTTTTGCATATTTGAAATGGCATGGTCAAGGGCTTTTAAAAAATGTATAATTTTTCATTTTTTGGACAATTATTTTTTTGCAAACATTTTTACTATATAACTGGATTTTGCGATAAAAAATTCAATTTTTGCTAATTTGCAAATTTTTTTGCAGATCTAAAAGTAGAGCACAAGAGCTTTCCAATGATGTATCATTTGTCATATTTGGACATCAAACATGGGATTTAGAGGGGGGGGGGAAAAATTGATGGTTGACCCCCCCAGCATATCCTGGTTTTCAAATTCCCCAGCGGGGATAGGGTTAAGACATAAAAGACGTTTAAAATCATCCATTTTTTTAAATTATAAGATATCGATCCGACAAAAAATGTTGTTACGCGACCAAGGGTCTCGTATGTATAGAGAGGATGGTTCACCCCTGACGCAATGTTCCCTCATACTGCTGCAGCGCCCCTGAGTAGCGTACTGTGTATTCAAGACCGGCCTAAGAAGAAAGTCGGACGAAACTAGTTTTTTAGTTGTGTTTATATTCTCTGTACACTTGAGTTCATACCAGGCGGTTTTTAGACCAGTTGGTTGTTTGATTTCATGGCGTTATTTGCGAGTATTTTGTGGTCTTTGTGATATTTTGTGGAGGCTCAACCTGGTATGATTTTCTTTTTTACGATACATTTATTAAAATTATTTAGAATATATTAAAATCTACAGGTTTTTTATGCCCTATTGAGATTCGTTTTGTGTATCGATTATATTTATTCTTTCATTGTACATTTTGCTTTATTATGAGGGCTTTTTCCTGTAGTAAAATATAAAGGAACTCAAGATTATGTTTTTAGTTGAATTTTCCTGCTGTATGAATAAAATTCTGAGTTCTACGTTGATTATTCATCATGAAGAGAGCAGACGAAAGTTACGACAAACCATCGCAGAATACCACAAGGTTCTTTTTACATATATAGCGCGCAGTCGCGTAACAAATGTAAAAAACAATTCTTCAGCAAACTAATTAGATATTATGGAACATATTTCTCCATTGAAATGTTCTCAATAAATCAATGGTTCTTTATAAATTTGTCTTTAAACTCTTCAAATGTCGTCTTTTCATAAAAACATCCAGGACATCTATATAAAATGGTTTTGAAAATTAAGACATTACATAAACCGATAATGGAATAAGATATCTTATTTTCGATGATAAGAGTTCATTTTTATCTTCTCAACCTGTTCCTAAACAACTAATTAGTTTACTGTAGAATTTTATGTTTCTTTTTTCGTGGTCGTCATTGATAAATTTAATCAAAACCGATTCTCAAAATCATCCCTCCAAAATGGACAATCTAAGAGGATTTTAAAGATTACATTTACGCACTTGCTGAAAAATATGCACCGTAAAAACGTCTGATAGGTCTCAAATGAATCCTAAAAAAGTCTCAATAATACTGCAATCTCAGTTCAACTTCCATACATTGCCGGTCACTCCCATTAAAAATCCAGTAAACTGTGAGGTTTGAAAAAAATGTATTTGAAAAACTTACCCTTTTTATTTTTGAAATATGAGACGACATGTTCTATCTGTCCAACCTGGCCGAGTTGTATTTCTTTACTAATAAATCACAGTTTCATCAATCATTAAACATTTTTCAATTTTATTTTTATTTTATAATTGTGATTCTTCTATACAGTGTGGCTTGCGGAAACCTGTGATAGAAACAATGAATGATATTGCCGGAATTTGCTTTACTAATAAATAATAATGATGAAATGATTTTAATTCATATCAAGTTTGACTGAAACTCTATACTTTCCTAATTTTCAGGATTGATTTAGGATCCGCAGCTGGCAGAATAACATCGGATATTCGCTGAAAAACAAGATTTGAAAACTTATATTTTATACAGAAGAAAACTTATATTTTATACAGAAGAAAACTTATATTTTATACAGAAGAAAACTTATATTTTATACAGAAGAAAACTTAATATTTTATACAGAAGAAAACTTAATATTTTATACAGAAGAAAACTTAATATTTTATACAGAAGAAAACTTAATATTTTCGAATAAAACAACAAGTGTGACTAAAACAAAAAGTAGATGATTTCAACTATTTTGGATTATAGATTACTAAAGATTTCTGAGGTTGGATTATTGATTACTAAAGATTTCTGATGTTGTATTATAGATTACTAAAGATTTCTGATGTTGGATTATTGATTACTAAAGATTTCTGATGTTGGATTATTGATTACTTAAGATTTCTGATGTTGGATTATTGATTACTAAAGATTTCTGATGTTGGATTATTGATTACTAAAGATTTCTGATGTTGGATTATTGATTACTAAAGATTTCTGAGTTTGGATTATTGATTACTAAAGATGTCTGAGGTTGGATTATTGATTACTAAAGATTTCTGATGTTCGATTATAGATTACTAAAGATTTCTGATTTTGGATCATTGATTATTTAAGATTTCTGATTTTGGATATTAGATTAAGAAAGATGTCTGATTTTGGATAATAGATTAATAAAGATGTCTGATTTTGGATAATATATTAATAAAGATTTCTGATTTTGGATAATAGATTAAGAAAGATGTCTGATTTTGGATAATAGATTAATAAAGATGTCTGATTTTGGATAATATATTAATAAAGATTTCTGATTTTGGATAATAGATTAAGAAAGATGTCTGATTTTGGATAATAGATTAATAAAGATGTCTGATTTTGGATATTAGATTAATAAAGATGTCTGATTTTGGATAATAGATTAATAAAGATGTCTTATTTTGGATAATAGATTAATAAAGATGTCTGATTTTGGATAATAGATTATTAAAGATTTCTGATTTTGGATAATAGATTATTAAAGATTTCTGATTTTGGATAATAGATTATTAAAGATTTCTGATTTTGGATAATAGATTATTAAAGATGTCTGATTTTGGATAATATATTAATAAAGATTTCTGATGTTCGATTATAGATTACTAAAGATTTCTGATTTAGGATAATAGATTAATAAAGATGTCTGATTTTGGATAATAGATTAATAAAGATTTCTGATTTTGGATATTAGATTAATAAAGATGTCTGATTTTGGATATTAGATTAATAAAGATGTCTGATTATGGATAATAGATTAATAAAGATTTCTGATTTTGGATAATAGATTATTAAAGATATCTGATTTTGGATAATAGATTATTAAAGATTTCTGATTTTGGATAATAGATTAATAAAGATGTCTGATTTTGGATATTAGATTAATAAAGATGTCTGATTTTGGATAATAGATTAATAAAGATTTCTGATTTTGGATATTAGATCAATAAAGATGTCTGATTTTGGATAATAGATTAATAAAGATGTCTGATTTTGGATAATAGATTAATAAAGATTTCTGATTTTGGATATTAGATTAATAAAGATGTCTGATTTTGGATAATAGGTTAATAAAGATTTCTGATTTTGGATAATAGGTTAATAAAGATTTCTGATTTTGGATAATAGGTTAATAAAGATGTCTGATTTTGGATAATAGGTTAATAAAGATGTCTGATTTTGGATAATAGGTTAATAAAGATTTCTGATTTTGGATAATAGGTTAATAAAGATGTCTGATTTTGGATAATAGATTAATAAAGATTTCTGATTTAATTGTTTTCTTCAGGTCTGATTTCTTGCAAATGAACTACGCTTTTGCCACATTATCTGAAATTCCAATCCCTTTATCTTTGCAACTCGATGTCGTAGAAATATTATGTTTCAAACTATATATTATTTTAGATTAAACTTAACTAATTAAAGGTGTTCACCATCAGGTTGGAAAGATGTAGAGATCAGAAAATTTGTGTTAGTGGCTTTCTTCTTTAAATTCACGTTTGAATTCAATCAATCAATCAATTACTCGGGATTAAACTAAAACTAACCGCGATAAAACTATAATTACCCGAGATCAAATTATAATTACCCGAGATCAAACTATAATTACCCGAGATAAAACTATAATTACCTGCGATAAAACTATAATTACCCGAGATCAAACTATAATTACCCGAGATCAAACTATAGTTATCCGAGATCAAACTATAATTACATGAGATAAAAACTATAATTACCCGAGATAAAACTATAATTACCACCCGAGATCAAACTATAGTTATCCAAGATCAAACTATAATTACCTGCGATAAAACTATAATTACCCGAGATCAAACTATGATTACCCGAGATCAAACTATAATTACCCTAGATCAAACTATAGTTATCCGAGATCAAACTATAATTACCTGAGATAAAACTATAATTACCCGAGATAAAACTATAATTACCACCCGAGATCAAACTATAATTACCCGAGATCAAACTATAATTACCCAAGATCAAACTATAATTACCCAAGATCAAACTATAATTACCCGAGATCAAACTAAAATTACCCAAGATCAAACTATAATTACCCGAGATCAAACTATATTACCCGAGATCAAACTATAATTATCCGAGATCAAACTATAACTACCCGAGATCAAACTATAATTACCTGAGATAAAACTATAACTACCCGAGATCAAACTATAATTACCCGAGATCAAACTATAATTACCCGAGATCAAACTATAATTACCCGAGATAAAACTATAGTTACCTGAGATAAAGCTATAATGCATCATATCATATCATATCTCCGATAATGTTTAAGGGAAATAGTTTAGAGCTATAATAATTACAAATTATAAAAGTAAGAACTTGTGTATTTTGAATTTTTATGATCAAGCATTGATCTCCATCTTAAATATAAATATGCAGATCCTTGAATTGATAAATTACTCTTCGATATCCCGTGTTGGTCATGCCCTGCAGGAATAACTTCAAAAGTTCCGAACTCTGTTAGGTTTATTCTGAAAGCCACTCGTTTTTACTTTTAACAAATATAAAAAGATCACCTCGATTAATCTTGGATTTTCTTGTTCAAGATCCCAGCCAGGGGTACTGTCTTCTAGAATTAAAGAGAGAATTAATTATTCTTAAATTATTTTTAGTCGATCTAATAAGTGAACTTTAATAACAACACTCTTAAATGTTTATTGAGTAAACTTAGTGCGTAAACTTAGTGCATAAAAATAAATAAAATTACTTCGTTTCGTCATTTTTTATTAACGGTTAAATTCGTTCGTTAACAAACTGGACGCTAATTTTTTGTTCGTCAATGAGAGGCTCGTTAGTTTTCAAAAACAGAATGCTTCCCGGTCCTATTTGCACAAAAGCTTGTTTTTTGGTATACACAAATATTGATTAAATCCTAATAACTAAAACACTTACATATGAACATCCATGTTATAAAACCAGCTATTTATAAAAAAAAATATCATTAATTTACAGGAAATTTAAAATCATTGGAAATTTTCTAAAAGTAATGATATATTCAATAAGTAAAACTGGATTTAAAATTATAAGCTTTCTGAATATTAAGTATTTAATCACTGTGCCAATTAAATATTTGTATAAACACTTGTTTATGTTAAAAGTATGGAATCATTAAAGTACAGAGAGAAATTTTACATGTTTTTTTTTAAATTGTTGTCACATAAACTTAGACACAAAAATTAATAACAATATAGATAGAACACTAGATGTCGTCTTTCAAAGATTTAGGTGTTTTAAATTCACAATTCTCTGTTGCAGATGCTCAAAGGAGTTACGCGTATGCCGCGTTGAATTGCAAAACAGAGAGAGAGCATGCGTGTAATTCCTTTGGGCTTCTTTCTCAGGGTTATTGTAAACGAAAAACTCCTAAATCTTGAAAAGACGACATCTAGTTTTCTATCTATATTGTTATTAATCTAAGCTTAAACAGCTGTAATTTTTGTAAGCTTGGATAATATTTCTATAATGATTAAAAATGCATCTTTATTATTTATTAATTTTTATTTATAATTTTATAAGTTTTACCGCCGCTTTCAGACTTGACAGCGCTGTGGCGGTCTGACTGTTCGCTGTCCTTATGGCTGTCTCTGTTGCTGTCCTGTAGGGTTGATCTGTCCAACCGAGTTAAAATAAAAAATCCCAGTGCTAGAGTAAACAATAGGATCCCGTACCCTAGATTTAACAGTTTGTTAGTAATTTTAACCCTCTCACGATTAGGATATGAGGAGGGATGATTTAACCCCTCCCTCCCCTATGTTTTTTCTTTCAAAATAATAAAAAAGTGGTTTACATTGAAAGGTTTAAAAACTTCACTTTTCAACTTTATAGATTGTCAATTTTTTTATACTGTAGGGTAGGGTGGAGGACGGCAAAACGGCTATATAATACGGTAATATAGGTAAAATAAGTAATAACTTTTTTATTAACTAAAAGGCCCCCCCAGCTGTATTTTGCAAAAATAGCCCAATCTGAGTGACAATTCAGAAGATATAGTCATTTTACTATCGAAAAAAGTGCTAAATTCTGAAAACTTTCTTTTTTCTTTCTGATGCAAATAATATGCAATTCTATAGCTTACATATAGAGTCAGTTTTCAGCTGCATATATATAAGGAAATCAAAATCAAATCAAAAGAAGATTTAGTTGATATCGGCGTGAAATTAGGTCTGCAGTTCTTTTATCTCAAATTGGTGTTGGGGGTGGAATATTTATATATTTATATTTTCCTTTCAAAAACATAGATATTATTTTTCAAACTTTGGAAGTTCACAGAGATCAAACTAGAAGCTTTTATTTTCTAACAATGCAAAAAATATTTGTAAAAGAGGAGCACAAAGAACCCTGGAATTATGGAATAATTACCTTTCCATCTTCGGCCAAGGAGTCCAGACATCATTGTTCTCCTAAAATATTAAAAAATTTTATTAAAAAAATACATTTTTTAGAATTATGACTTTTCAGCAATAAAAATTAGTTAATATTTTACGGAAACTATAAATGGAGAGAACCTTAACACTCTGGAATATAAAGACGACTTTTAGATTCAAGTCATGTCTTTAAATATTCTAATGAATACGAAACACGGCAACTGTGCAGTGTAGACAGACCCATTTAACTAAATATTTAGTTTAATAATTATGCTATTTAAATTACATATTTGCTTTGTAACAACATTATATACACTTAATTATTTCTTTAATGTCGTATTCCTATTTCACAGTTTTCTGGTTCTCACTGTAAACGTTAGTTTTTTTTAATGTTTTTTGTTTTGTTTTATATATACTTTTTTAATTTAAAACACCAGCTTTTCTGATTTATACCATCATTAACATAATTAGGTACAATTTGTCCAGGTTAAAAAAAATTTCATTTTATTATTAAAACATAATTTAAAATTACGGTGACGGCGCCTTAAAAAATCATTAAAAAATCAACCATTTGCTAAACCTTGACATTAATGTGAAATCTGACATTTAGTAAATGCAACTTTTTTGATTGTTGCAAATAAACTTTCCCTACCTTATATACGAATATATTAAAATCTTCTGAGTTTACTAAACATTTTTCTTTCACTGAAAAATTGCATTATTTTTATCATGTTAAAAACAATTTGAATCATAATCCTTTAATACTGTTTTCCTCTGGCTTGTTACAAGTTTTAAATAAATAAAATGGCAAGTTAAACAAAACTAAATTTTGCGTCAGATTGAAATCTTAAATACTCCTTTAACTTAAAAGTTATTATAAGATTAACCCAACTGTTCTAAATTCGTATAAATCTGACCTTCCGCGTCTGTCTATAGTTGAAGTGCAAGCTCACTGGCAGCCGTAGCACATTTGAATTTCCGAGCCGGGTCAACCTTTCTGGTCCCAATTTGTACTGTCCTCAGCTCTATGGACAGGACAAGCCGGTGCAACAATGTTGACGCGGTCAGACTTTATGCTAGAAACTAAACTAAGTATAACTTCAGACGTAATCTTTAGTAACCATCAAATTATTGAGAAGATTTACCGATTCACAACTGTACCCTTTAAATCTTCAAAAGAATAACATATCGTCGTTTTTCCATCTTGACAAACAGAAAATTCTGGAATTTGTCTTCTTTGTCTCTGAAGCATAAATCCGCATGTCACTGCAGTTAAAAAATATAAATTTATATCTGTAAAAAATGGGTTAATTGGTGAATATTCCACTGTTTAATTATAATTACATGTAGTGTACGGTCCCTTTAATTTAACAACACAGTGAAAATTATTCTAATCACGTTGGAAAGTACACAATACACATAATAGTTTTTATTGTCATGAGTAAATAATTTGACCATGACAAAATTGGTTATTAACAATGTATGATGTAAATGATGTCTAAATGTCAACCCTATACCGATTGTGTTTTTTTCTCCATATTAAAAAAACGCCTTGTATCACATTATTTTATTTCAATCCTAAGGATAAAATCATGAAAGGGTAGATGGATCGTCAACCTTCCCACACTTATATAAGACAAAATAGCACAACCGGGATAGGGTTAAATCGAGGAGTATAAAACATAAGGGAGAAGGAATCGACCCGGCCCGCCATGATTATAAATGCTTTGCAGACGGTACTCCGTTTGAAAAAGAGTTTTTAAAGATCGTATTTTAATTTCTTTAATGTGTTTTTTAGTTTAAAAAAAACGATTTTTATATTACAAAAAATACGTTTGTATTCCCAATATTTTAGAATTAATCCCAAAAAGATGTATTTGTAAGGCGTAATTCAGCCTAATTCTTTTCCATGTTTAGTGTTTACAAAACTTTATTCTGAATAAGCAAATATTTCTTTTCAAATGATGTACCGTGTGCGAAGCATATATAAGGCGGGCCGGGTCGATTCCCTCTCTATTATATTGTATACTCCTTGGGTTAAACAAGTGCAAGTTTGTGAATATGTCAGGCCGCTACTTTACAAATTCAAAAGTCAAGTTTTCGGAAGAAATTGAGTCAAATGAAAATACAATGGTAGGCGATTATATCAATACAATGAAGACGACTTTTTTATTTGAGTTTTGATTGTTGAAAAGATTTTCGAATTACAAGTATACAAGCAACCAAAAAGAAGCCTGTTTTATTTGACAGCTTCTCTTGATTTCTAAGTTTATGTGTATCCATGTTGTTTAACAGCTTGATATAAATCAAAATTGAAATCAAAATTTGTCTTCATTGTATAGATTATGCAACGACGACTTCATGTTAGAAAACTGAAGGAATGTTTTATTTTTATTTTTATTGTCTTGATTTTTGAATAAAAAGAGACTTTGGAGAAAAAATGCTAAAACCACATTGTAAATATAATTTACTTATAGTAAATTTAATATGTAAAACGTGGAAGGTATGACATTATTATAATATATATTCATGGTCATTGTTATTAATTTTCATCGATTTTTACTACCTTCATGCAGCTAATTTCTATAGAAAAATTACATAAAAACACACGCTTGAATACAGGTAGAAAAATTATTTAAAAACTTGTTCACGGTACAAGAAACGTGCATGTACACGGTACAAGATACGTGCATGTACACGGTACAAGATACGTGCATAAACACGGTACAAGATACGTGCACGTACGCGGCACAAGATACGTGCATGTACACGGTACAAGATACGTACATGTACACGGTACAAGATACGTGCATGTACACGGTACAAGATACGTGCATGTACACGGTACAAGATACTTGCATATACAAAGTTTGGGAGAAAAAAAGTTAACTGTTTTCTGTTCAGTCACCTTATCATTTGACAACTGAGGCTAAAGACAGCAAATAGAAGAATATATATATATTTCATATATTTATACGTATAGTACTACGTATACACACAATGTATATGAAAGCAGTAAGGGTATCCTAGTAATCAAATTTTGAAGGGAGGGGGGGGGGTAGAATAGTTTTGACGAAGTAAAAAAAGATTTAAAATTTACAATAATTGTACCAAGGGACTGTCTTTTTTATTAAAAGAAAACCTTTAATCATTTCTGTTTGAAGCAGGAAAGGCTCCAGACATTTTTGTGAAAAAAAGTTTCGAAAACAAAACCAAAATTTTATAATTCATAATAAATATGAGAAACACTTTTGTGATTCAGACATAACACTCTGTTAACGGAGGATAACTTGTAATTATGTTTACAGTCCCTTTCAGTAAATTTTTTAGAAACACTTTTTACAGTCTCTTAATACACTTTTCAGGAGATCTAAAATGTTCAGATATAGCCATTTTAAAATGTCTCCTATAAACAAGCACTACACGTGCACAACGTGATTCAATAAAGAATAAAATTTGTTTAATGATAAAATCTTTAACCTTATAAAAAGTCTAACTTCTGTTGGTTCAAGATTTTTTTTTGCATTTTTTTAAATAGCTTTTTAGAAAATGTTATGGTAAAGTGAAACCACTTTTATGTGAACTTGTCATTAACCTCATTAAATCAGAAATCAAAACTGTAAATTTCAGGATCAATCGACCAAGCATTGATCTCCTTCAAATACAGACTTCTGGATTTATTTAATTTCTAATCGATATCTCTGATCGTATACCTTGCAATGTTATCTTAAAATGATCAAGCATTTATCTTCAAAGCTAAAAGTTTCAACATTCGATTTCGAGTTCAAATGTTCAAGATTAGCGATACTGCACACAAAAATTCCGACCTCACATTGTATAAGAAAACTTTTTGACAAAAAAAGTTCATACAAACTAACTTTTCTAAAAATGATTTGAATTCTCACGTTAATCAGGTCTAACTGCCTTCCATCTGCCTGTGTTTGAAGGGTTTAATCAGAGTATAGATCATATTACATCACAGGTATTACTCCTCTTCTGTACTGATCCTTTATTATGAGAGTAAAATTCCACATTATGAGATAAACAGCTGCACATTTTATTTTTTCTAACTATCTGTATTCTACATATGTGAACTTTTGTCAAGCCATCTGTGAGTGAAGCCTATTTAAATATGGTATTTATAATAATTATTTTGTAAAAGAGTACGTGGTCAAAAACATGTTAATGAAGCTGATTTTTAAGCACGTCAGCTAATATCAAGCAGTAAAATTTATACACGATTATAACGCTTACCGGAAAACTTTAAAGGGAATTTGCAAAATAGCTCTTTAATAAGAAGAGTTATGATTGTAAACATATCAGATTACAACCTTACGTGCAATTGAACTGAGTTTAATATGTATAATGCAAGGTTATAATGCAAAGAAAATTAATTGCTGTCGCGTATACTCTGCGTACATATTGAAACCAGTTCTCTCTGGGCGGATTTTGTAACCAAGAATAGATCAAAGATAATATATATATAAATACGCTGGCAGGTACAAAACCTCCTTCCTAAATTGCTTGTAGCAGACAACTAATTTTTGTCCCTCTGAGATAAAGTGCAAGGAGAGACATCTATAGCAAATTGATTACTTTCTATATTCCTTTCTCCCCCTGCTGCCATCTGTAGGAAATACGCATTTGTGTTATATAAACATACAGTACGCCTATTGCATCCTGTATAGTTCAAGTGTTGCTATCTGGACCTGTTTGACCAATAAAATTAAATTTCTAGGTAACACAAACATACAGTACGCGTTTTGTTTATGTTATGATCAGATCAGTTGTACTTTGTCCTAGATTCGATGTACTTTTAAATCATAATTTTTATTTAAATTGCGTTAATTTACGTATGCCATTCAGTACAACTTGCACATTTTAACTTTGTCCAGTCAAATTCCTACCTCAGTTTTATTTGCATTGATGAACTTGTTTCATTAAGTACAATATGCAGTATACATTGTTGATACTATAGTACGCATTTAGTGCTATCACGCATAAACAAAGTGATAAATTAGCAACAATCCAGAGGATAAAATGCCATGCGTACGACAGAGATGGTGCTGATTGCACTTTTTCTCAAGACCTCAAATTTCTACCTGCCAGCGTATCTATATATATATATTATCTTTGTAATAGATGCATCAGTGTTCGTTTAGTATCCGAGGAGGTTAAAAGCATTAAATTTTGATAATTTTGATAATTCACATAATAGTTTTCTATGCCCAGAATATTTCATTGATTTTTTTATGTGAAAGATGGACCCGTTTTGTGTTTACATTACCGCCCAGAGCCAGTTCAATGCAGTACAAAAGATGCGTACACTTTTGAAATAATTTTCCTTGCATTACATCCTTGCATGGGTACTGGAATAGGGTATCCCAACGAGGCTCGCGCACGAATGAAAGGTCGATACGGTACGGGGGGAAGATTCGTATCCTCTGACGTCACTGATTAAAACTATTGGTGGAGAATTCTCAGACCACCAAAGAAATGCCAATCACAATCATGCGTATACTCGCCAGTGTCCACTTTGTGCCCTGTACCGGGTTATGACGTAGGTAAGATACAGAAGCTAGAATTGTATGAATACCTTACCCTATTCAAGTACCCATGCATCCTTGGTATATGAAGCCGACTTTTTAGCACGCTAATAAACATATTTAGTACAGGTGTCCCACTAAACATTGGAATTCAGTGACGAATTCGATATCGTCTTTGTTATGAATAAGCATTGTAATACCTAATTTCTAGAATCAAAATGTTATTTTGTCTGCTAGAGTTTAATTAATGAAAACGGTAAATGGCTGTAAACACGCGCGCAACTAGGGGGGGGGCCAGGGGGCCAGGCCCCCCTAGCCTGATTAAGGGACCCCCCCCCTAAAAATGTTTAGGGGGGGGCCAAAAAAATTTTCGCGCTTTGCGCGAAATATTTCCCACTAGGCCCCCTCTAACCAAATGTCTAGTTGCGCGCCTGGCTGTAAAGATTGGTCTATATAATGTCTCTGCAAGATGAACAGTGAATACGGACAAGTTCACTCTGTTTGTATACATGTAATTTTCTTGTTTTACTAAGTACAACCGTACGCACTCAAAACAAAACAACAAATTGTAAACATAGCAGACAAAAATCTTACGGATTACAGCTTTCTCAGAAGGTATCACTTTAAAAAAGACGACGAAGACACGTGACAATGGAGTTCGGGTGACATGTTTTGGTGACATGGAGTTCTGGTGACATAATTTTATCAATTATATCTATAAAAAATGAAAATTACTGATTTAAAACAATAATAGAAACAAAATGAGCTTCTCAGGCTCTTCTGGGATATCATTTTTTCAGATTAGTTGTATATTGGTTGATCTGCTTAATACTACGAATCTTATACAAAATCTTACATACATACATTTTAGTATATTTTTGACACAGGTATATATCAATTTCTCGAGACAGGAACGTCAGATAGATGTCTTATATGTATCGTTTAACGCCTGACATTCTTAGGTTTCAGCCTATACCCCCCTTCATTTTTCCTTTACAGTCCCTTTAAGTATATCATATATGTTTGTATAGTTCATAAACTTGTCACATAATAAAGTAACATTCTCAATATATTATTGGAAACCTTAAATGTTTTTATTTTTATATGAATCTTAAGAATTCTCAAAGTTCCATGTACATCAAACCTGTGGAAAGCTAAGATAAGAATAAATTTATTAACGGTTTTAGGAAATATCGTCTTTTTTATGATGCAAACTTATTCGTTCCTCTATAAATATGCAGTGTTAACCCATAAACTGTTGATGGATTTGTGTACACTACAAAATAGCAGTGTTTATATTAATTGGATTGAATAAAAGCATCTATTTATCTATTTAATCTATATCAACCGCTACTAATAACCGTCTTCCATTTCCACAATTGTATTAATCTTATTCCAATTGTATCTGTAAATTGAACAAGTTTTATCTTGTATTCCAAAATAATATGAATATATATATTAACGGAAATGTATGGAAAGTATTGATAAAATTCACGAAATTTTCCGGAAACTATAATGTAGGTTTTTGAAATGAAAATTGATGGATGATAATATGAAGACTATCATTTATATTGGTACTATAAGATATAAAAAATAATATGTCGATTAGATTCACAGGTTCCAAGATTTATTTTTTTTCTTCGTTTTTTCTCCTTAATCCATTAATCTCCATAAACATGGAACTTATATTTTTAGGTAAAACCTTGTAAATCTAAATAGTAAATCTCTTCGCTCATTTATATATTTTTATATTTATATGTTAGATATAGCTGGCCAATCGCACGGACCAAATTGGCTAAACTTTTTAGAGGGAACCTATTATACCCTGGGCCGGGTAACATAGGCTAAAAATCGGATTTTTTAGAGGGAACCTATTATACCCTGGGGGTAACATAGGCTAAAAATCAGATTTTTTAGAGGGAACCTTTTATACCCTTGGGGTAACATAGGCTAATAATCAGATTTATTATAAATGAAAAGGTTTTAGAACATTTTTTCAATTTTTTTAAATTGCACGGGCAACACCGGGCACTTCATCTAGATTACTACGTAACTACATATATGTTATACTATATATATTTTTATGACTCTATTCAAAAACAAGTTTTTTAGGCTTAAAGATAACAAATTTATTTTGTATTTATACAAAACAAATAAAATTTAATAAATAAATTTTTGTTTTATGGAGCAATTTGTGTTCCTCCAACCACCTCATATATAAATTAGATAGATTAAAAGTAAAAGTGTATATAACAAATATTTTGAATGTCATAATTATAAAAAGAATTCTATTTAAATATAAATAAATCATGTAAATCAAAAATCAACTTATTTTGTAGTGAAGAAATTAAGTTTTTGCCACAAACTCTGGTTTGTTTAACCCCTATGTCTCTGAACCCGATGTTGTAACCTTAAACATTAAATCTTGTTAGATTAAATAGTCTAAGTTTAAATATTAAATGTTTTAAAGATATAGGGAGTCGAATATTTGAGTTTGTGACATATACGCAATTCCTTAATAGAGCTTTTCAAATTGATTTTGTTTAGATTTATTGAAAAGAAACTTTTGATAGAAATGAAAAAGTTTAGCATTTTATTTTGAAATAGGCTCTTGGTCCTGATTTTCAGGTTGTATTACTTTTTTTTTATTTTTCATTTTTATCAACAAATGTACATAGAAATTCTTTTTTAGATATGCATTAACACAATTGATCAATGATTTTAAGATATGATTCAACAATTTACCCCTCGTACTTAAACTGTTGGCCTTTTGATAGTGCTACTTAAACTATTGAGCTTTCAATGCTGACAAAATGCCCTGAAAACATTAACTTCTGTTACAGATGAATTATAGATACTGACGCCTCATTTTTTCACTCAAGGTCCACTTTAAATGTTATTGTTTTATATTTTGATATATTTCAAAACAAAATAATGCACCGTGAGTTCTATTGAGCCATATGCTTAGAAACAAGACTGATTCAACTCTGAGTTTTTGTTTTGTCACTATGAATTCAAGAACATTTTGGCTGGACAGAAAATCCGGGAGAAGAACCAGCTGAGAGTATACAACCACGTGGTAGAACAGCTGACTAGAGACCCAGCTGAAGTCCATGGATCTCTACTTCTGAAGATTTTAAATTCAAAAATTTCCAAAATAATCGAAATTACAAAGAGTGAAATAATTGTCCCATAACCTCTTTCCTTCAGTTAGAATTATCTGTTTTGTATTTCGAACTGTCTTAAAATGATCTTTAGCAAATAAGACATTCATTTTCCTGTAAAATAATCATTGGTTACTCTTGAACAAAAAAATGTTGGAAATATTATAGTCAATTTAAGAATTTTCCTTTCTCTCTTCATGTTTTCTTTTTCTCTTCTTCTTTTCTCTTTCATTCTTCTTTAAAAAAAAATTATAAAAAATCAAAATAAAATATTTAGATATTCATTATATTTGAATAATGTTCTAACCTCCAATTGTCTCGTTCTGTGAATGATGGTTCCTTTTCGACTAAATAGTCTTCATCTTTTCGATCTAAACCTAAACACATATTTTGTCGACCATAACCTCAACACACATTTTGCATGTATTTTGTCGACTTTAACACATATTTTTCAAGTATTTTGTCGACCTAAACACATGTTTTTATGTATTTCTTATCTAAATACTAAATAGCTATCCAATGTTGTTTTAAGGTCAAGGTTTTTAAATGTTTTAAAGCTGCTTTTCACGCGGCCATTTTTTCCGCGTAATTTTTAAAACTCAAAATGTTGAAAATTTTTCTGTTAACAATAGATTTCTAAAATGCAAGAACACTACATTTATTACAAATACAGCTTTCACTTTTAATCATCAAACGGCCTTTCCTGTGGTACTGTGAGTTGCCACACAAAAATATGGGCCCGATCGGTTCCAAATTAAGTATAGATGGTTATTATTCATATATCTTGAGAGTACACAAATACGATCAAAACAAAATTATCAAACAATATATTTTTAATTTAATTTAATTTTTAATAATAAATTTTCTCTTGTGTTATATTTTAAGCTGAACCATCATGCAATATTATTTTGTATTTTGTGTTTGAAAATAAATACTATAACTATAACATCATCTCAGACTGAACAAACACTAGGCTGAGAGAATATCAGAAATATGAATACGACGAGTTAAAATGTTTTTAAAATTATTCCTGCGAGGTGGGGTAAGCGTTACAGTTAAACTATGCGAGTTGGGAAAACATTAAATATATTCGAGCCTGGTGTTTGTCCAGTCTGGATTATGTGAGTATATTCAACAAACCTTGATTTGATATTTCATCATTTGTTGACAAGTAGGTTGGAACAATTGTAGGTAAAGTAGGTAAAACTATTTCTGAAAAATAGTTTTAAATTTGACTTTCAAACATTTAAAGATGGTAGAAGCCTTTGATATTTCAAAAAATTACTAAATTTTTGATCTTACAGAGTTCATAGTTTTAAATATCAAAGGTCAACTGCATCGGAATACTAATATATAAGGGTAGCAAATCAGAGATGGAACTTCGTTCCTCTCACAAAACTGGAAAATTCGCTCTAGAGTTCAGATACACATTCCAAAAAATCGATCCCGTTTTTCGAAGGATCTACACATATGTAGATCCTAAGTAAGCGAGGAAAACAAGAAGGAAAAAAATTGTAAAAAATTAATTAATGTTTCCAAATATAATTTTTATTTTATTTAATTTTTTAAGTTTTATATTCGTCACTTAATTAGGACCCTTGCATAAAGTTAAATAAATGAGCTTGAGTTTAAGCATGTTTTTATTTCGTATTATCGATAGAATTAAAGAAATTTAGCGAAATTTATTTGGAAAAGTATAAGATGAAGAAATACATTTTTTATAGAAACTTTTAAACAGATTTTCTATGTAAGATGGATTCCTTTTTTGAAACTATTCATTTTTTTTTCTTTAAACTAAAAAACTTACCATATAATTTTATATTTCCATTTGTTTCTCCCAAACTATTCTTAGCTTGGCACCTAAACATGACAAATATGTCAATAATTTAAAAGGAAAAACTATTTTAAAGCTTACTTAAATTTGATTATGTGTACTTTTTTCATATTAATGCGAAAGTTTTTTACAGGTTGTCCCAAAAAAGGTGATTTGGTAAAAAGCCTTTTTTTCAATGAAATTTACCCTTTTTTAAAACTTTTTATTTTTTAGTCCTAAACCTGTCTCAATATTAGAATATGGTGCTCCAAATAATAGTAATAACTGGTACTTACTGATAGTTTTAGAGTAATAACTGGTACTTGATGATAGTTTTAGAGTAATAACTGGTACTTGATGATAGTTTTAGAGTAATAACTGGTACTTGATGATAGTTTTAGAGTAATAACTGGTACTTGATGATAGTTTTAGAGCAATAACTGGAACTTACTGATAGTTTTAGAGTAATAACAGGTACTTACTGATAGTTTTAGAGTAATAACTGGAACTTACTGATAGTTTTAGAGTAATAACTGGTACTTACTGATAGTTTTAGAGTAATAACAGATACTTACTGATAGTTTTAGAGTAATAACAGATACTTACTGATAGTTTTAGAGTAATAACTGGTACTTGATGATAGTTTTAGAGCAAAAACTGGTACTTGATGATAATTTTAGAGTAATAACTGGTACTTGATGATAGTTTTAGAGTAATAACTAGTACTTGATGATAGTTTTAGAGTAATAACAGGAACTTACTGATAGTTTTAGAGTAACAACTGGTACTTACTTGATGATAGTTTTAGAGTAATAACTGGTACTTGATGATAGTTTTAGAGTAATAACAGGAACTTGATGATAGTTTTAGAGTAATAACTGGTACTTACTGATAGTTTTAGAGCAATAACTGGTACTAACTGATAGTCTAGTGTAATTACTGATACTTACTGATAGTTTCCAAAGTCTTGTTCTGTTATATCCATAATAGTTAGTTTACTGAAGGTATTTCTTTCACTACCACGCCCACTGTATTCAACAACAGAATACTTATTCGTTCTAAAATAAGAATATCTTTAAATATTAGTATTTAGATTAACAGTTGGTTTGGTGTACACATTGTAATGTGACGTATTTGATCTGCTCGGCAATAACAAACAATCAATTGTTAACAAGCTCCCCATGGGCAGGGACGGAACTAGGAATGCCTGGCTAACTACGCGTTTATTCCCTTTAAACCTGTTTCTAAGCTGTAAAAATACGTCATGGTAAAATGTGTTCAATCATTATGTGTCCTACCTTTAGTATAAATACCAATTACCTACCAATAGCCCAATAATCTACTTCTTTATGTGTCCTAACTTTAGTATAAATACCAATTAACTACCAATAACTATATCTACTTCCTTACATTAAAAATTCTACAATAAATATTAACATTTTTCCCACCAATCAGTTTTTGTAATTTTAAGTGTCACTTCTGCTATATCATCAGAAATCATTCAAAAGAGTTGATTCCCATGTTTGGTGGGACTCCCTGTATGCAAATGTTATGTTTTATTCCTTTAGCAAGCCATGCTTCTGGATTTAAAACGGGTTTATGTCGGGGAATTTAAATCAGTTTTAAAGTGAAAAGGGGTGAGGTGGGGCTGGGAGGGNCCGCTTTGAATTTTGAGGATGATATTTTTTAAAGAATCTAGAATCTACAAAAAAGAAAAGAAAGATTTCCAAAAATTTTAAATTGTTTTTTTTCAAAATTCTGTTGAATAGTTTGTAATTGTTTAAAAAAGTTTTACAAAAACATGATCTATTAACGAAAAATGTTATTTGGAAAAATATTCATAACAGATGGGATAACATTTCTTCACAAAGGAGGCGGCAAGAAACAATGTTTAAATCCAATAACCGGAAGTGGGTCGGAACAAATATTTAGATTGACAAAGAAAAAGTTGGCATAAAAGCAGTTTCTCAAGATGTGCAGTAAGTGTTTATTTTGCAAATAAAAACTTGTTGGAAAGAAAAGCTGATTTATAGAAAGTCGATTGTGATCGTGTTGATATTAACGCCTACCATTTGCCATGATTTATCGTTCATCAATTTTTCTGGATCAAAAAATAATTCTATAAACGTTGATCATTCCTAGTTATTTCAGAGGTGTACGCATTTTTTGTACTGCAGTTTCGAAAAAGAAACGATCGTTTTTAAAACTGATCGTTTTTTTAAAAGTTCGTTTTTTAAAAATGGTCGTTCTTAAAACGATCGTTTTTAAAAATGATCGTTGTTAAAAATGATTGTTTTTCAAAACGATCGTTTTTATAAAACTCATCGTTTCGTCAACGTTCGTTGACGACGACCATTCGTTAACGATCGTAAACGAAGAGAGGAAACCGGCCTAAAGGGTATCTGTACTTAAAATTGAGTAGTTTTTAAGAAAATATCATAGAAGTTTTAGCTCCCCACAACTGTTTAACTTCATGTAAGATGACATTCAATAAAGTTGCATTTAATTTTTTAAACGATCGTTTTTTCCAAAAACGACCGTTTTTATAAAGTTCGTCGTTTCGTTAATGATCGTTAACGACAACCCTTAGTTAAAGATCGTTAATGACGACCCTTCGTTAACGATCGTAAACATAATTGTCCATACATTTTTTTAAAACGATAATTTTTCAAAAGCGATCGTTTTTTCAAAAGCGATAGTTTTTTAAAAACAATCGTATAAAAAACGGTAGCAAATCGTTTTTATAAAAACGATCGTTTTCTAAAACGATTCGTTCTAAAAGTTCGATACGAATGGGTCGTTTTTAAAAACGATCATTTTTTCCGAAAACGAAACGATCGTTTTTGAAAACGATTGAAAAACGAAATAAAAAACGATCGTTTAACGGTCGTTTTCAAAAACGATTAACAACCCTGGAAACAATGATGTGAATTATCAAAATTATTAACATTAAATGCGTTTATCCTCCTCGGATATTAGAGGAACGCTGATGCATCTTTTCTTGTTTACAAATACCGCCCAGAAAGAACTGGTATCAATATGTACGCAGAAAATTCGCAACCGTAATTAACTTTCCTTGCCTTATTACCTTAGATCCCCTCACACCGGTGTTCAGTTTATTTATTGCATGGAATGCAGATTTTTTATTCTATAAGAAATTTAAACCGACCCTACTTATCAATTTATAGTTTATTTTAAGGTCAAAGGTCGTATTTTTAGCTAAGCAATTTCGTTTTTAAACCAATCTTTAAGTAACATAAGTTGAATGATTTTATTTTAAAATTTACGCATTTATATTCAAATCAATAAACTGAACAGATTTCGGCAAACTTCCCACTTCTATTTAGAGACCTTAACTATTATTCAAATGTTCAGAGGATGGCTGGGGGGGGGGAGTGGAAAGGGGAAAATGTATGAAAATTTTATTCGCTCGGGAGTATGTCAGGAAAGGGAATATAAGATGGGGTAAAAAATGGTGTTTTTTAAAAAACTTTTTTAAAAAAAGAATTTTTTGTTTTAAAAATGTTTCATATTAATGCTTTTTTAAAATGAAATCTTTTAACACCTTCTTGCACACTGGTTTCGCATATATTAAAACCTACTTGATGAATATTATTCAACCATGACACCCACTTGATGACTTTGAATGAACCATAAACCTACTTGATGAATATAATTCAACCATGACACTCACTTGATGACTATGAATGAACAATAAACCTACTTGATGAATATAATTCAACCATGACACCCAATTGATGACTTTGAATGAACAATAAACCTACTTATGACTTTAATTCAACCATGACACCAACTTGATGACTTTGAATGAACCATAAACTTACTTGATGAATATAATTCAACCATGACACCCACTTGATGACTATGAATAAACCATAAACCTACTTGATAAATATAATTCAACCATGACACCCACTTGATGACTATGAATTAACCATAAACTTACTTGATGAGTATAATTCAACCATGACACCCACTTGATGACTTTCAATGAACCATAAACCTACTTGATGGCTATAATTGAACCATGACACCCACTTGATGACTATGAATAAACCATAAACCTACTTGTTGACTATAATTCAACCCTGACAATCACTTGATGACTATAAATGAACCAAAAACCTAAATGATGTCTATAAATAAACCATAACCCTACTTGTTAACTTTAAACTAATCATAAAATTACTTTTTAACTATAAATAAACCATAAACCTACTTGCTACCTATAAATGAACCAAAACCTGCTTGTTAACTAAGAATGAACTATAAAACTACTTGTTAACTATAAATAAATCATAAACCTACTTGTTAACTAAAGATAGACCCTAAACCTACTTATTAACTATAAATAAACCATAAACCTACTTGTTAACTATAAATAAACCCTAAATCTACTTGTTAACTTTAAATAAACCATAAACCTACTTTTTAACTATAAATAAACCATAAACCTACTTGTTAACTATAAATAAACCATAAACCTACTTGTTAACTATACATAAACCATAAACCTACTTGTTAAGTAAAAATAGACCCTAAAACTACTTGTTAACTATAAATAAAGCATAAACCTACTTGTTAACTATAAATGAACCATAAACCTACTTGTTAACTATAAATGAACCATAAACCTACTTGTTAACTATAAATGAACCATTTCTTTTCCAGAAATGGAAAGGCGGAGGATGTCCGGAAGTTAAGCACTCCAAAGTGGCCTGGAAAAGTGGAAATTAAATAGCATTACTTTCATTCAACAAAATTTGCGCGTTTTTTACAATTTAGTTAAAAAAAAAATATTTTAAATTGTTATAGAAAGATATCAGTAAGTTTTAGTTATGCTCTAATGTAATCTTTAACAGCTCAGCCTTGCAGTACACATTTTTGCTTATTTGATAGAATTTAACAGAATGGTAGATCATTTTCTAATAAGAATTTTGTTATTATTATTTATTTCGTAAACGTACACAATTTAAATAATTGGTACAATAATGATGATCCAACCGTCATAAAGTAGATAAAGTGATAGTTCCACACTTTTTGAAAATATATTTTGGGTTGACCATCTTCAGATATCAAGATCAAGATCAATAATTTAATAATACAGCACTCACAATTAAAAAAGCTAGTTTTCTCAAAAAAAAAATCTTTTAAAAAATGGCAAATTGGTAAAATATACCTGTTCTCCTTGTGATTTGCCAACAAGCTGGTGAAAAACTGATAATGTTGGGGGGAAATCTACATACAGCTTCACCTACAGGTATACAAGTATATGTTTATTCTGTATAATTAAATTTTAAACTTTACCCTTTATTGTGATTGAAATTTACATATATCTAGTATGGAGTTCAATCAACTATTTATAGAAGATAATGGAATAAATAGACTGAAATTGCTTTTATATATAATTTGTGGTCATGATTTTAGCAGAATGAATCTTACACTTCTTATCCCTATATCTCTTCAACCTGATAGTGTTGATTTTTGATATTATAAACTCCTAGACTATTTGATATAACAGTATTCTTAGATTGTTTGTAGGTCTACGACATCAAGTTGCAAATATATAGGATTACAAGTTTGAGTTTTTGCAAAAACCTATTTTATATAACGGGAGAGACCGGCTACACATGGTAATTCCTTTTAAGACAGTTTTTTATGACACTTACCCTTTTACTTACGCTTGGTTGAACCTTGTTATTAGCAATACAAAGGTAGACCCCTGAATCAAATCTAAACAAATAATCTTTGTGTTTACAAGAAAGCAAAATAGAATCGTATATGTCATAAATTTTTTTATTCCAAATTATTTGCAGGTTTTTTTATGTTCATTTTTTCAAAAATCATGTTGCTTGTATCTAAATTGGATGAAAAATCGTTTACAAATTTTTCAAATTTAATTAAATATTGGATGAAAAAATGTGACGAAAATTTGGATAAAAAATTGGAAAACAAGTTAGACAACAAAATCGGAATAAATATTGAATTAGATAAAAAATTAGACGATAAATTGGATCAAAAATGTTTTTAAAAATTAATTAAAAATTCTCTTAAAAATTGATTACAAATTTTATTAATTAAATGGACCAAACTTTGGATCGAAATTTGGACGAACAATTTGATAAAAAATTATCAAAAATTAAATAAAAAATTGACTAAAAAGATACCTGTTTATATTTGTTAGTTCCAACACATCTCCAACATATTCCTCGACTAATAGTACAAAATTTTAACCATATTTAACCAAAGAGAATAGAATATATATTAGAGTGGAATTTAAAGAATCTCTCGGTATGAATTTTTTCAGTCCCTTTCAGTCTGAAAGGGAGTTCAAAGTGTACAAATCATGTAAATGTTCACAAATTATATGCAGTAGAGTACATTAATACAGTATGCTCCCTAGACTATTCATTTCAATTTCGAATTTTTTAAAGCTGTTAAATAAAATTTATAATGAATTAGGTGAATAAAAAACATCATTTGATTTATAGTTATAACGGAGAATTATAGTTTGTAAAGTGAAAGGCATAGAGTCTATGTGAAATGATCATTGGTCAATTATGAAACCAGCCTATTTCATAATTTGGTTTTCTTTTAACATAATTTTAGATCGTCTATAAAATGATATTCCAGGGCCAAAAAGGTTATAAAGCGTAAATATGTGAAGTACACCTGCAGTATGGAAACAGTACAACAAAATGGCCGTTTTACACTTTTTTCTAGTAAATTCCCCTTTAATATATATTCTATTCTCTATGTATTTAACACTGTGAACATTTAGAGTTGACAATGTACAATAAACGGGGTTGTCCACTAAGGATGAGACTGTAACGACGACCTTAATCTCTTTAAAACCAAGGTTAAAGTCTGCGGCCTTAAATATGGTCTTTTAATAGATTAACAAAAAAGGAAATAAGTTTTTATTTCCTTGAACATAAGGAAACATTCAGTTTACATTCCGTACAGTCGCGTCTGAAGTCTCATTTTTGTAGGTAGCCCTGAGTGCAATGTAACTGTAATACCTTCTGTACATTTCTCAACCCATCTCTCTATAGCTGAACTGTAGGTACGATTGCAAAGTCGCAGCATTTCAGGTGTTCTCTGGCCTTCTATTTTTGACTCTCTAGAAAATACTAAATCATTTATGAACAGATAACTCGCCTCATACTCTAATTTTATATATAAACTATATATATAATATTATATAGCTAGTTATAGTTATAGTATTTATTTTCAAACACAAAATACAAAATAATAATGTATGATGGTTCAGCTTAAAATAAAACACAAAAGAAACTTTATTATGAGCCAATTCAAAATATAATGGTTGATAATTTTGTTTGATAGTTTTTGTTGAAACAAAGTATACATATTGAAATCTAAACTAAATATATACTGAATTTACATTCATTGTGCATTTACAAGTAGATAATTAGTCAGCACTCAAATAATCAAAACATTTTCAGGAATGCAATTGAACTTATAAATAAATACATATTGATTCAGCAAAAGTAGAAATGTATTCTCGTTGACTGTTGTAGACTTGACATTTACCATTAGCAAAGGGTATGAACCCACACTCGACCGTTGACTTTAGTAGACGGCATTTACTACATTTGTGTATCCATGCTGTTTAACAGCTTGATATAAAACAAAATTGAAATTGAAAATCTTCTTCATTGTATTGATGTATCATTGCTACTTGGTAGCCTCGACCATTGATATGCCAAACAAATAATTCTTCAAGATACATTTGTTGTCAAAGTTTAAAAATCATTAAAGGCAAGAGTCGGTGGACTTAAAACTAAATGGATTAGAAATTCATAATTAAAGACAACATATTTGACTATTTTTGTGGTGGAAATAAAATCTTATGTAAAAAATTTAACTCTTTCAATTTCTTATTTTATTATTTTAGCTTTCTTGCCAAAGCAAAAATGTTGAAAGATAGAATTGTCATTTATTATTAAAAGTAAAATAACTTTAAAATTCTTTTTCAAATATGAATAATTCATTCAGATTCAACATAATAAAATACAAAAATTCCTAAAATCTATAAAAAAATATCACGACTATTAATTTTTACAATACCTTCAATTTTGATCTATTAAATAATCATAATTTTTTTCATAACAGGGATAGGGTTAAAGATATAAAAAATTAGTTTTCTGCTTGTAATTTTAAAGGGACTGTAAAGGAAAAATGAAAGGAGGTATAGGATAAAACCTGAGAATTTCAGGTTTTGAACGATACCTATAAGACATCTATCTTATGTTCCTGTCTCGAGAAATTGACATAAAACTGTGTCCAAATTATACTAAAATTATACCAAAAAGGATATATGTCAGATTTTGTATAAAAGTTGTAGCATTAAACAGATTATATTCAACAATCTGAAAACGACTATATCCCTCAGAAGCCTGAGAATATCAGGTTTGCTCCTCTTATAATTATTTAATTTTTATTCTGCATTTTTTATAGATATAGTTGATAATATTATTGAATTTAGTCAGTATAGTCCGTATTACGTCACCAGTATACTTCAGCCATTGGCAGTGCAGTATACTGGTCACGTGATTTCCGTCTATACGACGTGACAACGATACTGCACTGCCATTGGCTGACGTTATTGTGACGTAATACGGACTATACGGACTATATGAAATAATATTATCAATTATATCTATCAAAAATGCAAAATAAAAATTATAATAAGAGCAAACCTGAGATTCTCGGGCTCCTGTGTGATAAAATCGTTTTTAGATTGGTTGCATATGTTGAATATGATCTGATGTCTTTGTAAAGGTTTAAAAGATTTATGTTTTTCTAAAATATTAATAGATTTTTGAATTATACAACACTCACGTACATCATATTTGATGATAATATTTATCTACAGGGTCACCCAAAAAGGATGAGAGTGTAAAAAGACCTCAAAGGTCAGATTAAGTCCTCTGTTTTGAAGATATTTATGTATTTATATATATATATATATATATATATATATATATAGTCTATAAAATGATATTCCAGGGCCAAAAAGGTTATATAGCATAAATATGTGAAGTACACCTGCAGTATGGAAACAGTACAACAAAATGGCCGTTTAAAGGTTTTAAGATGCATGATTGTGATTTTTAAAGGTAAGGTTTTGAAAGTAGAATCCTTTTAAATTTTGGTAACAGTCCCTTTGTTTACCTTCTCCACGTGATAATAGGTTTAGGAACACCAGTGGCTTCGCAACTAAAAATAAGAAATTATGTTTGCATATTATTACTTTAAATTTTGAATGGAACCAGAAAAACAAATATATTATCTTTAGAACAACACTTTTAAATGTTGAATTTATTTTTTTGAAAATTTTACCTTAGTGTAACCCTCATTCCTTCTTGAACAAGTGTATCAGAACTACTCATTTCATCAATAATATCAGGAGGCACTTAACAATTATTCTATCAATAAAATAAAATTTGGAAATGATATTAATTATATCAATGTTCGTCTCTTGAAAAATTTCGATGAAAACTCAAGCTAGAACACTCTAAACTATGCTAGTGGGTATCACATAGATTCAGCCGGCTCATAAACAGTCTCATCAATTTTAAAGACTTTGAAGTGTCGCAACGCCTCGGGCTTTCATTTTACCGCTCTAGCTCACTTATGTTTTTCTGTAGCCCTTTGCATGCACATTTTAGAACTAAGAGCGCTTGTTGTTAGCTTTGGTTTCAAATGCTCATAGATTTTTGCTTGAGAGCATAGATAGGCCAGGTACTGTAAAAAGGCTGGCCGCGCCATCAAAGTTGAAATTGAGCTGGCATAGGATAAAGTCGTGCCGGTACTAACTGAGCGTCACAAAAGCCGGTTTAAGGGGTCGGTCCGGTTCGAATTAAAATTGACCTAAGGCCACCGTAAAAAAATTACATAAATAATGATAAGAAATATTATAAATGTGAATGCGTCGAAATATTATCAATGATTATAGGCTGTAAATAATATCAAAATGATTTGTTCGAAATTAAATTGATTTTTTAGGATCCGAGTGGTATGTTGGAACTTTCTGAATTTGGATAGACGCTATGTTCTTCGGTATAAGTCGTGTTTAACAATTTACTCCTCATAGACGCAACAAATAGAAGTAAGATTAGAAGCGATCCAAAGCGCTTATTTTTCGCCGTAAGCCTATAACCCCTTTCATTTTTCGCAAACACTCCTTTTAAGATTACGTTGTTTTTTTACCTTCTACACTGAGTGTTCCTGAGATGGATTCGGGGATTTCTGTGTTGACCTGATAAGGAAAACGACATTTAGTTGATAAACGTGATAAACTAGCTCTCTGCAATTCAATTGCAATAAAGTTTGCTAAAACTTGTTGAATATTTGCAAAAGTTTTACAGTGGTGATTTTCTATACAATTTATGCAAGTGGAAATTTTAAGAAAAAGAATAAAAAAAAAACTATTATAAAAATCTTGCGCTGGTTAGTGCACACTGTAACGTATAAATTTAATGGCACAGTGTACACTGGAAAGTAGTGTTTGTACAGTGCAGTGTACACTGTAAAGTAGTGGTTGTACAGTACAGTGTACAAATTAAAGAAGTGGTTGTGTAGTGTACATTGTAAAGTAGTGGTTGTACAGTACAGTGTACACTGTAAAGTAGTGGTTGTACAGTACAGTGTACACTGTAATGTAAAGTAGTGGTTGTACAGTACAGTGTACACTGTAAAGTAGTGGTTGTACAGTACAGTGTACACTGTAATGAAGTGGTTGTGCAGTGTACACTGTAAAGTAGTGGTTGTACAGTACACTGTAAAGTAGTGGTTGTACAGTGCAGTGTAATGAAGTGGTTGTACAGTGTACACTGTAAAGAAGTGGTTGAGCATTGTACACTGTAAAGTAGTAGTTGTACAGTACAGTGTACACTGTAAAGTAGTGTTTGTGCAGTGTACACTGTGAAGAAGTGGTTGTACAGTACTGTGTACACTATAAAGTACTGGTTGTACAGTAGAGTGTATACTGTAAAGAAGTGGTTGTGCAGTGTGCACTGTAAAGTAGTGGTTGTACATTGTACACTGTGAAGCAGTGGTTGTACAGTGTACACTGTAAAGCAGTGTACTGCATTTTTAATTGTTTCGTTGTAATAATGTATAAGGGGAGTACTGAATTTACACTTTTTCTTGACTATGAAAATTTTCGTAGATAAAAATCTCCTCTGTCTATGAAATGTCTTATCTATGGTAAATTTTATCTGTGTATGACATTCCTTTTCTATGAATTGTCCTATCTATGAAATGTCTTTCTATGAAATGTTCCAACGGACTGACCTGACAAATATATTTGCCCGCGTCTGCTTCTTGTACAGACTTTATAACCAGGGACCAGGAATCCCTGAATTGAATCCACATGGTGAATATGATTAAAGGGACTGTAGACGTATTTCATGTAAACTGACATTAATAGAGTGGCATTTCGGATTCACAACAGTACCCTTTCACTACCCTTTAACAACGGAGAAATCCTTATTTTTTTCTTTAAATTAAATTCAGAAAGAGACAAAGGTTTAAAGGCACAGTTGTAAATCCTATATGCCCCTTTGCAAATGGCGGGTCACTTTTACATATTTACTGCCCCGTTAGCAACAAAATCAATATCAAAATATCCTTAAAGGGAGGGTTCGCAAAAAATGTAAGGGTTATAGGCTTATTATGAAATATTAACTAGACACGAATGCTGCGTCAAAAATAATCGATGACTATTGTTTTTAATATCTGAATGATTTGTTTGGAGTTAAATTGATTATTTTACGATCCGAGTTGAATGTTGCAACTTTCTGAATTTGTATGGACGCTAAGTTCTTCAGCATAAGTCGTTTTAACAATTAGTAGCGATCAAAAGCGCTTATTTTTCGCATTAAGCCTATACCCCCTTTAATTTTTTCGCAAACATTCCCTTCAAAGCGAAAAAGTTATATATTTTGAGTGCACATAACATACTTCAATATATTAAATTCAATTAATCTTTTTTTATTTTCTGACATGCTTTTAGACATCCATTAAGTGACGATTACAAATGAAATGCCGCGCAATTACCAGGATGGCACTGCAAGCGAAACAAATTTATGCGACTAGACTGGTGCGATTTTGCGATTGCGTATGCTCCTCAAGTTTTGATTTTACGCACAATTGAATGAGAAAACAAATTTATTTAAAACGTTAAAAGGTCTTAAAGTCCCCCCCCCCTGAATAAGGTTATGAGGCCTTAGAATACCTGTTATCATGCATTGATTTGATTCTTTCATTTTGGCCCAGAACATCAGGGTGGACCGCAATAATTCCTGAAAATAATAATAATAATGATAATAATAATAAAAATAATAATAATCACAATAAACATAATAATAATAATCATAATTAGAATGATAATAAAAATAATAATATTAATAAGAATAATACTACTAATATAATAATAATAATAGTAAGAATAATTATGTATGATTGAAGTAAGAAACTGCAGAAACTAAGAAAAATGATTTATGGACAACAGAACTGTGGAATAACTATAAACATAATTTTGTGTTAAAATGTACAAATATGTTATCTATTGCATAACATTAAGGAGAAATGTAACTATTTTCCCTGTTCGGTAACATAGAGTGTAAGTTGCATAACACTCAGATAAACCATTTCGTCGTATGGCGCTCGTTTTCTATAACCGAGTTACCAATTTTCGTAGATTTTTCCGATTTTCGTATTAATATATATAACTTTCTTTTGGCTATATGTGTTTTAAATATCTATGTTTAAAAATCTATTATGCTATTTTTGACAGATTTTGAATTTAAGATGAAAAGATAACAGGATGTATATTTCATGTGAGACGATTTTAAGATGACAAGGGCAGTTGGTACTTCAGCAAGTAGAAAACAAATAAAATTTAAATAAAGTAAACAAACCTTTTTCTGAGTGTAGCCATGCAACCTTGTAGTTTCCTATATTCCGAATCTAAAACAAAATTGTGTTACATATTGCATCGTTTATAGCCCTAAATTGCGATTTTCAGAACTAATCAGAACATTTCAAAAGAAGGAATAATTTTAGAAATTATATTGTACAAGGCTAATAAAAAATTTGCATGCAAAAATTCTAGGTTTTTTTATATTTTGACTTATTTTTGCGTTAGAGCTTGGAGATAATACAATTATAAATGGGACGCTCAGTACCAAAAAGATTAAAAAAGAATTCAGTCGAAGTATTTATTTGATACATGAATATACTACTTGACAAATGAATAAACTACCTGACAAATGAATATACTACCTGACAAATGAATATACTACCTGACAAATGATTATACTAACTGACAAATGAATATACTACTTCCTGACAAATGAATATACTACCTGACAAATGCACATACTACCTGACAACTCAATACACTACCTGACAAATGAATATACTACCTGACAAATGAATATTACCTGACAAATGAATATACTACCTGACAAATGAATATACTACCTGACAAATGAATGATATATTCGGTCCTATCCTGACAGTATGGTCCTGTTAATAAATATTCTAACTGAAAAATGAATTATATATCCTGTCCTATCCTGACAGTATGGTCCTGTAAATGAATATATACCTGACAAATGAATGATATATCCTGTCCTATCCTGACAGTATGGTCCTGTAAATGAATATACCTGACAAATGAATGATATATCCTGTCCTATCCTGATAGTATGGTCCTGTAAATGAATATATACCTGACAAATGAATGATATATCCTGTCCTATCCTGACAGGTTGGTCCTGTAAATGAATATACCTGACAAATGAATGATATATCCTGTCCTATCCGGACAGTATGGTCCTGTAAATGAATATACCTAACAAATGAATGATATATCCTGTTCTATCCTGACAGTATGGTCCTGTAAATGAATATACCTGACAAATGAATTATATATCCTGTCCTATCCTGACAGGTTCGTCCTGTAAATGAATATACCTGACAAATGAATGATACATCCTTTCCTATCCTGACAGTATGCTCCTGTAAATGAATATACCTGACAAATGAATGATACATCCTGTCCTATCCTGACAGTATGGTCCTGTAAATGAATATATACCTGACAAATGAATATATACCTGACAAAAGAATGATATATCCTGTTCTATCCTGACAGTATGGTCCTGTAAATGAATATACCTGACAAATGAATTATATATCCTATCCTGACAGGTTGGTCCTGTAAATGAATATACCTGACAAATGAATTATATATCCTTTCCTATCCTGACAGTATGCTCCTGTAAATGAATATACCTGACAAGTGAAGGATATATCCTGTCAGTATGGTCCTGTAAATGAATATATACCTGACAAATGAATTATATATTCTGTCCTATCCTGACAGGTTGGTCCTTTAAATGAATATACCTGACAAATGAACAAAGAGAATAGAATATATAGAGAGGAATTAAAAGAATCTCTCGGTATGAATTTTTTCAGTCCCTTTCAGCCTTAAAGGGAGTTCAAAGTGTACAAATCATGTAAATGTTCACAAATTATATGCAGTAGAGTACACAAATACAGTATGTTCCCTAGACTATCTATTTCAATTTCGAATTTTTTAAACTGTTTAATAAACTTCATAATGAATTAGGTGAATAAAAACATCATTTGATTTATAGTTATAACGGAAAATCATCGTTTGTAAAGTGGAAGGCATAGAGTCTATGTGAAATGATCATTGGTCAATTATGAAACCAGCCTATTTCATAATTTGGTTTTCTTTTAACAATAATTTTAGATTTTCTATTAAATGATATTCCAGGGCCCAACAGGTTATATAGCAAAAAATATGTGAAGTACACCTGCAGTATGGAAACAGTACAACAAAATGGCCGTTTTAAACTTTTTTCCAGTAAATTCCTCTCCATATATTCTATTCTCTATGCAAATGAATGATATATCCTGTCCTATCCTGACAGTATGGTCCTGTAAATGAATATACCTGACAAATGAATGATATATCCTGTCCTATCCTGACCGTATGGTCCTGTAAAGAGGTCTGCATGAATCCAACACGTTGGGTTGAATACCCCAATATCTCGTTGTATTCTAAACAGTTTGAGATTTAGACATTTAGTATTTAACAGATAAAAATAATAAGGATGAAAATGATAAAAGTATTAATTATAAAATTCAAAGTAATATTTATAATATAATATTAGGGCAAAATTAATAGAAATGATAATAAGGACAGTGGTTAAAATAATGATAATACAAGTAGTGGTTTACATTATATACGATCAGGAGTGACTCTGTAGTTGTATAATGTATAAGTACACTAAATGCAGCTTTGGTCAATATTTATTATTAGTTTTGACCCACGAGACAATTTGTTAAACTTTATCTATTATTCCTCGAATATGTCCTATTATATATTATAAACATAATATTTGTTAATGCTTCATTTTTGAAGGTTTAAGCGATATCATGCAAAAAATATTCGCAATTTTGTATTGTCAAAATCATTTTTGAATTACAAACATGTTATGCGCGTACGAAATGATTGGGATGTACTTCACAAATAAATTACAACCTTAATGTTTAATTAATAATGTCAAACGAAATATTCGTATCTGTTTATGTTTTTATATCTATCCCTCTAACATCTATCTTTACTACCTGTATCTATATATTTCTTTATCTAACTCCCTATATCATTGTTTCTTTTAATATATCTATCTATCTATCTATCTATCTATCTATCTATCTTCCTTTATCGTTGTATCTATATATCTATATCCTTATATCGTTGCATATATTTATATATCTATCTATCTATCTATCTATCTATCTATATCTATCTATATCTATCTATCTATTTATATCTTTTTCTATTTACCTATATTGTGGTATTCAAAGGTGGTATCTATCCTATCTATCTTACAATATATCTTTTATCTTTGTACCTATCTATCTATCTATCATATATCTATCCATCTAAATATCTATTTCTACGTCTGTATTTATATATATTTGTTTATCTATCTACCTATATTGTTGTATCTATATATATCTTTATATATAAACATTTGAGGAGAGGAGGGATAAAGAAGGATAAAGATATCATAGAGTTATTGACAACCTGACCAAACCATACCGATAGATAGATAGATTGCCGGATAGATAGACGGATAGATGGATAAATAGATTATATATATGTGTAGGTAGTTAGATAGATATATTTATCAAATATTTTAAATATTTAAATGTAACTAAATAAATAGATAAATAAATAAATAAATAATAGATAGATAATAGATATTTTGGTAGATAGAAAGATAGATGGATAGAAAGATAGATAGTTAAAATATAATTTCTTTTGCGTCGCTACTTTTTCCCAGTTGCCTACCCTTGAACAATAATGATCTTAAAGACACTGTTTATTCATAATATTTGAACTTGAAAACTTTGCTAGACCAAAATAATTGGGATAATTGACATGACAAGTACAACAATGGTTTTTATCAAGGCTAAAGATAAAAAATAGATTTTCAAAACTTATGATAATCTTTATCAAATTACCCCCCCCCCCTCCAGCCGGAATAGAGTTAAAAATTTTAAATATTAAATAACAAAAAAAATCATTTAATTGGAGAAAATGGGTTCTAAAGACTCACTAAGATGTTTACTAGGACATCTAATTTACCGTGGTGCAGTCCTGATAGGACCTCTAGTTTACCGTGGTTCAGGACCTCTAGTTCACCGTGGTGTAGTCCTGATAGGACCTCTAGTTTACCGTGGTTCAGGACCTCTAGTTTACCGTGGTGCAGTCCTGATAGGACCTATAGTTTACCGTGGTTCATTACCTCTAGTTTACAATGGAGCAGTCCTGATAGGACCTCTAGTTTACCGTGGTCCAGGACCTCTAGTTTACCGTGGTGCAGTCCTGGTGCAGTCCTGATAGTTTACCGTGGTTCAGGACCTCTAGTTTACCGTGGTGCAGTCCTGATAGGACCTCTAGTTTACCGTGGTGCAGGACCTCTAATTTACCGTGGTACACTTTAAACCTTCATCTGAGCAATACGTTGACTGGGACCTATAGTTTACCGTGGTGCAGGTCCGATTCACAATAGTGCACTACTAGTACCTCTAGTTTACCGTGGTGAAGGCCCGATTCACAATAGTGCACTTTAAACCTTCATCTGAGCAATGTTGACTAGGACATCTAGTTTACCGTGGTGCAGGTCCAATTTACAATAGTACACTTTAAACCTTCATTTCAGCAATATGTTAACTAGGACATCTAGTTTACTGTGGTGCAGGCTAATTCACAATAGTGCACTTTAAACCTTCATCTGAGCAATATGGCGAAGAAATGTTTCCTCTCAGAAAAATAACTATTATCAATTGAGGATTTACGTGCAGAATGTAACAGAGACAAGTTTTTAAAAAAATGCTTAATTAGCTAAAGGGATAAAGAGTACCAATTTGAATCTAAAATTTGAATCTAAAATGTGAATCTAAAACTTGAATCTAAAATTTGAATCTAAAATGTGAATCTGAAATTTAAACCTAAAATTTGAATCTAAAATGTGAATCTAAAATTTGAATCTAAAATTTGAACCTAAAATTTGAATCTAAAATGTGAATCTAAAATTTGAATCTAAAATGTGAATCTGAAATTTGAACCTAAAATTTGAATCTAAAATGTGAATCTAAAATTTGAATCTAAAATTTGAATCTAAAATGTGAATCTATAATTTGAATCTGAAATTTGAATCTAAAATTTAAATCTGAAATTTGAATCTAAAATTTGAATCTAAAATTTGAATCTAAAATTTGAATCTAAAATTTGAATCTAAGTTTGAATCTAAAATTTGAATCTAAAATTTGAATCTAAAATGTGAATCTAAAATTTGAATCTAAAATTTGAATCTAAAATTTAAATCTAAAATGTGAATCTAAAATGTGAATCTATAATTTGAATCTAAAATTTAAATCTGAAATTTGAATCTAAAATTTGAATCTAAAATGTGAATCCAAAATTTGAATCTAAAATTTGAATCTAAAATTTGAGTCTAAAATTTGAATATAAAATTTGAGTCTAAAATTTGAATCTTAAATTTGATTCTAAAATTTGAATCTAAAATTTGAATCTAAAATGTGAATCTAAAATTTGAGTCTAAAATTTTAATCTAAAATTTGAGTCTAAAATAATCTAAAATTTGAATCTAAAATGTGAATCTAAAATTTGAGTCTAAAATTTTAATCTAAAATTTGAGTCTAAAATTTGAATCTAAAATGTGAATCTAAAATTTTAATCTAAAATGTGAATCTAAAATTTGAATCTAAAATTTGAATCTAAAATTTGAATCTAAGTTTGAATCTAAAATTTGAATCTAAAATTTGAATCTAAAATGTGAATCGAAAATTTGAATCTAAAGTTAGAATCTAAAATTTAAATCTAAAATTTAAATCTAAAATTTGAATCTAAAATTTGAATCTAAATTTTGAATCTAAATTTTGAATCAAAAATTTGAATCTAAATTTGACTCTAAAATTTGAATCTAAAATTTGAATCTAAAATATGAATCTAAAATTTGAATCTAAAATTTAAATCTAAAATTTGAATCTAAAATTTGAATCTAAATTTGAATCTCAAATTTAAATCTAATATTTGAATCTAAAATTTGTATCTAAAATTTAAATCTAAAATTTTAATCTAAAATTTTAATCTAAAATGTGAATCTAAAATTTTAATCTAAAATGTTAATCTAAAATTTGAATTTAAAATTTAAATCTTAAATTTTAATCTATAATGTGAATCTAAAATGTGAATCTAAAATGTTAATCTAAAATGCCCCTTTTTTGATAACGGATAACTAAAAGTTACGTTGATGGTAAATGATTTGTATTTTGAAATGGCTTAAAATAAATAAAATGTATAAATGTTAAAAGAAATAAACTTTTGACAGACCTGTCACTGATATTGTGAAAATCTAAGAAAGAAAATTCCTCCGAAAATAACATAATTAAACATTGGTTTTATCAGGGCAGAAAGGTGGAAAATAGAGGTGTCCAAATACTATATTTTATATACAAAAGGCAATTTTGATTTAACTCTTAAAAGTAAAAGTAATATTTTTTTGTTACATTACATTTTATAGTAGTATTTATTTTCAAACACAAAATACAAAATAATAATGTATGATGGTTCAGCTTAAAATAAAACACAAAAGAAAATTCATTATGAGCCAATTGAAAATATAATATGTTGGATAATTTGATCGTATTTGTTGAAACAAAGTAAACATATTGAAATCTCAACTAAATATACATTCATTGTGCATTTACAAGTAGATAATTAGTCAGAACTCAAATAATCAAAACATTTTAAGGAATGCATTCATTGAACTTATAAATACATATTGATTCACCAAAAGTAGCAATGCATTCTCGTTGACTGTAGTAGACTTTAACATTAGCAAAGGGTGTGAACCCATACTCGTTGTCTTTATAATTATAAAAAAAAGAAACTGGAAAAACTTAAGAATTGGAAAGAAAAGGAAAAAAAAACAAATTTAAAAATTGAAATAAACTTAAAAGAAAGAAAAAAGACAGAAAAAGTTCCCAAATGTTACTGGTTTAAAAAATAATCATTTAATTATATTAAAGTAAAACAATTCAGTGCAAAAATAAAAGATTCTTCACAGAGAGATTAAAATTTGGACAAAAAAAGACTCGCATGAAAATCACATAAATATTTTTGAAAATATCGTTGAATGAAAAACACTTAAAACAACACGCACCTCTGCCTCTTTAGTAAAAGTAAATTCAACCTATATGAAGCATAAAGTCTGACCGCGTCAACCTTGTTGCACTTTGCAAGTCCTGTCCATAGAGCTAGGTACAGTACAAACTGGGACCGGAAAGGTTGACCCGGCTCGGAAATTCAGTTCAACGGCTGCCCGTGATTAGGTTTACAAGAAATGCCAAGCGTGAGGGGGGGGTTGCTTGCTTCTCCTAGAGACAATCAATATCTTTGAAGAAGAAACGCTTAAAAATAGGTTTTTAGGTTTACAACAAATCTAAAACTTGTGATAGGGAGGGGGGGGGGGTACTTTACTAAGCTCCCCCCCTAAAAAAAGTTACCCCCCCACTTCCCCTAACAATTTCGCCTTTAGATGACAGTCGTTTTCAACTATTGAATATTCCGTGAAAGGTTTAGTTTTGAGTAAATATTCTCTCCGCGTTAACCTTTATATTCTTCTAACAACTGCAGTTCATTAGTAAATTTAAATCCAACACGTGCAGCTGTATGTACTATGAAGCTGTATTGACATTTTTTTAATTTTATTTATTTTAGATGAGATATTTTCAAAAAAAATTTTGTTGATTTTGCTAAAAGCAATTTTGTGTCAGCTGGCATTAAATATTTACCAGTGCATTCCATTGTTGCCACCATAAAATGGAATTATTTTATCCCGGGAACTTTTTATTCGTTTATTCATTTAATTTTTAACACTGTGCAATTCTTTATTACAAATCTTGTTTTTATTCTTTTTCAATCCTTGCCATAGTTTCATCTCCTTTTTAACGTTTCTTAAACATAAAAAAGTGTTTATATGCTGAAGGGATTTTTTTAAATTGAGATTTTTTAAGGTAAAGGGACCCTCCCCAAGCAGAGATGACAATGCCCTAATCACAACGTTTCCCTTGAAATCTTTTTTGATTAATAATGTTTAGGTTTAAAAGTATTTAATTTATATAAGGAATTGAGTCTTTGTCACAAACACTGAATTTGTAATCCCTATAGCTTTGGAACCCAATATCGCAAATCTTTGATATTTAAAACTTACATTATTTGACCTCTAACAGAATTCATAGTTTGAAATATTTAAGGTAAAGATATAGGGTTTAGAAAAGCAGAGTTTGTGACAAAGACTCAATTCCTTTCTACATGTTTTCCTGCAGTGGAAATGCGCAAGTCACTTTTGTAGAGAAACCCCAAATGAAAATAATCAGTTTTCAAAATTATAAACTTTTAGATTTAGGTAGTACTGGACAAGGCAAGGGTGCCGTTGTGAATCGGGCATCGCCATGTTTGCATGGAGGGTTAATTGAATTTAAGCGTTCACGCCCTTAATGGACAAATAATGCACAAACAATATCATTAACATGTATAAACTTTTATTAAACAATATAACATATAACATGAAGAAACAAAGTCATTAAATGTCTTCCTAAAATGTGAATACAATTAATAATTTTACCTTTTCTTCTTGCTACGGAAGCTCGAATGATTAGAAGAACTAGAAATTTGAAAAGGAACTCCATTCTTAACTCTTTCTTTAACTCTAAACAAATGTGGTTATATATACCGTGTTAACACTTACAGATACAATATAAAAGGAGTTGAGTCTTGGGGTCCGTCCTATTATACCCCCTTCCTATCAATTTTGTACATTTATTTTTCTGTTATTATAGGTTAGGTTAGGATAAGACAATTTCTGAGCCGAGCGCTGACTTGGCCTAAACTCAAATTATATATTATTTCTTTCGTGATGGTTTACGTTTTTTTACTCTAAACAAATAGAAAAATATATATATAGATATTTCAAACCAACCATAATCAAATGTTTACACAAAGCTTGTAGGTTGCAAAGATATTGGCCTTGCTTGTTTTAAATGTTAATAATTCATTGTTATTATTAATAATCTTTTTAGATAATTTCTTATTTTAATAATAATAACATATTTCGACAATTAAATTTATTAAGAAAAGAAATTACTGTATATTTACAATAAGGTCGAGGATTAAAAGTTCTGAAACCTTTATAAAGCTAGGAATTGATCCTATGTCACTAACTATGATTTTCTAATCTCTGTATCTTTGCAACTCAATGTTGTAGTCCCTGAATATTTCAAACTTTAAATTCCATTAGGTCAAATATTCTAAGTTTGAAATATCAAAGGTTTAATTGCACCAACAGGTTCACATAGATTAAGTCGACTTATAAACAGTTTCATGAATATTTAAAACAGGGTCGACTTTTAAGTGTCGCCACGCCTTGGGCTTCGATTTTACCGCTCTAACTCTGTTATGCTTTTCTGTAGCCCTTTACATGTACATTTTAGAACTGTAAAACAATTACTGTTAGCTTTTGATTTTAAGAAGTATTGGTAAAATTCTAATCGATTTTTGCTTGTGAGAGTGACACCTTTGAATTACAGTCGGGTTGTAAAGATATAGTGAACAATATTTAAGCTTGTGACAAAGACTTAATTCTATAATCTATAACTATTTATTTTATTTTAAAAACCTGCATTTTGTAGATATCAACCAAACTTTGAAACTTTCATTTTATCATCATAGTTTGCTCTCTTACATCGGACAACAATTCATTTTAGATTTTAAAACATTTTATCTTTTTTTAGTTGAAATCAAATAAATCTGAAAATATCAAAAATATCATTATGAATCATCCGCAGTCAGAAAATAATTTACAAACCCTTAAAAATAATTAAATGACATACTGGATTAACCAGGGCTAGATGCGTTCCGTTTTCTAAATTTGAATTCATTTACGTTTTCCCCTTTCCTCTTGCCAGAAACAAGAAAAATGGAAACTTAGAAAGTAAAATCCTAATTCATTCACTATGATACCAGTTTATACTTTGCCGGCTGCAAGGAAAAGATTGCTGTAGACGAGGCCGTATTCTGAAGCACTGGTGAACTTACAAGAATCAAGAATTCTTTTGTCGAAAATATCTACTTCTAGCCTAACCTTTCTTATCCCATTTGTCATTATTAAGGCGGAATTCTGACAATGGTATCCTCAGAATTTTCCAACCCCGCCTAGTGCAGTGTGCCTGTTATTTTTCCAACCTGTAAGAATATTGAGGAAATTGTGCTTGAAGCTAACCTTCAACAGTTGTTAAGTCTGAAAACTGCAAGTATATCTGATCTACTCACAAACAATAACTTTCTATTATACTTAATTTGATATTTCTGGCGTCAAGATGTCAAATTAAAGAATAATATAAATCAAAAATATGTGTCGAAATGCATTTTCCCTTGTCTACAAGAGAATAGAAAGTGTAGATCTATAAGAGAAGACCAGAAAACATTCATGATCAAATAAAAAGAAGATACAACGGCCGGAGAATAAAAAATGCAATGCTCCTCATTTTAAATTTTATTTTAAAAAAGTTAAATTAAAAATAAATTGTTAAAAAATTTGCGTTTTGGTTTATAATTCAACAAAATTTAAATTCACAGAGTTGTCTTTAAATACTTTTCAATTTAAAACGCAGTTACCGGCAAAAATTTAGAAGAGGAAATGTGAAGATTATGTTAATTGGTCAAATTGCGATCGAAAGTCACAACTTTCTGGAATAAGGACCGAACAGATACATCTTCATTAAAAATGAGGGGAAAAAGTTCAACTTAAACATTTGAAAGTCTCAAATAAAGAAACGAAGCACCTGTGACAACTCTAATTTTCTGAATTTTATATCTTGGAAACCTGGTGTTTTAAACCTTTGACAATTCAAACTTGGACTATTTGATTTGGCATGCAGAATACAAAGTTTGAAATTTCAAAACTCTAAGACATCGGGTTTTATAAATATAGGGATTAAAAAATTAGAGTTTGTGATAAGAACTCAGTTCCTTTGCATTAAAAAAGTGAGCTGGCTCCAAATACTAATTATAGGGGCTGTCATTGTAATTGCATGTTGCCCTTTATTTATCAATGTTGTGGAAGACATCGTCATTTTTCTAACTTTACAAGTGTTTAATTCTGAAAAGGAAATGAGTCTTTGCCAGAAACTCTGATTTTCTAATCCCAGTATATTTGCAACTCAATTTCCAAGATATTTCAATCTATGAATTAGATCAAATAATCAAAGTTAGTGATATCAGGTTGCAAAATACAGAGATTAGAAATGTTGAGTTCGTGGAAAAAAACTTAATTCCTTCACAATGAAACCACAATTAAAAATACTAAATTTTCAACAAGAAGAAAATGCATTTTTTATCAGACAAAGCTTTAATCCGGGTACCAATGAGAATTCAGCATGCCCCTCTATAAGCGAAGGGGTAATTTAAGAATTCGTAAACGGTCCCTTTAAGATTAAAATATTATGAAACATGTCTCTTATTCTAACCTTCTGCCTATCTTTACAAAATGGCATGAGAGCTGATCTGAATAATTGATCAGGTTCAAGGAAAGAAGCAAGGGGGAGGGAGGGGGGAAATTAGGGAATGGGGGAGGAAGGAAAAGGGGAGAGGTAGGATGGAGAGGAAAGAGGTAGGATGGAGGGGGGAGGGAGGGTGAAAAGGGAAAGGGGGAGGAAGGAACAGGGGAGACTTTGCATCTATGTTCTTTGTCATCATTTCACCATGCAATCTATACTCTTACTCATTACTTTGCATCTATGTTCTTTGTCATCATTTCACCATGTTTATGTCAAAAATCACTAACATTAATTTATATTTTTGCATATGGGATTTTTGCATTAAAATGTTAAAAATAATTCTGATATTTAGCAGAAGTAATGCTTATAACAACAAGATTAAGGTTCAAAATTTAAACTTTTAAAAATAACATTTATCAAAAAAACAAGAAAAATATATGCAAAAAGGGGATAAGGAAATAGAAAGGGAGGTATTGATCAAAAGGATGGAAAAGCGAAGTATGGGAAGATATATTTCAGATGAAGGGAGAATGATAGGATCAGGGGGGGAATTTACTTTAAAGGTAAAAAAAAGATGAAAAGGGGGGAACTAATTAATAAGGGAGAGGAGGTACAGGGTGAAAACGGGCTAAAATTAGAATTATATAGTTGAAGGTGGGATCCGTACTCATATACTTATCTACCCTCCTACCCCTTTCATTTTATCCCTCTTTATACTAGGAATATACCCATTTTTTTTCTTTAAATTTTGTTATATTCCGACAATCAAAAGAACTGTGAATAACATTATAGATTAAAACGTTGTTTCTTAAATTAGTTGACACTTTTTTTGACACCCTCTGAAGGTTTCCGGTAGTTGAACAACTTTTATAAAATCCTAATCTACAAAATCATTAATTTTCTAAATAATTTAACTTTACATAATCCTACAAAAGCCTAACATATGAAATATAAAGGGACGGTTACGAAAATTTACCGTGAATGAGTGAGTGAGCCATACCATGCATCGAAATCTATATTTAGACCTACTTACAGTGATTGGATTTCATTATTGTATAGCTCTTTGGAAAGCCCATAAGCAACTAGATTGAAAAATTTTTGCAAAGAAATTTTACACAGATTTTTGCACCTACGCCTTTCTAGGGAACTTGCACATTTTTAGTTTTTTCTTGAATTCACATCTAAGTTTTAAAAATTTTGAAAATATTTTTGCAGATTTGAAATTGCTGGGTCAAGGGCTTTTCAAAAAAGTATAATTTGTTGCAATTTGCGCAATTACTTTTTTTTACAAAATTTTTGCTTAATGACTAGATTTCGCAATTTGACCCCCCCCCCCCCCCAGGGAACCAGTCATGAAACCTGACGTCAGGGTAAATAGGGTTAAAACCTCTTGACAAATGTAAAACTTGCCTTATTTTGCATTATATAAATCCAATATTAGAAAATTAGGAAGGATATCCTATTTATTCCTAAACGAAGATGTATAGAGTCGGATGTCACTCTTTTAATATAAAGTAGCTTGAAATTGAGTCCCTGTAATGTTTGATGATAGATGCTTATTTGAACTGATCTAAATACTGAATAATCGATTATTTTAGAGAATATATGTAGAGAAGATTAATTATTCATTTCACCCTGCAATCTATACTGTTACTCATTACTTTGCATCTATGTTCTTTGTCATCATTTCACCATGCAATCTATACTCTTACTCATTACTTTTTCTTTGTCATCATTTCACCATGCAATCTATACTCTTACTCATTACTTTACATCTATGTTCTTTGTCATCATTTCACCATGCAATCTATACTCTTACTCATTACTTAGCATCTATGTTCTTTGTCATCATTTCACTGTAAGTTTTATATTTTTATTCTAAATATGCTACAGAAGTTTATTTAACTCATGAGTTTAGTATTTTTCACAAACTAACCAATTTTCACGGCTTGGAAATAAAAAAAGTAAATGCGCGAATTACTATTATTTCTGCAGGATTTTAACATGTTGCATGCAGGCTTTTACACTGGTCCACTGATTTTCATATTAAGATATTTATCTTTAGAAATTAGTTCACTTTCCAACCAGAATATACATTCAAATATTAAACAGGAAACAGAAGATTGTGTGACGGAAAATTATTATTTATTCATTAGGTCAAAGATTTCAGTATATTATATATAGACTTAACTCTGAAAGAAGATAATTTGAAATTTTTAGATGTTTTAAAATAGTTTCTCTTATAAAGTTTATTATAAAGAGCGATCTGAAGCTTTTGAAAATAATAGGGAAATTCTGATAAGAATGGTTAATTTTGAATTCTTTGCGAGTTATTTGTTAAAACTAATTTTTCATTTTTCAATTCTATTTCCAATTTCTAAAGATAGGATTAAAAATTACTTTCGACATGTTTAGCCTATTGTAGGAAACCTTAAAAATCTGGGGGTCATAACCCTATTTAGTCTGAGAAAGCCATTGGTAAATAATCTGCCAAAAAAAAATTTGAAAAAATCAAAATATTTATTGCGAAATCTAATTATAAAGCAAAAAATGTGCAAAACAAGTTCGCAAATTGTAACAAATTAAACATTTTGAAAAGAAAATCTGTATGCAAAAAAACTATAAAATGTTGAAATCCAATGACTGGAAGTAGGTCTAAATATAGATTTAGTCAGATGTAGTAAAAATAAAGCATTTAGGCAGCCTGCCTGAGAACTCAGGCAGTAGGTATAAAAGCCCAGATTTTAGCCTTAAGTGAGAAGAATGTGTTATTAGTTAGAAAAGCCAGAAAATTTGAGCTTCATAGCTCAAATACTTTTTGAGTTATTGCAAAAAACGATAGGGGGTCAAATCACCCCCCTCCCCCGGCCAAATAGGGTTAATCTATGTAAAGCTGTGGTCCTACAGACATTTTGTTAAATTTATGTGTGAATTGTATGTTGAGATGTTTTCAATTATGTAAATTTCAGATCTGTAGTAATTGTGGCTGTAAAGAAGACTAAGACTAACTTAGATGCCTTTTCTAATATTCTTTAAACTGTCCTATTAAAAAATGAATCAGTAAGTGAAGTGATAGTGTAAATTTGAAGTGAAAAGAAGAAAACAAATCTGGGGGCACAACCCCATCCCAGCCTTTTGTAGGGTTAACTAACAAATGTAGAATTTACATTAAAATGTAAAATTTCTATTTGTGTAGAATACATTTATTTGAGGTTGAAGAAATATTCCTCTTACTAGGATAAATGA